AAGTGCACTTCCCAGCAAATCAGTCAAAATAGGGAAAGTCAAGAAGAAACCTGGATCAATGCACATTACGTCTGCAGGTAAACCATTTTCCACCATTTAATTTCCATCCGATGATCAGAGGATCTCCTCCTAGCGAGGATTATGAAATGGCATTATCTTAAAATTCATTGCCAAACCCTTGACTGTAAACTGTATCGGTGCAGAATGGAGGGCCGTAAATGTACAATTTTTATGTTCCCGGATTATACGTATGTATAAGATGATGAAAAAGTGAGTATTTTGCACGTGGAGGGCAAACGTGACTGGTTTGTACGTAGGAGGTGGATATTTATATAGGTGCGGTTGTGGTGTTTTATATTTGGTCGATGATGATGACGATATCAGCGACAATTGGAGATTCGAAACTTTCTCTAGCCACGAACCAGGCAGGAGTTTTTGTGTATCAACTATTTACAAGTTTGCAAAGTCATTTCCCTAATTCGCAGAGGAGCAGATATTACGTGTGTACGGGATTGCAATTACTATTACGAAAACATTGCGTGGCGTGGGGTTGTGTCCATCAAATAAATGGAGCCGTCATTCCCGTTCTCCTCTCTCTCACTGGATGGCTTTCACCACGACAAAAACTCGATATTTTCTCTCCTTCATGTCAACTTTGGCTCAAATTTATTCAAAATCGTGATGGAAATGTGCCTGCTAATATACAACTCTTTTATGCCCTATTTACGACCGTCATGGTGGGAGAAAGCACTATTGTCACTCTCTCCGAACTGATGCTCGTGAGCGAGGATGAGGAGCCAGTCTTATTATTTACTCTCCCATTACACGCCGTCATTGTCCTGGATGAGCTTGTACAGTTAATCATTCGAGAGAAAACATGGGTTCACACGATTAATGAAAAGAGTAATCATAAAAAGATGCGTAAGTAAACAAGGCAAACCATTTCCTGACACATATCCTGACCCTCCTTGCGTATGAACAAGGTGACAAAATGGCTAGTGCTTTTTCAGCTTTTACAGAAAATATTCATAGGCACCCATGAAAACTGTGGATGCAGACGTACCTCCATGAATGCTACGGGTTGAAGGCTCAAAGTTTCATAGTGGCCTTGCCTTTGCTTGCTAATTGTTTCGGGCTCAAAAACTTGGTTGAGCAAGTTTGAAAGGAGGGAAGGAGTTGGAGGTCTGGTTGATTGGTGGAGTGTGTGGCAGGCTGTGTGCGGAGAGGTGTAGAGGCAGCAACTTCTCAAGACTTGTTCTAATCTCTCGTAAATCAGCAATTTCATTTTCTCCAAGATTGAGGTGGCCAAATACTTCATTTGAGAGGGATTACTTGAGCATTGTACGTACCACAGTCTTGAGCAATCTTCTTGGGCCTATGTTCGTGTGGAGGAATTGAATGGTGCAGATATGTAACAAGAACAGTGGGTTATGCATATAAACAACTTATCGCTCAATCCTCTTCCCTGTCCGCCTGCTAAATAAGTTAAGCTCTTTCGCAACTTGTTAATTATGTAACAAAAAGCAACTCAATGCAGCCAGTCTGCCCACCTCCCCACGTAAACGTGTACCTACATTCTGGGAACATGGATGAGGAAATATCAAATCAAGTTTACGTAAACTGGGGGTTTGCAAGATTTAGAAAGGGGAACCATGAGGAAATGGATTCCATATGTCGAGGAGTTAAGCCGTGGGAAGTGAGTGTATCTCAGAAAGTGGTAAAATTGGATGAATCTCCTCCTCTCTGATAACACAAATTGCAAATTCTGTCACTATGCGAGTTGCGTCTCCTCAAACCATGCACAAACTACGAAAGCGAGCTTTTTTCCGAGTGCGAAAGGAAACCCTGTGAAGCATTCACATAATTTTAAATGCCGAAAAATGTAGGATATATATTGATGAGCTGCTAGCGAAGCAGAATTTCCCACGGTTGAGTTCCACACGGTCCCTCTGGGACTGCTTTTATTACTTTCATCACAACCGATCCGAACACTCTGAACATTTTTACTGCTTTTACGGTCCAATTTTCCCCATAAAAAATGCAAATTTTCCACTCATTTTCTTCCGTGAGCAGTTATATCATTCTGCGCGCCCATCCCTCACCCATCTCCACTTCGTGCCTAGAACTTTGCTAATTTTTATTACTACTTTCTTAATCCATCTCTTACTCCCAATAAAATCCAGCCACATGCAGCAGTCATATCCGGAGAAAGCAAAAACCAGAAGAAGCAATTAGCAGTACGTGCATTCCTTCCGTTATGAAAATTTCGAGTGTATTTCCTTGTCGGGAATTGTGTTTTCATTTGAGGTTCACTTCCACTTCCTCCTCCTCCGACGGGGACTAGGACGGGCTGGCGGGAGGGTTGGGGAGAAAGTTAGACGAGCAAAGATGATAATTGAAGTGGAAGTACGGGATCGATTAGCCATTTGAATCTCATTGGCCCTATCTTTCAGTGGAGAGGAGTGCACAAGAGGCTATTTCACTGGAGATGGCTTTTATGTCCTCTTCCATGCCCATTTGCGTCCAAACCGGGCCAAAACGCTCGTCCTCATCTTCAGGTGAAGTGCAAGCACCATGTGGTCACCCCGTCCTCACACTTGGCAATACATGCAACAACCACACATCCAGACTGCACACACACACACAAACGGCCCCCCTCTTCTCAAGACTTTAGAACGGTCGTGCTATCCAATTTCGAGAAATATGTCCCTCTCCATTCCACAAACAGTGGCCCACATTGTATAAGTCGGGAATATTATTCATCTCGACGAGACCAGGTTGAGCGGAGGAAAGGAGGAACATTTCTCAAGTCGAATAAAAACTTTTTGACTATACGCCATCTCATAAAAGGGGAGAACGGTTTGAGAGGAAATTGCATGTGAAGTGCAATTGCAAACTTCATGGACGGAGCTGACCACTTGCTCTCCACATTACAAATGTTGCGTAAAGAGTCAAACACAAGGAAGCGACCGAGAGAGAGAGAGAAAGTGTGTCCTTTTTCCTCTTTGGCAGCCCTGTCTGTCCATCTCTATACTTTTATCTGGCCCTTCTAGCCGACTAGAGTGGAGTCCATTCCCACCGCCACCACGACAATCTGGACAACCATATTATTTTCTCGGAAGAACAAGACCTTAGACCCTGCCGAACCATCATCTGCTACTTTCTCCATCTCTGCACACCATTCAGTCCGTGTGTGTGCTTTCTCCTCGGCCTCTGCTGCTGGACATGTGAGGAGCTAATCATTCCCAATCTGCCAAATGCCGATGTCTGCCAAAGGATTTTATAACTTGGTCATTCCATTGAGTCCACAATTGCCAGCATTGGTTCACTAAACTTGTTCACTAAAACTCAATTTTAAAGCTTTCCGTCGTCCTTTGTGCTCCGCAAATGAATGGCAAAATCCCTCAGATTGTGGATGTTGCTTCTCTAATGTGACGGAATTGGAAATGGTGTACTCAAGCAAGCAAAAGTCTTACGACGACTTGGGAAAACTCTTTGATCTCGTCAAACGTTGGATTTTTTTGACAAAAAAGTGGCTGGAATGTCATTCACGAAGAGGAAAGAAGGACGAATATTTTTTATTGTGTTTCGCAATTCATACGAAAGGAAAATCTCAGCTATTTCGAGCATTCGTTTCTCTAAGCTTTGTCGACGTCCGTCAAAAAAAAGGTCAGCAGTAGTGGACAAATTTGACATTCCTTCACTCACGTCATCTTCCAGACGACGACGACGACGACGATTTTATTATCTCTCGAGGAGCAAAGTGGTTGATGACGGGATCCTTTTTTATTCAATCTCTTTTATCCCACTTAGCCCCCCGCACTGGGATGAAATTTAATGAAAAATTAGTTGACATTGTCGAAGAATAAATGTTTTGTTTCCAGTGGGAAAATAAACTTTTTGGGGTCAACTGTTGTTGGTAGGGATAGGGGGGAGCGAGAGGAGCTTCAAATTGCATCCAAATGAAGACAAGGAGAGAGATAGCGAAAGTTTGTTTGGGAGTGAATTTGATTTCCATCCTCGTGCAAAAATAAGTTTAAGATGCCAACCATCTGTTTTCTTTGGAGCGAATGGCAAAATCCAATCGAAATTCTGAACTTTTTCTATTTTATTTTATTGCGCCAAGTATAAAAGTGGATGGGAGGATGGAATAGAGTCATATTGCAATTCAGGTCTGGTTTACAATCCAAATCTAAAATTCGTCTCGCTCTCTGCTTCTATTTTTATGAATGATAGTGCAAAATTTGAATGAATACGATGGATCATATGCGAATAAAAGGGAAATCTCACGTATGAATGAATATGAATCAAATTGCCTCTCTCTCTGTGCAAAGAGAGGCCTCCGGTGTGGGTGAAAGTGGACGTGGGTGAGGTGCAGAATCATGTCCCCAGCCGCTCAGCCAACATGATCCAATACTTCTACTTCTTATACATAAGCGTGGATGGTCGTCGTCCGTGGTGGGCGAGCAACCACCCACCTCGGAATGAAGACGTCGTGGATGTCAGGCAAAAGTGGCCGAATTAAGAAGGAAGTGAAATGGAGGAGGACATGTGGAGGACGCTTTCCTTCCTTCCTTTCTCATATTTACGGCGTAATCCTGCACATTCCTCATTCATGCTTCGTCATATGTAACCATGCTCTGTCACTCCCAATCACTTTCTCCATTCCTTCCGCCCCTCCTGTCAGGAGCAGCCACAACACCCTCATCCTCGCCTGACTGCTGCCAGAATTCAACCCAATTTTAATTATAATTTACAGACGGCACTCCCTCCTTATATCGCATTTATGTCCAGCAATCCAGTCAACCTGTACAGCAGAGTGACACGGGGTGAACTTTAGTAAACTATCACATGTAATGGAACCATCTGCATAAATGAAACCAAAAAGAAATTGAATAAACCTGCTAATATGTCGAAAAAAGACGAAACAATTTATTGGAGCGGATGATATTTTTGTGTGTGCACGTGTCTCACTTTCTCCCGTTTTTTGTTCCTTGCAGGTGAGAATGGAGAATCGGCCCCAGCAATAAAGTTACCTGAGAATTTGGAGGGATTAATGCGAGGTGGGTTCTTTCCGACTTAAAAGTACGGCCTGTATTTAATTTGTTTTATTATTTTCAGCTGATCATTTCCCGTGTCAAAGGCATAGATGGAACTCTAACGAAGTAAGTACTTATCCGTTACATGGTTGCATACCTCGCCATTTGGAGTCAGATCAATATCGCGAGTTGCTTAATTATATCGATTGTTCCACGGACGGGTTCCCACGTGAAAGAAACGCAAACGTTATTGGACAGATAATACACACATAAATACTTACTATTCCTGACCTCTGCATGCCAGAATTAGAAAGGAGCATTGATTTTCACTCGCGCAGGTGGTGGACGACACAAAAAGGGAGCAACCTTTGTCCATCTTGTCCTTGTTTTGATTAATCGTGCACTAGTTGTGCATAGTTTAGGTGATATTTATGGGTCTCAGTCATCACATCAGTACCTCCATATTCGCAGCGGGGAAAGAAAGTTTGCACAAATATGGACTCTCTCACCTTTGTCCCGAGCAAAGGTTATGCTCAGGGGACCCAACGCCACGAGAGACGACTGTCGGTGTGCAGGCTCACATCCTTGGTTATAATTACGGCAGAATTATGAATAAATTACAAATTTTGAAAACGAGGCGGATGACAAAAACAAATGGGCCCGTTCATTACTCATCCTGCCGCTGGAATGTGCATTATAATCATTAACCACCAACGGGACGTTATCCTCGTTATCTCGCCTTCCTGCAGCACCACCACCACCGCCACGACTGGATCTGAGCCCTAAGCAACTGACACTTTCTCTCTCCAAGATGAGGGACAAAGTGGGCGGCGGTGGTGATCCGTTATGCAAATGAATCGGGATTTTATTAATTGTTCGCCACGGCTGTTTGTTTTCCTCTCAAAGGCAAATGAGTTGGTCCCGTCGTCCTAGTTGCTCCTCGAACACGCTGCCAATGATGACGGCCCAGTTTCCCCGAAGCAGTTAAGCTGCTAATTTAAGTGCCCTGTAATTCAGACTGGTGTCGATTTGTTTCTTGTGGGATAGGATTTAGTGTAGAAACTAATTAAAAACTTAATTTAGCTGCTCCCACTGCACATTCTTTTGCCCAGTTAATAAATAAATGAGCAATACGGATGAGGATGGGTCGCGTGGGAAATCCACAAAACTCTCAAAGAGTTGGCTCCTTTTGTTGATGGCATGTGCGGCGGACAAAGTGCACGACGACGGCTCAACTTTCTCTCATCCAGAGTGTGCAACTCGTCGTCGTCGTCCTCCTCGAAATCTCCTCATCATACACCATTAGCCAAAAGCACCTTCCTTCCCATCCCGCCTCCTCACTGAGCCAACTGCTCGCAGACAATAATTATGTAATTGCTCACTCCTCGCTTGTTGACGATTTTAAAAATTGAGATAAAAGTGACATCCACTTTCATTACGCCCAAAAAAATGCCAAACATTTGTGACGCAAACTGTTGTTGGGTGGATAACCAAACTCAATAATAATGTGTTCATTAAATTTTCGCTATCATTTTTGCGAGCATTATGCAAACTACTGAATTGGAATTGGTCATTAGATCCGTAAATTTGCAACAATGTGACGCTGCTGGCAACGACGGCGACGACGACACACCACATGTCACCGCTCATTTGCTATAAAGTTGTATATTTCCTACTTTCTTCCAACCACCCAAGGCATGCATATTGTAGTTGTGTTTATATGCATAGCTGTGAAAAGGCAAGTTTCGTTGAGTAGCTGCCAGTCTGGCTCGTTGTGATCCATGAATCTCAAATGGCAGATCTATGGTCCCAGAATGAAGCCCCATTTCCTTTTCTAATGTTCCTCTCATAACTCACTTTCCGGGTTGAGGGTGAGATATACTGGATACACATTCGGCCTTTTTGTGTGTATGCATAGTACAAGATCTCCATGGTCCTGATTGTCTCAAATTCAGCATATTTCGCACACCCTCTGGAACTGTTCAATAAGAGAGAGAGGAGGGAGAAAGCGAGAGAAAGGCGGGTGACATTTTCCACATTCATCCAGAACCACGAGGATAAATGGAGGCCGTGTTTAGCCATTGTTCCAAGTGAGTCAAGGCTGTATCACGTGGAGGGACAACAAGAGGGGAAACTGTGAAAGTGCGGGTATCGCTGGTGTAGAGGAGTTTTAATAAACAATGTGTTATGAAGAGAAAGGTGCCCGGTGGGGTTGACTGCAACTCACTCCTCTGCTGTCTCACTGACTCAAGTTTCAAAATAAATGCTGAGCCGTAGCTGATCTAATATTTATTGCACCTCGGATTTGTCTGGTCCCGAGTGACTTTCTCGGAAATCAGAGAAATTTGTAGAGCCCAGCACGAGGAAGCCAGGATTCATCAACGGAGACGACGACGAGGACGACGATATTGGTTTCCTTAGTCGAGCTAATAGAGTTAGAAGGCTCACAATCCAGTCTCCAAAGCCAGAACACCGCAAAAGCTGCCTCCTTTCAATTTTTCCCGATTTTCTACCACCATACCACCAACAGCAGCAAAGGAGAGGAGGAAAACTCTGCGTCCTTGGCCAAATGTATACTCATCAGAGCAAAGCACAAATCAGTTTCCGTAGGCGGGGTGAAAGGAAGCCGTTCTATAATCGAGATGAAAATTGACACGCTGTCATTGTTAATTTTGCAAACTTAAGAGAATTAGCTCTCCTTTCACTTCATGTCACTTTGCCCATCCAAACACGGATCCCAGCTTTCCTCGCGTTTTAAAGGGAAAACAATTTGCTGAGCTGACTTGTCTATTGGCTGCTTTTCCCAACTCTCGATTATTTGCCATTACTCTCTAATCGTTATCACTAATGACGGATGGGAGATCAATTAGCACGCAATTGCAAAACATTCGTGGTCTCGCACTCGCACTTGCTTTTCTGGTTCCCTATGTTTATCCTTCGTGTAAAACTCGCTCGATAAACGGAACTTTATGAATAAAATGTAATAAACCCCATTCTTGAGTGAAATTCGAGTCGAAAGGAAAGCGGAGAATGTACACAGCCAAGTCAATGAATAGCTTCAAACGGAAATAAAATTCAAATGAGACTGATTTAAAGCGACTTCTTGGTTCCCATCTGTGGTCCATACATACATTCATACATGTGGAGGAGGAGGAGAAGAGTAGCTCCACAGACGGACGGATCCACCAAACAAAGACAAAAATATTTCCATCCTCGCCGTGCTAAATCTGTGTCCTTGCCTTGTTTGTAAAATTCCTAAATTCAAATTCAGGCCGAGCCAAATCTAGAAGATGAAGTTTGCCAGAGTTTAATCTAAATTCGGAGAGAATTTAAAGCGACATGAGAAGGGTGAGTGGGATCGGCTGGTGCTGGGATCCAGTAAATATCTGGGAGGACGAGAGCGAGGGAATGTTTTGGCAATCAGTCAAGAAGATAATCTGGTTGATGGTGAATTAACTCTTGAACTCCAAGTCCCCCACCACGATCAACTTCTCCGCTCCACGACTCCTCCGAATGGCGAGAGGAGAAAGTATTGAGACATTTACAAATTCTAAAGTTTTGTCCCAACAAAATTGGCCTACTTGGCGGAGTGCAGGGAGAAGAGTGGATATGGGGAAAGTTGAAAGAAGGATAACTAACTACTAATGTCATCATCATCATCATCCTAAATGTCAATATTACTTTGCTCAACATTCCCAGCACAATAGTTTCGTCGCATATTGTCTCTGCCTCACATGCTTAGTCGTAGATCTGCATATTCGGGCAGTTACGCAAGGAAAACATCAGTTCCTAAAATGCACAACTTATTAAATTCTCCAACTTCAAAGGCATACGTACACAAGTTGCAGCATCACTTAAGCCTTGTGTAATCTCAGGTGTATAAAAAACACCTGACCTTGCCCAGTGTCTCATTCTCGGTATGGTTTTGATAACCCTCGAAATATCGTAGCATTAACTGGAGCTTTATATACGATGACGTTTAGTGACTTATCGAGCTTACGCTGCAGATTGAACGGGGGAGTTTTGGCAACTTGGTGAATCTGGGTCAAACATTAAATTATTGTGAACTTGAGTCCCACATATTTACAAGAGCTATATCATTTACACAAGTTCTATACACGGTATCCAGAAATAATAATGTAGAAATGCACACTGCTCAACTCAACTCTTGGGCACTGGAATGAGAACAAAGTTGAGATGGAAGGTAGACGAGAGTTAATCGGATAAGGATCGTTGACGTCAGTCAAATAAACTAAATTCGAGTCAAACTTCCAACTCCGTCGCCCTGAATTCTTCAATCCGAGCATTAAGTAAGCATTTTAGTCGTCCTCCTCTCTTCTTATATCTCACACACGACACTTGTTTCGCAGCAAACATCTCCCACACCATCTCCGAGCTTCCCTGCATCCAAATTTCTCCCAGGAAAGAAACATCCCAAAAATCTGCTTCCGTTTTTTTGAACCTCGACGTGCCCTGAGTCAGTTGTACATACGTTCCTTGTTAGAAAGATAAACAAAAGAATATTTTTGCCTCCTTTCTCTCCTCCTGAGCCAGCCCAGGAGGGTGGAGAAGGGCCTTTTCGACTTTGCCTAATCTTTAATAATCTCCACTTTCCACTTTCACCAGAGATGATCGATGACTTTTTAAATCACTTGTTCCTAGCCAATCTTGTAGGCATGCAGTATTCCAAAAACGAGTGTGTATGTGGGTTTTAGGGGAGGATTTGTTTTTTCTGCCTCTGGATATGAAATAGTCAGACTTTGGCCTAAATGGAGCGTGAAATGAGAAAGTGCTGGCATTGAATTAAAATTTGGAAAGAAAATAAATGTTTTTCGGTTCATTTTCATTTAAGCTGCTCATAATCATATACCGACTTTGCATACATAAGTCCGCTGCTGCTTCTTATTGTTTGCATACATGTAGATACTTTAATTTTCTCATGTAGGAACAAACTTTAGTGTTGAACTGACTTATCCATCACGAGGAAGAATGGTAAGAAGAAGAATGCATAAGTCAAGATCTCGGAAGCTGGTCGTCGTGAATACTTTGAATTCCAGTCATTTCCATCCTCTTTCACTTCATAAAATCTTGTCTTTAAAGTTTCATAAGTTTCAGAGCAAGTTTGAATTGTTTGCGAATAAGTAAAAGAAAATTCGTTTTTTATTCCAATCTTTTTATCTCATTCGCATCACACCACGAACTGGAGTGCATATGACTCTGCGTGTGTGGAGAAGTTTTTTGGTGGGGATTGAAATGAGGTTGCTGAGGGAGAGTCGGATGTGGGAGATGATGCCACTACTGAGTTGTTCGAGTGAGAGAAACAGCATGAGATTTGATAAATTATCAAAGTTTAAAGTTTTACGGAAATTCCACAAGAAAGCCCAAAGTTTGACCATTCCCGCAAAAGTGCAAAGTGTAAAGCAAATGTTTGAAATGGTCCCTGGGCTGCGAACTAGGAAGCCTTTACTGGCACAGTTTTATTTGTGAACTCCATTTTTACAATTTGATAAGTGAAAGTGTATTATTAAAAGCTAACAGCATGCTTTTCCATCTTGTCCAATGAGGTTAATGGCAGTTTTTTAAGTGAAAGTGAAAGCGCCCGAGGCTGGGCTGATGTCGTGGTGTCGTATTACACACAGGAAGTGGAAGAAATTACAAATAGTGGAGCACTTTGGTGTCCCCTTCTTAAAATAAGTGCGGTGGCTTTGGGCTACCCGCAGTGCTTTGTTTTGAGCGCAAGTCACATTTTTAAAATGTTAAAAACTATACATTTTCTCCAAATGTGAAATATGTCCCTAATTTGATATTTTGTTCTCTATTTCAGGAAATTGCAGCGATATTAATCAGCTTTGCCCATCATCCAGAATGGTTGTCGAAGGAAGTGAAAATCAGGTGAGATCATGTACAACCTTCAAAGCCATAAAACAAGGAGTAAAAGCACCTGTCGGGGTTGATGACTACAAGAGAAAGTAGGCAGACGTATGTGTCGGTATGAATGTATGGGCACGACGCCCTTGTACCACAGGCAATTAATATTAAGTTAATTTTATGAACAATAATTGCCAGCCTTCCTCCTCGCTCTCGTCGTCGTCGTACAGGACCAAGAGCGTTTCTTACAAGCCATTCGGCGAACCAGTACCGCTGTTGTGCAGACTGGCCAAAAACATGAACATGACGGCGACATATATATAACAGCCTAATAGTTGTGGTAAATAGGCATATTTGGGTGTGTAGGTAATAATCTTTACCATAATCTTAAAACGGCATTTAGATCATCATCAGGACAAAAATCTATACAAAAAAGCTCATTTCTTCGCCACTGAACGGGGAGATTAGGACAAATAGTAATAACCCACATTTAATATAGGAGAGACCCACAATAAATATAAAACAGTTCATAAAAGTGGAATATTAGTGGAAAAACAACAAGGGAATTCCATCACGTAATTCAATATGGTTAGAACATTCACAACATGAGGAGAAAAGGTGAATGAGGTTGTTCATGTACTTATTTTTTGCGGTTCGGATTAAATCCCAACAATTAATTGTAGTGGTCAAACACATCAATTTCACGGCCTTTCATGACCCGAGCACATTTACGGCTTATTTAATCGTGCGATGAGAACAAAGTCCTTTTGTTTTATGTTCAAGGCCCATCCTTTTCTAATCTAATAAGGATTCCAGAAAGGTTGCAAGTTCTGGAACATTCATTGATAACAACAAAACTGCAAAAAAAGCTCTTAATTTTCCTCTTAAATTAGTAATTTACGATGAAAAGGATGTTATCACCAACAATATTATAATTTATACTCACACCTTAAACGGCAAATTGCATTAGAAACTCAATAATAGAGGAAGTGGATCGCATGAGCGTTACCCTTTTGGCACACAACAATGAAATATTCCACTGCCCATAAATATTTCCGCTCCTGAGTGTACACACAACCCATGAAATTTTATGCGAAGAAACCACAACGAAACATGCACATGGTTGTGTTAAAACTGAACTGTTAATTCGTTTCACAGTGGAATACTTACTACGTAACAGCATCAACATTCTATGCATACATATTTACATAGTTATGCAAACCATTGTGCATATATTGCAAAGTGGTGGTGTATGTATTACAAAATATGTAGTAAACATGTAAGTAGTATTCGCGATTGTATAAGAATATGCAAAAACCGTGGAATGTGCAATCAACGGGTGACCATTCATCATGTTTATATAATTTTTGATCATTTGAAGTAATCGTCGTCTCGTCAATGCGTTTTTTCTGAGATAACTCTTTCTCTCATTGTTTTTGTGAGAAAAAGTGGTGTGGCAAGTGTATTGAAAAGCTCGTCTCCTGCCTGGTGGGGAATGGCTTACGTCCGTCCTCGTCCTGATGATGATGATGAAAGCAAATGTCCTCGTGATTTTCTCTCCATTTTGATGTGGGCAAGTTTGGTAGTTCGATAATCTGAAGACTTTCTCGCGTGTCCAATAGCCCTTGGGGACACACATTATATGCTCTCCTCTCCTCCTGCTTTCTCCGATTACAGGTTGCATTGCATTGGCTGGAGGGAGGGCGATATTGGCTGTGGTTGCAAAATCAAAGCAAGCACAAATGTGGTGCATAGTCGGGCAGAGAAAGCATGCAGCGTGCGTACGTATTTGTGTATGTTGTTGTCGGTCCGGATTTTATCACTCACTCGGGGAGTCCTTGTTCATTAAATCAATCACTGCTCCTACTCCTCCTGGCTCTCAAAAAGCACACAGACCTGCACCACTGAACCCAATGTGGAGGAGGAATGTACAGTGCATACGTTCGTACCTCCGAATGTGGGCTATGTGGCACATAAAGCACACAAATACGTACCTACATAGTCAGTCACCCGTGATGTTTAGATTTGAGAAGCCGATTCCGATAGCAGGAGAGGAATTTATGACGGGAGGAAAAATCTTTATGGAAATGGATGATTATGGATGGACTAAGCACGTTTCTTCGCCACAACTGCTGCTGCTGCATACGTACGTTCGTAGGCGAAGGAGTGCTGCGGGCGAAGGAATTCTGGACCCGCCATGATAAATATTGTAGAGAGAGGAAGAAAGTCGTGGCGGTGATGTCGGCTGTGGAGCACTTCCTCCGAGCCGACTGTGAAATATAAAGATGCATATCAATACATGAAGAGAGGGAAAGTGGGCTCGATCTTGGCTTAAATTTCCTCTCCGTCTGCTTAGTATTCAAGTGCAGGCTGTGCTTCTGGTCATAACATAAATATTGAGAAACACCTGAGCGGCATACAGCTTTATCGCCAAAAGGAATACTTGAATGGTCCTCTCCTTCTCCCTCGTATGCCATGCACCGAGAGCGGAGAAGGACAGCGCGCGGAGAAAGCGGAAGATGCTGAAATGTTGTATTTTTATTCTATTTTATGTGGAATGGTGTCCAGACCGAAAAGTGGCTCGATGTTGCTCTACTCGAGGAAGAAAGTCCGCTACCGTCGGGATGGCTACTGCTGGAAGAAGCGGAAGGATGGGAAGACCACGCGGGAAGATCACATGAAGCTGAAGGTGCAGGGGACCGAGGTAAACAAAGTGAAACCACTAATTCTTCTTCCGCCTCCACTTGCATGGTCACCGCGAGAACAGGCCAAATCTCACCACCAGCCCCACCACCACCACACCTCCTTTGCTCTAATTTCCACTCGCCTTTCCTACTTTCTTTTCACTTTCCCTCTCACCCGCTGCTTACGGAGAGAGGAAATATAGCCCCGCTTCTCCCTAAATCTCCCTTCTTCCTCTGCCTCGACGTTGTGTTGTGTGGTGGAAACTGCTCTGCTGTGCTTGTAGTTAGTTTCCTCTCTCTCTCTTTTTATTTCATTTGCGAAGGAATTCCTTCAAGGGAAACGTAAAGTGGAATAAAATAAAATCTATCTCAATTCTCATGCCGAATCTCGGGTTTTTGTTCATCCGAGCGAGAAGAACTAAGAACTGAAAACCGGGTGGTGGTGGGTGTGCTGCTCCTTTCTCAGATCTCCTCGCACTTGGTCTTGTGCTCCTGGCAATGTTGTCCCACCACGACCGCCAAGGAAAAGCTTCTTCGTTACCAGGACGTGGAATGAGCTGCTGGCTCTTTCACTTATGGATGACAGCTTATCTCCGCTTAAAAGTTGCTTCTCAGTCCACACGCTGTCTCCTCCTCGTCCTCCTCGCATCTTTGTCGTAAAAATTATTTATTTATTCATGAACTTATGGGCAGACTTTTCAACAATAATAACGATCCCTCATTCACCGTTAGTTCCGAGTGGCACAATTTTGCCCGGCCAGAAAGGTCTCCTTCCTCCAGGTCGTCAAAAGAAAAGTATAGTTGTAAAGTTGCAGGAGATTAAATATTCAGGATTATTATTATTATGCAGATAGTCCTCTGGCATATTTTCCCATTGATTTTTGCACTCGTGACAGCTTCTCCTCGAGCCTGTTCCAGTTTGCCAACCAAGAGGAACAAGCAATTTGGGCGACGATAATGACGCTTTCGCAGTAATCATCCTGCAACAGGACGACTCACGCCTTTTCTTGTTTGCTTTCACTGCTTCTCAGCCTTACACCACATAAGTAAGCAAAGTAAAGTAATAGTGCATGTAATCAGCGTGTTCAGCCACACCATCAGCACAACCAATGTTCTTGCGGGACAAAATTAACGCTTTGGGTAATCAAAATGTGACCGTGTACATACTCTCACGAGCAAATGCATATTTTAACCCTGAGGAGGGGAGCTTGCGAGGTTGATAATAACAGATATTGGTGCCCTTTGGATATGTGGTAGGGACCCATGAGTGTACTAAAACCCTGAAGTAGTTTGACTCCATGGCCACATTTGCGCCCGCCACACCCACTCAAAAATGTCCAAAAAACGCTTTCACCCCAGTTTTCACTCACTCAAATCCACGCCAAAAATCCAATTTTACTCGGATTTTGAAATTTCTTTCACCATTATACTCCCAGATAGTTGCTTTCTTCAATCCAATATCAAACTCAATTATTTCGAAATTTTTAGTATTTTTAAAATTTAAAATTCTGAATGAGCATTGTTGTAGTCATCAACAAAACAAATTATGTTTGCGAAATAATCATCAATAAAATTGAGTTTGATATTGGATTGAAGAAAGCAACTATCTGGGAGTATAATGGTGAAAGAAATTTCAAAATCCGAGTAAAATTGGATTTTTGACGTGGATTTGAGTGAGTGAAAACTCGAGTGAAAGCGTTTTTTGGGCATTTTTGAGTGGGTGTGGCGGGCGCAAATGTGGCCATGGAGTCAAACTACTTCAGGGTTTTAGTACACTCATGGGTCCCTACCACATATCCAAAGGGCACCAAGATCTGTTATTATCAACCTCGCAAGCTCCCCTCCTGAGTAAATGGACCTCTTTGAATTTCAGTGCATTTACGGATGTTACGTCCACTCTGCAATATTGCCCACGTAAGGAGAACAACTTTTCGTTTTTACACTCATCTCCTCAGTTTAATAAGTCTCTTAGTTTGTCACGTGATTATTGCATGACAAACTTTTAGTCTGGTTAAATTGTGTTTCATAAGTAAAATTGTTGCAACGAATGAGACGACACGTATTAATCGGACATTCTCTCTTGTTTATTTTTAGATTTCATCGACGGTGCTACTGGCTGTTACAGGTATCTATATTTATCCTCTCGAAGCCACACGTCGTCGTCTGCGACAGGAGCGGAGGAGGAGGAAGAATTGATTTTAATAACAATTTAGAAAAGTGGTACGAAGACAAATGGGGAGATGTAGGATGAGATTTTGTCGAGGCATAAATAAGGCGAGAAAGAATGGGAACGTGCATTTTATTTTGCAGGGTGGTCCATAATCCGTTGACTCGCTACTTGTAACTGCCTCGGCATATTTCATTCATTTCACTCCACAACCTTTCTCAGCTGGGAGGGCAAATAAGTAGAAACAGAATCTAAATGTTGCCTTGTCCATCGATGGCAGCAGGTCATTGTGGACTGTGTGCATGGCGTACGTAGCTGGGTCTCAGTCCCCGGTGGAGGAAGTCGGGAAGAAAGTGTTTTGTTATATCCGAGCTGGCTTGGCAGACAGGTAATAAATTAGACTTTATCATCAAAGGCACTTTGAGACTTTGTCCTCACTTTTCACCACCACCTCCTCGACAACCACAAACAACAATGCCACGGAGGTGAGTGAGTGAGTACTGAACTGCCACCAACTAGCCATTCTCTCCCCCTAATTGTCCAGGCATAAATTAACTGTGGCATAAACTAACCTTGAATGAAAAGTCGACGGTAATGAATTACTCGCCTCTCCTTCTTCTTCATCTTCCTGATGAACTCAATTGAAATGAGTTGTAAAATTCCGGGAGCTCATTTACATAAATTCATCTCTTAATTGGGGCGCAGAGCTTTCCAACATTTTGGAAAACCGATCGGCTCGAGGAAAAGTTTTGCTGCGGGAGGAGTGAGTATGAAATTGTGTGTGTGGGATGGATTCATGGCATCAAAAGTATCAAGGACTCAAACAGGAAAAGCTTTTGAGCCTTTGTGGCTCTGACAGTGCATTGTTCTTGAGGAAGTAGCGAGTTGGTGCTGGGTGGTGGTGCACGGGGTGGCCACCCAAGACGACCACCACCGCATCGCCACCGACACCGATTATTGAGCCGACGTGGAGTCAAGTAGTCACCTTGGCTCAGTCACAGCACAGCATCATATCGCCAACTCGAACATGCCAATTGACACGGGGATATCAGGATGTGATGGGAGAAAGTTTTCATGCAGAGCTGCCCCGGGCTCCGCTTCAGCAGAGGAGAAAGTAAAGAAAGTACAAGTTCTGAGTTGGGAATGTGTTTCGTTACTCAATTGGCAATGGAACATTGGGAAATAAGAGTTTGGCACATCCTGCTGAGCATACGGGGCGGATGAAAGCCGAGAAGAGGTAATTTCACGTGGGCCATATTTTTATCAATTTTCCTTTCAAAATGCACTTTCTCTCGCCGTCTGGCTGACTGAGCCTTCCCGAGAAGAAGGGAACTTGAGAACGGGTGTGTGTGTTGGAAGGCTGCGTTGGGTGAAAGGAGCTAAAGTGACGTGACAGGAAATAAATTCTTGCCCCGGCTGATGAAAGACTTCAAAGGGGGTTGAATCGAGAAATGAGCTCCTCATTTGTTACTCTCTGCCCCGATTCGGATTTTAAAATGCCTTCCTTTCAATTGAATGTGCATATAAGTGCGACTCCTCGGCGAATATATGTACTTTTAAGCATCTCTTCCTCCTCCTCCTACTCGACCGATCCTCTTACCTTCGTTATTTTGCATTCACTTCAAACTCAACTCCTTCCTCGACTGACACGTAGATCGATGCACAAGTAATATGCGTGTCTCACAAGAGGAGGAGACTTTTTTTAGAGGAATTTGGTCTTGTAAACGGTAAAAGAGAAGAAAAAGGCTTCTTGTGTGGTTAAATTAGGATGCTTTGTTTTGCAGAACCCCGACATCGTGTTGGTGGCGTATCTAAACGTTCCCTATCCTGATGACAACAAGCTTATTATCACGTCCAACGTGTCCTTGTAAGTGCAGTGCTTATACCCTAACGACATAGCCCATCTAATGCGCGACCACGGTCTCTCTTGACAATTAGGTGGGGGGACAAGAAGGAGTGGACAAAGGAAGAACTCATCTCCCAACTTAAGCCCATGTGTAAGTACAACTTTAAGGATAATATTTATTTTAAAGTTGCTCGTCTATATGGCACTTATTTATTGCTCGACTCTGGCCCTGGATAAAAACCACCATGTTGTCGTGTGTATTCCGCAGATATGTAATAACACTCATCCTTCTGCAATAGACAGATAGACCTGCGGAGGAAGATTTATCGTTACCATTTAATCTCTAAGCAGTACCGTTTTGAATTAAATTACTTGAATTCATGGATAATTTAAGTGTGCGTTACGACCAAAATAGAAGCTCAATAGTCATCCATTTGTTAAAGATTGGACGGCATAATCCACCTTTGCGAGCGTATTAACTCCCACATTCCCCCATCCAGCTCGTATCGCTCTCACATATCTGCCATATAAATAGTCCCCGAAACAGGGACCCACCAAACAGCATTTCCAAGCTCTGCCTGTATCAATGTGGGCATCTTTTCTGGTCTTCATTCTCCGACTCCTTATCCCAACTCGATCCCGAGACATTTCCATTCATCTCACTTTATCGAGTGGATAATTCGCTTTCTCTTCCCAAAGACTCGCTGCGTCTCCCAAACCCATTGGTCCAATCGGGAATCAGCAGCCAATTCCAATGTGCCCTCAGCCATTGACATTCATCTCTATATTCCATCCTCCTGATCCCCCTTCCGTCACAGAGTTAATTTTTGAGAGGCCTCGCAGAGGAGAAATGTTGACCGTGAGACCCATGCATAACTGAACAAACACGTCAGCTCGTTCCGACCAGTGCAGCACGAGAGCCGTGTGGGAAGAGATCATGTATTATTACAATGTCGTGCCGGCTATTTTCGTCGTCATTATGGAACTAATTACCATGAACAAAATAGTTGTGAGAAGAGATGCTTTCACTCGCAAGCAACCAACCTCCAAGTGCAAAAACCTTGCTTCGCTCATCAGTTATATCGTTTTATAAGGAACTCTTCTCCAGAACATGCACTTTTGGAGACGAGGAGAAAGGAAGGGAGCAAGAAAACAGGAGGAGACCGCGTGTATGTAGCAGGAGCAGAAGAAGGAAAGAAGGGAGGATGGATGGATGGATGTTGGGAGTAATGTCCATTGATCTTGATGGCGAATGTGGATCGGTTGTTGTTTGTCTTGTCCTTTCCATGTCCCCGAGTGGAATTCTGAACAGCGGACAATTCGCTTACATCCCGCATTCCCATCTCAAAGACATTCTCTCCTCCGAAATTTTCCCAAGCAACAAAAAAGTACGAGAGGGGATAAGAATGTCTTCTATTTGGAGTTGTGTCCTTCTCTCTTACTTAACTTTTGGCCAATCAACGGCCGTGACGAGGGTCAGCACAGAGTGGACACACCATGTAACTGCTCACACAGCTCTCTACCCCTGCCAAATGCTAATTGTCGCCTTCTCTCGCTTTCCTCATCTCGGTCCCTGTGTGCGCTCAAGAGTTTGCCAAGAAGTATGGAAGTTAATGCCACCAAGAAGTTGGTGGTCAAAGGACAAGACCAGAAGTGCGAGGAGAACTAGCTGGACCAACCAACTGGCTGTCTCTATACATGGCCAACTTTAACGGACTGCCAACTGCCACTTTGGCCAAGCCACACCAATGCCGATACAAGAGTTTCACCTTTATTCACTCCATTTGCACTCATGTGTCTCTTGAGACAGAAGAGAGAGAGAGAAATAACAATTTGGTCAGAAACTTGAGGAAATGGTCAATGGGCGGATGTGAGGCTGAGCAAAAGTCGTGGGCTCGATGATCCATTCTTCTTTTGTATTGTCACTACTTTTACGTACGACGTGCAGCTACCGGCCCGGACCAGTTAACACAATGTTCATCCGTCAAATTTACTACATTTTTGCCACTTGGAGAGCCAGTGTAAAATCGGAGCAGTTCGACAGTCTGCATCATCTTTCCCTCTGGGACCACCAAGAACAGAGTCCATCCATATAATCTCACGTCTGTATACATACGTACATACACCTCAGCCATGTACGTAGCTAGGCCCATATGAATATCTGCGAATTGATGCTACCACGAGGAGTGCCACATGCAACCATGAATGAATGAAGCACTTTATTTTGGTCCCCTACTACGGAAATGGATGTGTCCACGGTTGACTGGATGGCTTGGAGTTGATGGTGAAAATTTCTCTTGCAAGGACATCAAAAATCCGAGAATCGAGACCAAATTCCCAACTGGATCCTCGTTCAGCTATTCTTGCCAAAAGAATTTCCACCTCCTTCTCCTCCTCCTCTTCCTCCCATTACTGCCACGCAGCCCAGAAAGAAAGCAAGCCAGCAATCACTGTGTCACTCGTTGGCAATCAGTCAGTCGCATTTTTGTCAAGTCAACATTGTTCCAACACTGGGTCACAGCAGCTCTCGCGACCTACGAATTTCGCTCTGCCTGTGCAAAATGTGCCACCAGTCGTGGTCTCGCTCAAGGATGCTCGATCTGAGACATGTCCCCCTTCCTATTCCACCACTGTATCCTATTTAATAGCGGCGGTGGGTACGTATTAAGCGTGGCTGGAGAACCTTTGCATCTGGCGTAAGTCAGTGGTGGTCGGGAGGAGGAGTGGCGGCATGTAGTACATACTCGGGCATGGTGGGCTAGGACTGGGAGTCGGTTGGTGGTAGTGCTTAAAGTCAGAGGCAGTGGCTTGGTATGAGAATTTATGGAGGCAATAAAATACATGTTCTTTCTTTGTCTATTGATCCACAGTTTTCAGTGAAGAGGAGCCTGATCTCAATAACGAGCTGGAGCTATCGGTACGTAACTTACTCCTCCAGCCAGCTCTTCCCTGTCACCTTGCTTTCTCTCACATTCTTTATGATGTCCCTCTCACACTCGAGACGACGACGGACCCACTGTGTGCAAAATACTTAAATAGGGGACGAGTGCCAATCTTGTTTCATCCAACAGCTCGCTCACTTTCTCCTCCGCAACCTGCTCTGCATACAATATGCTCATGTCCCCGTCTTTAAGGAGGAGGCGGATTACATTCAATCATCACTGTCACCTTCATCCAACCTCACTTCATTCCCACTTCTCCTTTATTACGTCTGTCACACCTCCCTCACAGCCACCACCACCTCCTCCCGTCTTCTCACAGACTCACTTTCTCCCCGCATCTTTTGGGGTTGACGAGTGTCAAACATCTCATTTTATTTTATGATTGAGCTCACTCACTCCTTCCCATTCTCGCGCAATAACAAAGCTTGACGACTTTACTCCAACTTTTGACTCGGTGCAGGAATGAATCTGAAAGTCGCGTTCTCGTCCACGAGGAGGATGCTCTGTGTGTGCATGTGTGTGGCACATTTCTGAAAATGGGATCATTTTTCCTTCAGTTATCGATTTCAAAGCTGCTCTCACAAGATTTGGGAATATTAAATCTCTTTTTTCTCTCTCTGGTATTAAGAACAACAGAGGTTGGAAAGTGGGTAGGATATTATTATATGGAATCATAGAATGTTGCATGGATTTGATAGATACGGAAAGTAGAAGATTGGATGATTTTGATTTGGGATTTTTTTAGAATTTTTATTCTGAGTGGTTCCACTGCTTCATCGTTTTCCTGGAGTTTGACTTGTCGTGGTTTGGTTTGATTTTGATTGAAGCAGCGAAGCTTGGTCGGAGATTTTGGAATCACAAATAAAGTGAAAGCTGGGCAAAAACGGCTTCCGGAAAAGGGAAATAAAATAAATAGGGATATGCGTTTGGTGAATTTTGTATAAGTCGGGATGACTGCGAGTGCATGACTGTTGATATAATGCTGGGATCTTCTTCGAGTAAATTGTTTGCAATCATATTGCGGTTTGAGGTTCTCTGTGTTGTGCTGCTCCTGCTACATGAGCAGATTCTGCGACGAGGCACCGCGAGGTTGAGGTTGAAATAATTTGTGAAATTGTTGGATGTTGACTGAGTGGTTTTGGAGGTGGTGTGCCTCTGCTATCATCCACAGAAGTAGTTCATCTCGGAATTGTGTTCCAGTCTTACTTCTTCTGGCTCAATTTTTGAAGGGCGACCAACCAACCGCCAGGAAAGCGGGTAGGCGACGCACGGTTTTCCATATCTTCTCGTTATTGCCTGATGCCGCTCCTGCATGGTTCTTCTTCGTACTGGATGTTCGATCAATTTCAATTTTATGCTCGGTGGACATCAATTTGATTTCCTCCTCTCCGACGCTTTGCACCCTCCGCCTGACTCCATGATTCAATCCACATGAAAACAATTTTACAAATGTGGAACAAAATTTGAGATGGTTACTGCATTTCAACAAAAAGGCGACTTCCCAGCCTTAGAATCCCCTGAAAAGGATGAGCTCCAGGAATGTGTGCTTCAAATATTCGTTCCGCCCCAGTCCAGCACAGGCATTTCTTCATTCCAGTTTGTGTGCATTTCCTCTCTTATCCATACCTTCCCTCCTATCCGACGTTTCAATCCCTCGTGCACACAGTGGCAGTAGTAGAAGAGCTTCAACTTGTGCATGGAAACAAATTAAGATTATGTACCTGTCGACCGCCTCCAATTTGACGCCTTCAGAGACAATAACAATACTCATAGTAATTCTAAATAATGAGCAACCTGACATTTGTGAATCGAGGACCGCACCATCACCTCCTTTATTTGATAATGACTTAGATTCTGCTGGCGATAATTGCAAAGGAGCTGAGGCTGAAGTTCTGTTTTAATCCGGTGGGCACGGAAAGTTTCTCACCCGGATAATTTTTAAGTCTCGTCTCAACTTCTGCTTCTCTCATCTAAAACTCTCATCCTCAGAAGGTCGGATGCACCTGAAAGAAAATTAAGCTCACCACCAGCTCCATACATTCATTTCAGAGCTGTGCTGATATTCTACAGACAAGTATTTAGCTAGGGAGCCATGTTAAGCGAGGGGAAAGATGTCGGCAAACCGAAATTGAATGCACACACCTCGTCTAAACTTTATATAAGCCTACTCGTTGGTTGGTTGGTTGGTTGGTTGGATGGGATTTTGAGTTCTTGGAGGGCGAGCCTTGCCAAATCTTGTTCAATTAGAGAGAACTCTATAAATGTAGGGGCACAATTTGTGAATGATTGTGAGGAAAAAGAGTGAGCAGCGGGAGAGGCCGAGATAATTTGAGTGTGTTGGGAAAATGTAAATCAATGTGGTTTCGGTTTCATCCTACAGTGAGTTTGGTTAGTGAATTGTACTTTCTCCCTGGTCCTCTGCCTCTCTTTCGGGGCATGCACTCAGTCACTCTGTGACCAGACGATATGTTTCATGTCTCCCTTTTCATGGCTCCACTACATCGCCCTAATTACCCCGAAACCAGCATTCACGTTGGACGACAAGGATAATTGCCAATTTTCGCAGAGTGTGTGTGGTTCGTTGTGGGCCCAAACTTGTTTCCAGCAATGATCAGCTCTCACACAGGGGAGGGCGAGCGAGGAGGGGAAGATGCGGTGTTGTGAGCCCAAAGTGAGTCAACTTTTAGAATGGAATGAAATTGTCTAAATTGACATTTGATACGAGACGAGATGCAGACTTGGAAAGTGTAATAATCCGCAACTGACTCGAGACGAGAATGTTGGAAGATTGATGTAGATGTTGATGTCTCGATTCCCATTTCTCTCCTGAATATTCCCCCATTACGTTCACATGAATAATATCCTCACCCCTTTTATTATTGTTATATGCCCTCCACTTTATACACATCCTTTCCACACACACACAAATATAGTCTCTCTAAAAACATCGTTTTTCACCATCCTCGCCCCTCCGTTTGAGATAATACTCATTTTTCTACACCATTTTAAAATGCAGCCGGGTCTCGCACCCGGTCTGTCCTACAACTGGAGGAATACGGCATCTGGGAATGACGAGTATATGCAATTCTACATCAATTCCGTACATTTCCTGACTTGTGAGCGGAGAAAGAATGATGAAGTTGGGAGAGCTACGTGGATGGGGACCAGGTGAAAGTTTGGACGTGGAAGGGGCAAGGAAAGACATCGACTACTCTTTTTTTTCTTTTACGATGAGAGAACACATGTCGGAAGAATGTTGGAGAAAGCTGGGACGCAATTGTTTTTCGATGCAATTACTAATAAATTATCCTTCACATTCTGATGCAGAGTTCCCCCTCGTTAATTTTGATTTGCAAAATTCCCTGCATTATTTTTTATTATGAAAACTATATTTTCGTGTAATAAAACGACGCCTATGATAATTCCAGACTGCGGAGACGGTGGAAGCAATAGTGATGCAACTAATGGAGAAACAAAGACTCGCTCGTCAAGCCATTTGTTCTGGGGACACTCTGACCGCATCAGGCCCAAATTCCAACTCGAGCTCGAGCAACCATGTCGTCAGCTCCAATAGTTCCGTGGTGGGAACAACGGGGTCAACGACGACACGTCTCTCGTCCTCTTCGTCCACTTCGTCCTTGGTTCAGCTGACGAACGGTGGTCCTTCTATCGTCGCCACTGTGACAACAAATCAGCCACACAACCAAGGTCAAGTAGGTCACCCTGCGACGAACAGTATCAAAACCGAGCCTGGACATCAGATCCACCAGACGACGAACGGGACGACGAGATTAGCGACGGCTGTGATGACGACGGCTGGGAGCAGCAATGGACATCATCATGGGAGTCAGGACCGACCTTTCCTGCTAAACTTGAGCCAGTTCCAGACCACAGGAGGACTCATAATTCTCAACGGGAAGCCCACGGTGACGACCACGTCGGGGGGCGGGGTGGGTGTGACTCAGAACCATTCTGCCTCCGTTCAAGCGACGCACCACTCAGCACTGGCAGCTGTACAAAACCTCAAGTGAGTTAATTACAGCACCGCCCGTGGTGTGGGAGAAAGTAGGAAGGAGGACGAGAGATATGACCAATAATTGTCAAGTCCATATAAAATACGTCAATTTAGATGGGATACATATTTTCTTGATAAGGTTTTTAATTCTGATGATTTTGTGCAGTGGGAACGCTTCGCTCACTTCCACTCTTTCTTTCATGGACGTCCAAAATGCGAACGAGTCCGTGGTCCGTGTCCCCTCTACGAGTTCCAACCAGACGCTCTTGATCCATCACACACAGAGCCAGCAGCACTTTGCCACCGCCGTGGCTTCTGCCCACCCACATCAAGGCCATGGGGCCCACCCACATCAGAATCACCACCACCAGCAACTCCACCACCACCCTTCTCAAAGTCAACAACAGCACACGGTGCACCACCCTCCACATTCGTCAGGAAGTCATGTGACTCAGGTAGTCAATCATGTAGGGCCGTCCCCAGGGGACAGTGGTGGTGGAAGTGGTGGCGGTGGTGGTGGTGGTGGGGGAGCGTCACATCAGGAGCTGTTGACGTTGGAAATGTCACACGAGGACATTCAGCAAACGCTGTCTGCGAATATGGGCATGGGGGACAGTGGAGGCGACCTGGAACCTATGTCACCTTCCGCTGATGATGTCTTTGTCAACCTTGACGTTGACGCGTTTGACATTTTGGCCGACTTGTCCGATGATTTGGACCAGAGTCATCATAATGGAGTTCTCATGGGGGTTGTTACCGAGAAAACCACCATCGTCGACATCAATCCTGAGTGGGCATACTCAGAGGTGAGTTTCAGTTTTCGAGGCAAAACCTCGTACCTCGCACCAAATTTCTGAGACGTTTCTGACACGAATCGTGGAAATATTTATTCGCTGCTGCTCCCAAATGCCACTGCTCAGCATGACGCAAATTGTCCACGTCCATTACTTGATTTGTTCATCAGATCGAGGACAGAATATATACACAGCCAGTTCACCCACATATTGCGAGGCGTGGGATATATTCGCCCAGTCCGGGCCAGAAGGTGGCCACGGGTCAGCGTATAATTACAAAACTGGTTCGGACGGTATTAATTGTATTGGAATGAGACAGGAATCAGCTTATCTAGCTTCCTGCCCATGCTTTAATTAGGATAAATTGTCCCGTTGAGCACAATCACTAGTGAACAATGAGCTTTCCAATCCATCTCTGTACGTTCCTCTCATTGTGTCCCTCCTCCATTATTCCTTTCTTTTATTGGTTTGATGAATGAGCCCCCATGGCCCTCCACATTTATCTCTCTCTCTCTCTCTCTCTCTCCCTCTCTCCAGCCCCAACAACTCCAACGTGGCAACTTCAACATGCCCGTGAAGTGATAGTGAAACAACAATAACACACAATTTCGAGTAATGTCACGACCATAAATCAAGCCTCTTCTTCAAATCAAATTCACCAAGTATTAAATTTTGTAATGATGATCGACTTTATATTGTTCATCATCCTTCGCACGAAGCTACATATTCCTCTGCCCATGCTGGTGCTGCTGGTTGGTTGTATTTCATAAGAGTAATTTCCTAGGCCTCCGTATCTGATGGACTGGAGCCATAAATACATAAGCATAATTATGGAGGACGCGGAATGAGTGAATTCCAGAATGATCACCTCGTGTGAGACGGGGAAAGTTTTAGGAAATGTAATGAGACAGGAGACGACTTTCTTTATTGCTTTCTCCTCCTCCCAATATTCACGAGTATCGGACAGAGATCTCTCGCCCAGTACCCATCACTCACTCATTGCATGTACGGTTCGTGTGTGTGTGTGCAAGTAATAAGGCTGCAGAATAAGCTTTCGCCCGGCCTACATCAACTCCTAGTCTGACTGGGAAAGAGATAAGGATATTGATTGACAGCATTTTGTTGCTAGTTGGACGCCCAAGCTTCGTGTCAGTTCCAAAATAAAATGCAAACGAAGCATGTAAAAGCAAAAATAAAAGTGAGTGAAATGAATCCATTTGCTTCCTGTTGTGCAGAGGAGAATGTTTGGATTGCACGAGTCCACCCACTATTAGCAGCCCCACTACCACCGTCTAGCCCAGCCTGTGTAATGTGCAGTAGTAGGAGCAGTAAAATAAAAGCAAACAGCAAATGTTTTTACTCTCCTTTCCACCTTGAAACTCTGCCATCCATCAAATTTAACGAAATGAAATGAAACATGCAGATGGTGGTGGTGGGTTTCGGCAGTGTCAGAGCTAACTAACTCGCATAGGCAACGTTTATTTTGGGAACTTTCTGGATTAATCAAAAAATTCGGGCTTGGTCGTGTTTAGATTGGGAATAAAAGTTGAATTGAAAAGCGATGGCAAGTTTCGAGGTTTAGCAAAGATTAGTTGGTCCGACTCTGAGGGGCTGCTTTCACTGGCTCCGTACACACAAGCGTCCGTCCAAGCGCTGCTACGGGCTGCTACTGGGTGTTGCTGATGGTTTGATGAAAGAAGCGGAAATTGGCTGTGGAATTGGGCTATATTTTATTTCACTGGGAAAATGTTGCCCAGTTGCCGGAGAGTAATTTTCTTCTTGGGAGAAAGAACATGCAAAGAAATCTCGACACACCAACTACATATATTTTTTGTATGAAAAGATGAGAGTAAATCCCATCATAAATTCGGCATCATTTTCAACGTATGTATTGCTTTACAACTACGGCTGTGATCCGTGAGGAAGGCCACGGAGATCACTGGTCGCCTGACATGACATGTATAAATGAGGATTCTTCACGATTCATTCAGATGATGAGTCTGCTCCTGCTGCGGCTGCCTACCAAACAGATAATATATTATTGTACTGCACTTTCCCCCACTCTGTCGACAACTCGAAGGTGAGTGGAAAAAGTGCACTCCCATCTCACTCGCCAATACCAAGGCGAATACACAAGTACATACGTTCGAGGAGAAAGAAGGTGCTGACGTGGTTGGCATTTGGCATTTCTGCCTGGCTTTGAGATGATGAGTGGATAATGAGTGATGCCCATACGTATGGAACTGTGTATGCGGTCGGGTAATGCAATTGTGGTTGGTTCCTTCGCAGGGTGGCACCAAAGTTTTCATCGTCGGTCAGTTCCACAACCCGCACTGGGAATACTCGGTCCACTTTGGTGAGCCCCTTTATTTAATTATCAATCTTGTTGGCTTTCCAAGGGTCGTGTAGCTCAATGATATGCACTTATCGGACATGGAGCCAAGTGATGATGCAAATTTATTTACTCTGTTTTCATTATGAAGGTGACCTTCCCGTCCCTGCCGTCTACCTCCAGGCTGGAGTTTTGAAGTGCTTCTGCCCACGTAAGAACTTTTTGTCTTTCATTTCATACGACGACGATGACGACAATGTTTGGTAAGACTATACTTGTCCCATAACAATCCCAACGCGACGGGGGAATAAGTCGTGGATAATCTTGCTGGAGCTAAAAATTACGGCTCCTCGTGTCCTATCTCGTATCCGAATCAATAAATGAATGGACGCTCTAACGGATGTTCCTCATGTTCCGGGCGTTTGGGTGGAATTTAGTTCATTTTTTGTTGTTCCCATCCCCATCGCCAGACCTCTTTCCTCCGTGGGTCGGATTCTTCCAGGAATGGAGACTCTCTCTCGCAAAATAATCCAAATCCAATCCCAAGCTAAGATTCGTGCTATCAACTCAACAATATATATCCTCCACTCAAATAGCTTCCCCCCACTTATTCCACGTATCTTTCTCCCCAATCTCCCTCCTCCGCCGCTGCTGCTGTATCAAAATCCACTCCATTTGTACTTCCTTCGCTGTCAAAGCATCTTTGATGGCTGACTGACGACCAGGAAATAGAAAATAAATCGATTCCTCCTCCGACCAGCCCTGTCTCCCTCGCTCTCCCACCTATTCCTACTCTCCTGCCCTGTTTACCTTCCCTGGAAATTGATACCTACAGACTTTTTTGGGGGTTGACACTACACGAGGAAAAATGAGGAAGAGTATAATCTCATCAGAATTTGTAGCACGCACTCTTGGGTTTTTCATTTACAGAGAAGTTATTGTGAATTTTAAACGTTTTATACAGCTCACAGCCCAGGTCTGGTGCCCATCAGGGTGTACATTCAGGTTAGTTCTCGTACCTAGGTATTCATTGGCTTCGTTTCCTATAATACTTTCAATTACACAAGAATTGAGACTTTATTGTGGAAATGGGCGCAGAATGGGAAGCAGATTTCCAACAACTCGATGGTGTTTGAGTACAAGGCGGACATGAAGATGAACTTGGTGCCGGTGCCGCCGTCAGAGGCGTCCCTCAAGCTCTGCCTAATTCATCGGATGGAGTGTTTCGAAAAGTGCTTCCAGAACTTCAACCAGAAGGTACTTACGACGCGACGATGTCATGTTTAATTCGCAAGTTGTTGTGTGTAATCAGAATTATTCTCATAATTTATCTTGTCTCCTGCTTCTCCTCCGTGTAATTTCATTTCCTTGTTTCCTTTGTGAAATATTGGTTTGATTTTACAAGTGCGTGCCCTTCCACGAAAGACAATCAACCCAAATTGACTTATCAGAAACAGAGCATAAATTCCATGAATGGCAGAAGAGGTTGTGCGATTTGGGCCTTGACAAAATCTTTAATTTACTGGAGCTGACATGATCTTGATTTATGTCTGATTTTGATATTTCTCTCCGCCGTCCTTCGTCCCGAAAAGCAAATATGTACACTATACAATCACTACAATCCTACAATCCTGCACCACTGGCAGTGCATACCTACACTCACATTCTAATAATCCCCATGCATATATATTTATGTGTGAAGGAGGCATTAGGAGGTGGCTCAATGCTTCTTTCTTGGCGGTTCTACCACGAGTTTCTTGAAATGTGATTTTCCTAAGAATTATGGAATTACATATTTCGACAAATTCATTTCAAATAATTTTGGTAGACTGTTTTGTAGCATAGCACAGACTGATCTCTCGTGCCGGCGGATTCCTATTCCTGGGAGAAAGCAATTCCTGTGTGTGCTCCCATCTTGGGCTGTGGAAGGCGTTTATGAAGGGAGAAAAAGAAGGCGGAGTAGAGAAATGTCTTGCTGGATGAGGATGTAAATTGTAATTTGTAATATGCAGAAGCATAATGAATGATTTATTCAGACTTTCTCTCTCTCTCTCTTTCCTGCTTAAAAGTGTTTCCTAATGTTTCCCTTTGAGATTTAGACACAAATTACGCTTCTTCATCCGCCACGGCTAAAACTTTGTCGTAAATAAAATAAATGTCTCACTTGACTCGCGTCTGCCATCCCACCACCTTTTAGCACGTTCACTTTTCACCTAAAATATGTGGTATCTAAATAAAATATGTGAATGATATGCCATCCGTAACAGCGGAGGATGTGGATCCTTGCTTGGCACATAAATAAATCCAACCACTTTAAAAATTTCCTTCTAATTTGTCCGCACAATCCACTGAAATAAATCTACCAAAATGAATCTACCGAAATTCCCACCTCTCGCGTTATAGACAGATAAAAGTGGTTAGCTCATTTTGCCATATAATATTTGTAAATGTGACCCCTAAGCGAAAGTCTTGGGTGCTTATCTGCAGGGGGAAGAGTACGGTTCTCGCTGCTTGGAGGACTCGGTGGTCAAGATGTGCGTGGAGATGATGTCGCAGGAGTGGACAGCAGACGCGTCGTCATCAACGTCCCTTCTCCTTCCCATCAGTGACCGAGGACTGACGTGTGAGTTTTGACTTGTTCTCTGCATACTTAGTCGAGGACATGGGATATCATAATTGCATAAATTACCGAGTATCTAAGTCTCTAATTCGATGATACCGTGCTAATACAGATTTTGATATTCGTATAGTGCTCCACTTGGCCGCAGCCCTGGGCTACACTCGCCTCCTGCTCACCCTCATTCAGTGGAAACGAGAAAATCCGGCCCCCATTCTCCACGCCGAGGTGGACCCTTGGAAATCCGATGACTTTGGACTCATCCCTCTCGTGAGTTTATTTGTAGTCCCACCAATCCAAGTGGTGAAAGCTGTCCAATAGCAAAATATTTAAATGGCCAGTGATTGAATTGGAACTGTTCAAGTGGGAGGAATGCATGGTTTCGAGAATGCACGAGACATAAGGGGGACAAAATGGCCATTATTTTCATAGACCTGTACACCAATGTATATCTCTGACGCACGTGGTGTATACATATATGTGCTTACATAATGCATATGTATGTATTCGCGTATGTACGTTTGGCAAGGATGCTTATAAAGGAATTAGTGAGGGGTTTAATTTGGAATCGGAGTCTGCTGCTGCCCAAGCGAGGAAGTGGAGGCGAGGGTTGATTGTTCGCAATTAAATGAAAATTATGAGAGTGAGGAAAGAACATAATGTGCAAGTGTGGCATTTGCTTCCTCCTCACACAGCAGAATAGACGTGAAGGAAGAGTCCCACTTACGAAGGGAAAGGGACGCGGAGAAATGTTTGGGTTTTTGGGAGGACTGTGACTCTGACTTTCAGAACGACCGACCGAGCGAGCGAGCGAGCTAGCGGGCAGACGAGACATAATGCATAACGACTTAAATATGTTGGCCAACTTGTCCTCCGACTTGTTTTCCGCTGCTTTACATACATGGGAGATGCAACCACATGTTTTTAATTTTTAGGCCTGGGCAGCCCGTGAAGGATCCTTGGAATGTGGCATCATCCTCTCGCAATGGAGCCCTGACACTTTGCAAAAACGCGACTCTGAGGGTCTGAATCCAGCACAGATCGCTGTGAATTCAGGACATGTGAAGCTCGCCTCCGAGTTGGAAAAGATCCAGAACAACAAAACTTCTTCAGAGTTCGGTTTCAGCCTCGGCTTCACCATGGAGAACATCTCTTTAAGTATGTCACCTTCACTCATACTCTCAGCTCAGCAGCCGGCGGTGGAACAGGGTCGACTATCCACCAACCATGCGACACGGGAAAAAGTCTTAAAAATTGAATCGGGCATTATTATTAAGAAGCACCATGAGCGGGTGTGCTGGCTCCAGTGGTACGTATGGCTTCATTGTAGCGTGGCGACTTTCCCCACAAAGGCTGATGTCCATTGGAAATATATTATATGCATGCCGTCACATGCGTCATGGTGAATAATCGACCCTGCTGCTGCTCCTCGTCGTAATCGTAGATGGTTGTTGGAGTTGCATTAGGAGTGGAATTGGCACATGCCATGCTTTCCAGTTGATGGTCCAATAAACTAATTCTATTAACATTCCTTCACTTTATCTTTTTATCCCATGTCCACGCTTAGCATCCAATCTGCGACGATTCCAGAGATGTTCAGAGGACTTTGGCTTGAAAGGTGCTTAGCCATTGATTAATTTTATGCTCATTACCATCAACCCCCCACACACGTGCATATACTCACTCTGTCCGCGTATGTTTCTTGGCTGCAGACTGTTTTTTTGGCCACACCACATCCGAACTTTCTCTGGCTTCGGAGGAGGACTCCAAAGTACTCACTCTGGCGGAACAGATCATTAAGGCAATTCCTGATCGGATTAAGGTGACGAGATTTTACATGCTCTTCCACAATCCCTCCCAATCAAGTCTTCTAATTTGCATTCTGCGAATTTCAGAAAGAAAGCAGCGAGGAAATGTCTCCCTGTGACTCGCAGGACTCTTCAATGGTCAGCAGTGACCCGTCAGATAGCGCAGACTTCAGTTTCGAATTTTCTGACAGAAACTACAGGTGAGAAAATATGCACCGCTTAAAATATAACACCATTCAATAAAAGGTTTGACAATGGTAAATTTAAAATTCCAAGCAGATACTACGATTCGGCGACCCCAGGTTCCAGTCTGAGTCCATCGTCCAGCTGCTTGCAAAGCCCTTGTTCATCATCCTTCACCGTGGACTCCCCACAACCCACAACGGCGGATTTCTGTGAATTTCTCCATGCTTCAGCGTTTGAAAAGGATTTCTCCAACTTGACATTGACAGGTTGGGTCACAAGAAAGCTGACGATTTGATTGACAATTGATTACTGACGACTGAATTTATCCGAGCATGATCTCTCAATCTTCACAGATCGGGAACAACGGGAATTGTACGAAGCTGCGAAAGTGATCCAGAAAGCGTACCGGTCGTACAAGGGCAGGAAGAAGATGGAGGAAGAGGAGAAGGAGAAAGTTGCTGCAGTCATCATCCAAAACTATTACAGGCGTTACAAACAGGTGCTTTATGCATACATAAATTTTAAATATGTACAACCGTGATGGTTCGAAATTGCATCTAAATTAATGTCCACTTTTAATCTTTTTCCTTCGAAATACCAGTACGCGTATCTCCGTCAAGTGACGCAGGCAGCGTTGGTGATTCAGAGTCAGTATCGAAACTACTGTGAGCACAAGAGATTTAAAAAGTCTCAAGAAACCGGTCATAGTTTTCGCATGCCGAGAGACAGCCACGGAAATTCCACGCATCCAATTTTGTAAGTGAATTTATCAATCACATTCAAGTTGAGGTTGTTCTCAAATTTACACCGTCAACTTTGTCCTCAACAGGAGAACTTATTCTCAAAGACGACAAAACCAAGCTGCAAAAAAGATTCAACAATTTATGAGACAGTCAAAGAACAAGTAGGTCTCGCGTCTGCAAAAATGGTTTTATTCATTTATTGATTTATTTTGATTGTTATCTTGTACCCTTAAAGTAGAGTAGCAGAATAAGTACTTATCATTTGCATGAAGTCTTCAATAACAAGTTTCCAATTGTGTTTGATGTGTTACATTATATAATCAAAGCATGCTTATAACCATTAAAGTGGAATTATTACAACTAACACTCAAATGCATTTTATCTTTCATGCAAAAAGTTTTTGGGAATGTGATGAATCGCCGAAGGTATGTAATTACCACGTTAAAACAAACCTTATCCTATTTAATTGCTCATACTTACATGCAAATTACCTACATTATGTGTATATGTGTGTGTAAATTGTCGTTATCTTGATCATTCCCGAGAAGGGTGAGGATTCGGCTGATATTTTCATAAAATTTTCAGATTACAGAAAGAGCGTGCCGAAGCAGAAAGAGAGAAGCAGCAACCATCGCCCTGAGTCATGGAGGTCCAGCCCCTGCAAAAATTGCTTTGAGCAGCGTCCATCAAAAGAAGGCACTGAGGCAACAAAAACTTCTCTCCTCTGCATTTTAGAGATGAAACTGGAGTCGGTGCTGTCAATATTAAGTTTAAACTCGTTCTACTACATACTCTGACCAGGTGCTTTTCTTGGTGTGCTAATAATAGATATTTTACCAAAGCTTGGGAGAAGGAAATATTGGGCGATACATAAGAGAGCATGTTGGTATGGAATGCTCGTTTATTTGACATGAGGTCACATGAGTAAGGGTGCCTACCCATAGCACCCACCTAAGTACATGAGTTGACATGAAAATATATGTGTGGAGAAAGCTGAAGCAATATCAAGAATACTTCTATATGGTCCCAATTAATTCTTCTGATTCGTCGCGAATCCAGATCTTCTTTGTGTAATAAAGTACGTACATAAGTATTTATCTCCGCAAAGCCAGTAGGAAATGTAACGACATTTTCCATTTCTGTTGCCACCACCTGATTTTTTAAAAGTTGAGAATACCGTTTGAAATGCTCAAATATATTTTGATAGAATTCTATCCATATATACATACATACAAAATGACAGCTGTGTAATAATTACGGCAAGAAATGAAGACATATTATGCGACTCCAATAAATTTATCAATATGCACGATGCACTCCTTGAGTTTTCAACATGCAATATCTACAAAATAATCCGTACTAAATATTATTCTATGGACTTTTGGAGGAAAATATTACAACGATAAAAAGTACTCGATTTTTTGATGTAAGGAAGGATTGCGTTCCGCAATAACAATAATACGTATGTACATTAAGTATGTAGCCATATATGCATGCATGCCAGCTCCGACGAGGTACACATTCATAAGTACAATAAGTTATCAACAAAAATTATTACTCTTAAACACGATGACGATGATGATGCAAATCTCACTAGAGTTTTTGAACTTTGCTTAACCAGTCAAGTTATGTAAGTCCGTTTGTAGCGTTGATTTACGCAGTACCTTTAAAACCACCTTGTTAGCCTATCACACACACTGACTCTTTGCACTCTCTGTGAAAGGTCATTTGTCCATGATTGATGTTTACGACGACGACAACTAATTACTTCTGATAATAAGCTATACAGTTATTGTGTCTGTCTCATCTCTATGTGTCTCTATGTTCTGTGTGTGTTGTGTGTACACTTGTTCGTCTCATTATATTTATTGGTAACAGAGAACTTTGATTGCTCATCCAAAAGTACATTGCCTTATTAATTAACAACTTGTTTGTTATTGTGCAGAAGGAAAAAAAATACTAAAATCAACTCGTAAATCTTTCCACAGATAAATATTTAATATAAAATATAAATGTGTAATCATCACCATTATGCTTTCTCTCCGTGTAGGTAGATTTGTAGTGCATGTTGCAGCAGCCTACGTACGTACACACGTAGGAAGACAACAATTCCAGTAGGGAGACAATTATTTCTCTTGGCAATTCCAACACCTACATATTTGCCTTACACAAGGTTTATTTGATACGCTGCTAGTGAATCCTACGAGCACTAAACTGCAGAGAACAATACTGAATGTATCGTCTTCATACCATGTACCGGAACCATGTACATATACTCTAAAGACATGAAATCTGTATGATCTGACACCTACTTACCAAGTAGCTAGTAGATATTTAGGGACCTAGGTACTCGATAAGCTATCTATCATGCATGAACAATATGGATAACAATTATACAATAATTCCTAGAAAACTGATTGAGGAGGTAGTTCACTCGACCTATTCGTCTGTGCTCGGACAGTGAAACAAAAAGACAAGGCGTAGCCGGTATCTATCAGTCAGATACGAATTTCTGCAGAGTCCACCACCGGAAGTGAGAGGAGAAGGGTTTAAGGCTGGATCTTGATGATCTTATCTGATATCCGCCAATCTCTTTCGCGTTCTGGTCTGGAATCTATTTATTTGTTGAGCTTGCTACTCACTTCCTTACTTCCTAGAGTTTCAACTTGTAAAATCTTTACCTCACATATTACATAAATTGGTGTCACACGCCACCAGTAGCTCCATACATAACGCCTAACCTTTAACCTTACCAACAACCTTAGTGCTTCTAGTTCATAGTACAAATAAATGTTGCTATTATTGTAATTCGAAATCGAAAGTTATTATAATGCAGAATACTAGACGAGTAGAGGAGTTGTGGCTTTGAACTAATAATTACTCACTCAGATTCTATGAGACACATTTACTCGGCTACCACTTCTCACATACATTTTACTGCATAAATAAATAAGTGTAGGAAGGAGGAAGATCACATTCTCTAGTGATAACTAAATAGGACTTTTATGACTACGGTCATCTTCTAGTACGTGAGCCACAATGCATTTCAATCCTAATTTACAAACCAAGAAAGGGAAATATCTATATAACAATTATCCATTATTTTAAACACCTCGTCTCATCATCCTTATCTTTGTTCGTTGGTTGGTAGTCCAAATGTACGTGTGTATTTATTATGTGTATTTATAAATTTGCTTTGGGCAAGAACTGCATGGAAAAAAGACGTGTTTTATCAGACATTATATTGCAATTACTTTTTTAAATACTGATTAAGAATGATGCTAGCTTAATATTTGGGTAGTTGTAAAACTAATTAATTTGATTTCTTCTGGCGCAAAGAACAACACATTCCTTTCAGTGTGTTCATCAGAGGCTAGACGTTTAGTTTAATTGGTTGAACTGATAACAAAAGTTGACCTTTGGTTTTTGGGGTATTAATTCTAGTACCTCATCTTTCCTCGCAACAATAATGATGATCATTGAACTGACACGATACAAAACTGAAGAGTACCTTTCCACCAACAAAACAATTCACTTATTTACAATATACTCTCCCCTGAATTGAATAATTAACTAACTGATCCATTAATTGTTCTTAGTTCTTGAGTCGTCTTTTCCTCAATTGAGTCGAACCGTATATGTATCCAGAGGTATTCATACATATATTAGCTGTTAACAAGGAGAAGTAGGTGGTAATCGTTCAATGTGTTGTATCGTCTTTACGTGTTCTATGTGTATCGTGTTTTTTACAACTTTATAATTAATTGCAACGACAAGTTAATATGGATTCAATGTATTTTTACTACATAACGCGTCATACACAAATAAAGATAGCGACATGTTTCGTTGGTTTATTGGTTCATGGTGTAAAACATAAAAGTAGTCGCATGCTGCACGGGTTTTCTCTTCGTTCCTTCGTGTTGAGCCAGTATTTGATAAGCACGACGATTACCAATTACAAAGTTGAGACGACGAGTAAACTACAATTCAGAAGCAATAAAAATGTATCAATTTTCAAGCATTTAAAATGTTTCTTAAATAATTTTACTCAAAATATTTTACTCGTGGCACAGAAAATCACCAATAAATAGTTAATTTACTTTTCTAGAGACTTGTTCAGCTCTCATCTTCAAATATTGCACTGTCTACACGTAATTTGATGTAATAAATTATTGTACTTAATTAAATCAGGACTGTGTTAACTTAGGCAAAGAAAATTTATTTTAGACAAACAGAAGAAGAATGGAAACAAAGACAACAAACTACATTCGTTTTACTTGTTAATAAAATATATTACGTGCTAATCAGCATTTCAGAGTAATAAGCAAAGTCATCATCGGGATCGGTTTCCGTTCGTTCGATACATAATTTTATTATTCGAAAGCGAATTATAAATGTACCGTCGTCGTATGTGTAATAAAATGTTATCTCATTATTATGTCGAACATGGTGCATGAAAAATCAATGTCGAGAAATGTTATCCTGAAATGAATAAAATTAGTTTTCTCAATTCACTCCATCAATCCTGGGTCCTTCCTCAAGGATCGGATACTTTATTCTCATAATTCGACTGCATCAATTGTACTTCAACTCAAAATTTCAAACTGCTTTATTCGAAATCTTTATTTCCTGCCTCGATGCAAATAAAACACACCCATGCACAGAAATGTAACTACTCCTTCGTAATAACGTATCACAGAGAGACGAGCGTAAGCCAATGGGGAACATACCAACACTGTTACCAATGGCAAATTTTATCTTATTCTTAGTTTTTTCTTAAAATAAACTTTTTCTAAGATCGGAATTTGGACGGAGATCTGACGGATTGTAATTTCTAATCAAATAATTATTTTCTTTGTCCCTTCATACTAATCGACACATTATGCAGCATTGGTCATATGAAAAGAAACCCAGCAATGCTGGGAGAAATAGTCAGCAAAAAGTATTCCAGGATATGCAATCACCCGTCCGACAATCTCTTCCTGGTTCTGGAACTGGCCTGGGTCGAGAATCCTTTGGCAAAGCAAGATCTCAGCCCTTGAAAATCAAACCGAAATTTCGTGCCTCATATAGTGTTCCCGATACATCTGCCGATGAACGACGGGCCAGTCAGCTCAGGTCAGAAAAATCTGGCGAAAAACGGGGTTCGAAACGTCGGAGCAGCGTCCCAGAAAAACCGCTCCTGCTCCGAACGAGCTATGCACGACCTTCAATCACCCAACTCACGCGCAAACGGTCGAGATCAGCTACAGACCTGAACAAGGACAAGGACAACCAGGGGAAAGCTCTCCGTTGGTCACGGAATTTGGGACTTGGTGCAACGAGTGAGGAGTTGGAAGAAGCCTTTGTGACGCGACACATGTTGTACAAAGAAGCCATGTACACTGGGTACAGCATTATTTGTACCTGGCACGTGGTAATCTGATTGAGAATTCATATTTTAAATATTTGTGCTCCAGGGTTCATTTTCTTGGACGACCCACCGACCGATTTCCAGTGGACAAAGAAAGCATTTGCATCTACGTGCATGAAGCGTTCAGCACCAGTTCAAAGGTTGAGCTTAACTATAAATTTAAATATTAAGTAAGCTATGTATATAATTTTGACGATGCAAATGTCCACACACGCACACACGATGCAGGAACAACAAGCAGTCGTTGATCACGTCAAGGGTGAGCTGTTTCCCATGATCGGGGTCAACACCAAGATTTTAAAGGCTGAAGGGCTCCAGTCTTCCACGCCGGGCAAGAACCATCCCAACCCGTACTGTGTCGTTGCAATCGAAACTGAAGGATCGGTATGCATGAAATCAACCAATAAAATTATTCTCCACCCCAGCAGACACCACAATAAAGATCGAGTTAGGAAATTGTGTTTCAGATTGGCAAGAAGGAGTGGCAACAGTCGCCCATCTCTTCAGAAAACAGACTCAGCCGATTTTTGCGACGGAGTGAAATGCTTCAGCCTCCTGCGCAACGAAGGGTTCAGTTGTACAGCATGATCCCACAAGCTCATAAGACAATTGTCAAACCCCACGATAAAAACCCAGTGTGGGGTCAAGCTTTTCAATGCGTCTCGATTCATCCTTCGACGGACATGCTCGCCGTCGAGGTAACTACAAACGAGCACCCTGATAATTTAATTGGATCAAATGTGACAGTTATAAAATATTCTGAGAAAAAGTAGGTATGGGATCGCGTGGATGACGACAGCTTACGAAAATCCATCGACGCCTACAACGCTGCTCACAGGATTGGAGAAGGGGGGAATCCCATCATAACGCACAAGTTGTCCAGGGGTGACGTCAACAAGAGTGACGTTTTTCTGGGGAAAGTGTCCAAGAGAGTGAACGAAATTCCGTGCGACGGGTTTGAGAAGACGAGTCATTTGGGAGGTCTGTCCCAGTCTCAGGACCTCCTTACCCATGGAAAACTTCGAGTCCGGCTCTGGCTCGTCCATCTCTACAGACATGGGAAACCTTATGTTCGTAAATTGATAATGTGTGTGGCAAGGAGACTTTAATTTGTTGTGTTATACGTGCCGTTTTTTGCGAAGGTGGACGTGGTGGACAAGCGCACAATGTTGGTGTGTTTGTGGGACTGGATTTTAAGTTTCGAAAAGAAACGCAATGGTTCAGCTTGGGATGGAAAGTTGCCCCAAGAAGCAAGTTGTCTTTTGTACCAGTACGCACTTCAGACAGGAATTAGTGAGGAGACGCATGTAAGCACAATAACAACTTTTTTAATTTATAAGATTCAACAATTCTCACCTCGCCTCGTCATATTATTTTACCTTGGCCCAATCTCACCTCACCCCGAAATATAACAACACATTAACGGACTGACTTGTATAAAGTGATCCTACAACACGATTTAACGACACAATGAAGAAATTGCTCTTATTGCAGTCGAATGACAAAAATTTGACCAATTTCTTTCAAAGATAGCCACTACGAAGTAATTTCATCATGAGCATCATGTACATTTCCACACTTGCAATTGCATCTTTGCGTATTTTCAATGTAAAATTGTACCCAAATTGGAAAGTTGTGCCCGTATTCGTAACACTTTATGTGTTGTTTGCGATTGCTACTTAGGGCCCTTAACAAGGCCCGACGCTCTTTTAATTTTTCTTGCAAGGGAGGTCGTACGGACCTCCCACTTTTTGAAATCTAAAAATACACTTAATCTGCATTGCTTGTAGTCTTACATCCGTTGGGAGGCCTACTCCAAGCACAAGTTGGACATTGACGGTCTCGACGCCCCCTTGAAAGACTTGGGTGGGGTTTTGCAAAAGAGAAAATCCTCCGACGACAAACTTGGGATTGACGACTCGCAACTTTCAGTTGAAAATTCCATTCTAATTTTGATGGACGAAAGTATCTTCCCCATAATAAGGAACCACTTGAAGGAGACGGAAGGACAAGTGAGCAAGGCGCTCAAGGCGTACAAAAATTGTGAAGACGTTCTGTCCAAATATGAACCAAGTTTTGCTCTTCCCGTAATTCGAGGCCTGTTGGAAAGTAATTGAAATTAACGTAAAAAACTCAAGCAAAATCACAAGTCAATATTTTATGCAACCATTTTGCAGAAGCGCTTCGTCTCTGCTTCCTCGAGTGGTATCAAGCAACGTACGCCTTAAGAGTGCAGAGCGTACGAAGTGTCGATGAATGTCAACGAGTAAAGTTGTACGTTGATGTACGTATGTTGATAACTATTAATTAATGTGATGCTTATTTACGACTTTGACAAAAACGAGGTGGGTAAATCAGTGTTTTTTCTTAGGTAATCACAGACGTGAACAAGTTGCTGACAATTGGTATGAAGAGGTGGCATCCCGAGTATGTGAAGTTTTATTTATTTTTGCAATTTCGAATAGGGATCGTATAATATCTATATTACTCTTTCGTCTCTGATGGAACTATAAACATGTATAGATTTTGGATGTTGGCACAGTACGAGTCCTACACGCCCATTATGTACGATGAACTCCAGAAAATGGTGAACCATGACATTGAAATGATTTGCTGGTCACTGCTCCGACATTACAATGACAACAAGCGACTCCGGAAAATGCTCACTGATCGAAACAGGAAAGAGAACGAATGCACAATTTCCGCTCTCTTCAGCCTGTACGCAGGGACGCAAACATTTGTCGAGGCACAACACCAAATCTTTACAGGTGTGGTTAGTGGTAATATAATAATAGCACCATAAATAGTTAATTGAGTTGTGTAGTCGTTCTCACAAATGCTCACCCTATTTCAAAGGAAGAAAGTCCGCAGTACGACAATTTAGCCAACTATCATAAATGGTTTCGACCCATCCTCGTCTTATGGCTGGGATTCGCAGTGATTCGAGGTTCAGAAATAATCACGCGATGTGTCAACATTGACACGGTGTCGATGGACAATATTCACGCCCAGACCAGCACATCCGCCCTGGACACGGCTGCCGTCATCCACCAACTCGTCCAGTTCTGGGAGAGGCTGATGTGGCCAGACGTCTGTGAAAATTATGTCATAATTCACTTTCTCATCGAGGTCATGTGCTACTTCACTGTCCTCTATGCGGAGAGGAAGCTGGAGAAGTTGGAGTTGGAAGGCTACTTTGATACCATCGACCAATTTGACATTTCCGAACGACTTTGCATAGCGCTGAACAATATTGAGTACGTGAAGGAGGCGTTGGAAGGGATACCCGAAGAAATCAAGTACGATGCTCTGATTCGCGAGTTGGAGGACAAATGTGGAATAACAAGAGAGACTTACAACTATCGCATACGACTTAAACAAGTCTTCACTTTCACTTATGTCAATGTAGATCTCATTTTTAACAGTATATTGGAAGGAGTTGGAAAACGGGTGCGACCGGAAGTAAGTTTTCATGCAGGCGAAATGCTTATGTGCTTTAATCTAGTTAAACTATGCACATTACATTATGTACATTTTTTGTAGATCAAGCGTTGCGTCAGAGATTGTCTCGAAATTGTCCAGGCCAATTTGTCACGGTCAGGAAGAGAAAGTTCGAGAGACGCCCTAGACCCAATTTTTAACTATATTGACAGCAACATTATAACGCTGGCCAAATCCCTGCTGACGTTAAACTTTGCTCGGATGCTGCAACTATTTTGGGACATTATTCTGAGGGAACTGCTTTACGCAGGGTCAAATGTTGAGGTAAAGGGAGGAGAACAGCAGAAAACCGTTTTTGACCGACTCCTGACCATGTTACCCATGTTGCGAACATATTTCCACAATAATGACGGAGGTCTGAGCGAAGATGAGCTAAACACACCGGTCTATTGGGAAGTCCATGATGTGATGAATATGTACACTTTGGAGACGCCTGCAATCATCAGCCATTTTTATCGAGTCAGAGGGGACAGCCAGGTTAGCGGAGGAGGGACAGTCTGGCAGAGAAAGATTAAAAGTCTTACAACTATGAAATTATTGGGAATCCTGAATGGAATTGGGATGTTTTTTTGAAGGTGTCAGACCCCAAGACAGCACCGTATGGGATATTGACAGTTCGGGCGAGTTACTGGAATGGAAAACTAACCGTGGAGGTAATTGCTGCATATAATTTGGTGGCGATGGACGACGCTTTCCAGCTTTGGAACCTCTGCATGAAATCTCAGCCAAGCAACGATCCCTATGTGGAAGTAGAAATACAGCCCGAGAGGAAGTTTAGCAATGTAATTTCTGAATTTCAATAAAAAATTTCACATATTAGTAATTATGATAATTAATATAGTGACGTACTTCAGATAAGAACTTCGAGAACCAAAGTGCAACGGAAAACGGTAAATCCGACATTCAATGAGAAATTCCACTGGGATGTTTCTCAAGAGGAGTCGGGACAGGAGGATGCAGTTATTCTGTTCACTGTGAAGGATTACGATTTTCTAAGTCACAACGATTTCTTGGGAGAAGCTGTAGTTCCTTTTTCTAAAGTAGTTGTACTACAACAGAATTTTAAATTCCAATCTCACTTGCCTTTTAAATATTAATTAATTTTGTGCTACAACAGATTCCAGGAATAGCAGCTAAACCAATTCCTCAGCCGATGCATCTAAATTTGAGAGTTGTAGAGCCTAGTCATACTCTCCACATTTTCAAATCTAGACACTGGGATCCCGAGTCTCAGAGATTTTATGAAAGACATGCAAAACGTGGTTCTGTAGAATAGATGAATGATAATGATAATAGAAATGTATTAATTATGTGGTTAAATATGGCTAAATGAAACAAGTGACAATAATAAAGGCCAATGAGCACAGATTATACAGTACCAACATCAAAAGGTTTAATGATCCTAATTAAAATTGAAGGATACAAAACAAGGGCGTTTAGAATCGGAGCTTCTGGAAAAACCATCTGTTCTTGCCGCTCCTGTACCTCTCCTCAAATTTCATCTTGATTTGATAGCGGGCCTTTTTCCTCTTCATGGGGTCACGGAGGGTCTTCACGTTCTGTTCTTGCTTGCCGAACGGAATATCCACGGTGTACCGGGTGGGCATGAGGTGGTTATAGTTAATTGCCTGCAAATACAAAAAAATATTATGCTTGGGATTTGTTACAATAATTCAATAACACTAATCGAACGACTAACTATTCAAGAGAATCTAAATAATTAAATAATTACCTTGATGAATGGCTTTATCTTACTCCTTTGCTTGATCTTCTCTTTGCTCATCCTTTTAATAACTTTGCGAGGATATCTATCAATTCCTGCTACCACGGCATGTCCGTAAGGTTTATCTGAGGTTCCGTCATCGTTGTTCTTGATGACAATTCCTTTGCGACCTGCGTAGCGCCCATTGAGGATGAGCACCACCTTCCCCTGCTTCATAATCTTACCCATCTGCAACAATCAAAAGAAAATATTTAGTCAGAGGGACTAGATGATAAAAAATACTGTTTTTTAGTTTGAATCATAATTTCTACTTAGCCACATCCAGTTAAACGTAATGCAATGAATATTTTTTACCCTAAAATTAGATTGTAATTTATACGTAAACTACAATCCACATTAAAAATTTTAATGTATTTTAATTTAAAACTCAAGTTACAAAAGTTTTAATCCAATGCAATTTAAATACAGTTTAAATTCAGAAAACGAAATCTATTCACTTTAATTCTAATCCTCCTGCACCCCCCAACCACCATATGGAGGAAACAAGTGAAATATATTTTTGGAAATTTCGAAATTATTGGAAACTTACCTTGAAACGATGTGTCCAACCGAAATAGTAGCAAGCCGGGGTTGCGAGAAATACAGAAATGTGGTCTGTCGGTGCTCTCACGTTGTGCTCCAAGTGCAGATTTGGTCGCCAGATGGACTCTGAAACCACTTTCGCCTCTCAACACCTCTCTACTACAAATCTCAAGTTGAGATTCTCAACACTTAATTTCATGCTACCGAGTACCGACTGGTTTGATAAGTCAGCCACAAGTTATTACCGAGTTATTAAATAAGCATGTTATTCTTCAATAAATCAAGCGAGGCAGTGGGGTCACAACTTGAATGGGCTGCTGCGATGCTGAACAGTTGTTCCGTCTTCGATATCTCCTTAATTTTATTTTGAACAATCTTACTTGAGGAGGAGGTTAACAAAGCCGATTTTCGATTTCAAATTTACACCGGCAACTGCTATAATACTTTAATGACGATTGAACCATAGTCGTCCCGTTGGCCGTCGATTATAACCATTTAAAGGATAAACTAAAGGGATCATCTAGTAAGCGTTTCTGTTCGCCTCGGCTTGAGCAATTTCAAAATTCTTATGATAATAATTTTAGAAGACTTGTGTTATGTCTACAAATCAATTCTCCGTAATTGTACGTACTGGATCAACAGCCATGGTTCAGATGGGTGAAGATCTACAGACTTTACACGTCAGATCTTGCCATCAATTTCCTCTTTACCTTCTACTTCTACTACAATAGAACACAAACGATCTAAAAATAATCATGGGATTAAATCCCAGCAAAACTTACGGTTTACCAGTTCAACCCAATCAAATGTAAAATATTCATTAATTTGCTTAGTACTACCCAAATTTGACAATGCTTGTCCCATTTTATCTACCTTCGTACATACATACCCCTTCTCCTTCTCTACATCAACTACTTATTTTTTGCAAAGAAATACAGTGCACGGATGAAATACTTTAGAACATAAATGAAAGATCGCTATAAAACCCAACGAACAAGACCCTGTCATAGGTTTATGCAAAAACTTTAAACAAGAACTAAAAATGCGTGACTCAAAGTTTGACAACGTTACACTACCACTGATAGAAATCTGTACCGACTCTTCACATATTATTGGCAAGCAAGATTATTTGACACCTTATCACTGAATAAGGTTACGACAAATGCCCGAGTTACAAAATGAATTTTCATTTTAAAATTGTCGTGGGTTACAATTTATTTTTTAAATATTTTGGCTGGAGAATTGGTTTTTCGTCCATGGGAGAAAAACCAATTTTAAAATAATTTTAAAAATGAATATTTTTCTGCAACTAGACCATTTGTCGCAACCGTTAAGGGAGAAGCGTTACCTAGATACTTAATGTCAAGCAATCGTGATTGGCAAGTTTTTTTTTTTTTACTAAAAAATTTTTGGAATTTTGCAATTTGCCTATAATCTATTCCACAATTACACATTAGTAAGTACAGTAATATTTATAATTTGTTAATAAAATACACTTATTTCTGTACAGAGTAACAATGTCTGCAAAATACATGGTAGTTTTAGATATAATAAACTTCATTAAACTTTTTTCCTGGTGGAAGTGTCCCCAGGATTGAAGCTACATTTCCACGTTGAACTGTAATGCCGAGTCGCTGGAGGAGAAAAGTTGTGGAGCGTGGTTCTCCAGTGGCGGTAGCGATCCGTTGTCCAATCTCTTTAATGAAGGATAACCCCTCCTGACCCCATGTACCTGTCGTCTCAATTGCAACTACTAATACTAATTATTATACTTAAACTAATAATAAAAATTTTTTATTATTAACATAAACATTGGCAAGTAATCATTTACCATGGCGAATAACTGCTGGTTTCCCTCTCGATTACTTCAATCTTCTTTGAGTTATCCACCCGAGAAACTCTGGAACACATGGGTTTTCAATTATTGCGTCATTTGACAGCTCACCTGATTTGTACCTTTATGGCAGGAAATCCCTGGGAACAAACTGTTCACATGATCGATTAGGATGACGCATTCAATCAGCTACCACTAATTAAATCGTTCTTGGAGGAAAAAAAAAACAGAGAAAAAATTGACGACCAAGTTGACGAAAGAGCAGGTTGCATATTTCTACAAAATAGCTGCTTCCACCGTGAGAGGAGAGAGGCAAAGTGAGACAGCTTTCTCCACTAGCAGTAAACAAGGCAGGTCCTTTACTTGTGGAAACGTATCATGACCACAGGTCCGGATTCATACGTTCACTTTCTCGCCCATTTTTTGGCAGGTGGAACCTCGGCAGGTCGATCCGTTCAAATTACAAATTGTTATCATATAAAGTAAAAGTGTATGAATTTACAGCACTGGCATTGACGGCAATCGCACCCTTGGAACGGATTAAACTGCTCCTGCAAACACAAAAGGGAGCCAGCCATATTCCCAAGGAGCATGAGTACAAAGGTGAAAAGCCATCTGTGCGGAGATGATGATGAGGTTGCAACGTGTCCATGTTTAAATTGCAGGAATAATTGACTGCCTCATACGAATTCCGAAGGAGCAAGGATTCCTTTCCTTCTGGCGTGGCAACTGGGCTGGAATTCTGAGGGTGTTCCCATATCAAGCCATGAACTTTTCATTTAAAGAGTTGTAAGCCAGTTATATTGAATTTGAACTGGACATCTTCCTGCACAGGAGTTACAGATAAGGATTCATTTTATGGCTTGTTTTAGATTTAAGGAAAAGTTTATTCATAAATCGGACGAGCTCTGGTATCGACTTGGTGGTGAGGACAACGTTTTTTGCCGCTATACACAGCTTATTACATGTTCTTTTAAGATTCATTAGCTTGCCTACAATGTAGGAAATGTTCTTAGTGGGGGTGTTGCGGGGGCATGTGCACTGACCGTGATTTATCCTCTGGACTATGCGAGAACACGGTAATTTACGAATAGTGGAGTGAATGGTTGCGTGGGATGCATTCTTACTTTGAGCAACGTTGACGCTAGAATGGCCACAGACGTTGGGAGCAGAAACAATCGCCAGTATCGCAGCGTCTCACATTGCCTCGGGGAAGCCTTCAGATATTCCGGCTTCAAGTCCATCTATCGAGGCTACGTTTTCTCAGTGATGGGGGCCTTCATTTACAGGTAGGTCAAGTAAGTGAGCACATATGAAGCAGCGAAAGTTGGAAAAGTGGAAAAATAATGGATTTGCTCATTCAAATCAACATTTATCCCATTTTGCGCACAGAGCAATGTATTTCGGAATGTATGACACGATTATGGAATGCGTAAGGCCAGAATATTCTCACAAGGTCTGGATAGAATTTCCTGCTGCAGAATTTTCCGGTAATAACAATTTTATTGTGCTAATAAATATGATGAGTGAGTTATCAATTCAGCGGACGGCATAGCCTGTGAATCTGTCCCACAATGGAGATAAGTAAAGTTCTAATATTTCAGCCACATCGGCAGGATTGATTTCCTACCCCCTCGACACAGTCCGCAGACGGATGATGCTACAAAGTTTCAATGACGAGCATCCTAAAAAAGGTCACAGCAAACTTGTAAAGTACACGGTGAGGAATGCTGTAATAAACATAGTCATACATAAAGCGTGTCAATAATTTTTCAAACTTATTAGAGCACGATGGACTGCTGGAGAACGATCTGGCGGACGGAAGGAATCCGGGGATTTTTCCACGGGGGTAATTTTGAAATACAACATTTTCAGTGTTTAAATAAATAATTTATATTTTTACAGGATTGACCAACATGTATCGCGGGACTGGGGGTGCCATCATGCTCGTGCTGTACGATAAAATCCAGTACTGGTTATTTAGTGAGCAAAAATTTATATCTCGTTACGTCGATCTTGGTCACCATTCCGAGGAGGATGTAGAGTTTGAATTTTCGCATTATCGAAAACCATGTAAAATATTTAAAGATCGGTGCGTCTTTTGCAATTTTTAGAGGCATAAATCTTTTAAACTGCTTTCCAATATCGTATTGAAATTCTGCTGGGTGCAGACCGTTTATTGTCACCCAATTGTGCATGTCCAGAAACAATAACTCTTATTACCTCGAAACAGCTCATCTGGTAAGAAATCGATTTCCAAGAAGAAATTCTCAAACTATTCGACAGAGAGGAAGAGCTGTTTTTCGTCGACTTGACATGGCACTCCCATGTCTCCTCTTGTCTCGAATGTGAATGTCCACAATAAGAAGTCCACCCTTATTCTTGTCAATCTCATAAAGCATTTAATTTCCCTCCGACCCAACAACAACTTTCACCACTCTAATTATAACGTTCGTTCCTGGGAACACTGCTCTTCTGTCGGAGATGATTGATAAGTTGAACATGAGGATGGCTTGAGAGGCGACTCGGCGCTCAATCGATGTCTGTAATGAGGAGCAGAAGGCGAGTGGAGGGAAGGTGGGTGCGATATGGAGACGCAGGAGGAGGGCAGGAGAAAGGAGGGGAAAAGCCGAGGGGAGAAAGTCACCAGTCTCGAGGCCAATGGGCGAAGAGAGAGGCGGATTCATTCCACCAATGCCCAGGCCTCCCCGTCATCCTGCTCCTCCGGTCGTGGTCATCATCTTTGTCCTCCTGCCCGATAAGTCATCTACATGAGCACACATACACAATCGCCAACTGCACCTCAGATTCAATTTCATTCAGAGGGTTCCATTACCAGAGAGATAGTCGACTTTGCTGAACTTGGGGGAAATTGATACAGGTTTTCTCTCTTTTGTCTCATTTTGCCTCAACTAAATTACTTGCTCCATTCATCGAAATAAAGTGTATCCAGTTATTTCCAAGTTCGGGGGAAAGTGAGATTAAGAAAAATTTAAATTTAATAAAAATAAGTCTGAACTGTCAACCCTACACTTTACCAAAATTCGCAATCCCAAATTCACTCGGTAAGCATTTTAACTTAATTATTTATGTATCATCTTTCTCGTACTAGGTTCCTAGAATAGAAAACAGTTTTAAGTTTTTATCTTCATTTAGACAATTCAAATTATAATCACGTGAGGTTCCAAGACATTTTTGCAAACTATCAGATTATCTGAGATCGCACAGCTCCGATTTTGTGTGCATATTGTTATATTTACTTCTCGATAATTCAATGATATGCACTAACCAAGAATAGCTAATAAATTCGTAAGTAGTTTAGAAGTCATTTGAAGAGATGATACACGCAAAAGTGAGCATTTGTCTGTTAATAACTTATACCCTCATAGCGGGTCGGAATCACATCACCATCACATTCATCGTGCATACCAAATCACGAGTGAAAGCGGTATAAAGCGTGGATGAGGGTCAGGTGTGCGTGGAGTCTGACAGGTGAACCACACCTGTTAATTGTCACCCACGACCAGAACTTTAAATCGACATTAGTATCCAGTTCACCCCCACCGCCGTCCATCCGCCCACATGTGGCTCACTCTCAGCAAAGTCAATTCTGATTTCCCAAATCGAAGGGAAATGTATCTCTTGTCGTGTCGTCGTCAGCTGGTGTTGCATGAAAAACACGTCTTCAGAGTGAAAACTTTATCCTGTTTTTTCCATGTGTCACATTTTCTATCTATCGAGCGGACCGGGTGCATATTTTTCACGTATTTTTAAACTTCTAACCAATAGGTTTGATGGATTGCTTCAATTTTGACGCTGATTTATGCATCCAACTTCTCTCCCGATTTCAACGAAGGGGTCGAAAAGACGGGGGATCAATTACAAAATATTCAAAATCCGTTCCACGCTGCGTGAATTATGCAAACTTTGAGTTGCAGCCAATGAAGCAAAAACATTTAATGGTGCCTTGATGACTGGGAAATTTCTCCACTCCACACGACGAGAGGACAGTGGTGGTTGATTACAAGGGGCAAAAGGGTCCTCCTCCCGGAATAATGTCGCAACATCCCTTGTTGTACTTGAGCCACAGCCCTTGTTTCATTTGTTTCCTCGTCATGCAAAATTTAAATTTTTGATTTCTGAATTCTACGTAGTACAAACCATAAACATATATGAAGACAGGGCAAGGAGGAGGCAGATGGGATGATTATTTGTCCCACATGCATTGTCAAATAGAATTATATTCAGATTTGGTCTTGATTGAGCGAAAAGCATTATTTTTAACTTTGATTGCAAACTGCTTAACAAAGTTTTACTTGGAATGGTTGCATAAGCGCGGAACGAATCGATTTGTGATAGAATAGAAAAGTAGTCAATTACGGTCCGTGAATTTAAGAGGTGGCAAGCTCGCCATAAGAAATGCATACAAAATTTGCCATACTGTTCAAATACACAGACTATAATACTTTCGCTCCTTGTGGGAAGAGTTATATGCACTAATCCACTCAATAGCCAAGAGATAACCGTGTGTTGTATAAGTTTATGGTCCTCCAGGTGCAATAAGATGCCTGGAGTTTAGCTTGTCCATCTTCAATTGTCAATTATCGCCCACGCGATGAGAATTGAATCGAAGCATAAAAGAGATAAAACAATTAAGTGTATCAGGAGCATAAAAGTCGTCTTCTGTCGTCAAATATCAGCCAAACTCTGGTTTACACCTAATGAACCGAACGTCGTCGTTTATTTATTATATGCACATTGGCTGTTCCATAATTTACGGCTTTCAATGAAGCGTCTCATTTTGCCTCAACTTTTGACAGATTTTGCTGATTATTAAACCCAACAATCAAACGATGGAGAAGGATGGCAAGCCGGATGTTCTTTGTCGGGTTTGCGGAGATAAGGCCAGCGGTAAGCACTACGGAGTGAGTTCATGTGATGGATGTCGAGGATTCTTCAAGCGGTCAATTCGGAGGTAGATAGATTTTATCAGATACATATTTACTACAACACGATCAAGCCTTGTATAAATAAATACGTGGTTGCTGCGAGTTGTACTTTTAAGATTCTTTCACATGCTTGGTTTTATTAGAAACTTGGAATACGTGTGCAAGGAGAACAACAATTGCGTGGTGGACGTCACCCGAAGGAACCAGTGTCAAGCGTGTAGGTTCAAAAAGTGCTTGCACGTCAACATGAAACGTGACGGTAAGGTGCCTTTCTTTTTTATATGAAATATTTTTCCTCTTCTTTTGCATACTTGATAAATGCATTTAGACGTACATTTAGGGCGCATTTAGATGACTTCTTTTGATGTGGGGAAAGTGAGAAAGTTGGATTTTGAGTAATGTCAACAGAAAGATCTCACTTTCTCCATCTGTTTCTGTTTTCAAAGAGCAAAATCCACTTGTTACAACAAAGTGAGTCCTTAATGGATGTGGTTTATTGAATAAAACTGAATTGCAATATGAAATGGTGGAGCTCTTTTCGGGAGGATTATTTGTTCACGGCTCGAGTGGCGTCGTCATTTTTCCTCCTCCGCTCCTGCTAATGATGTCTTTATTTGTGTTTCCATCCATTGATTATTCATCTCAAGTGCTTTCATGGAAAAGTATCCGATGGACATTCGTAGTTTAAGAGAACAACGCCAGCCACGATAATAAATGGGTAGCAAATACTTATTAGCTGGCAAAAATGCTGATGAAGTTTGCAAGTTTATTAACGAGGAAGGTAAGAAGGGTGGAAATTATGAGGAATATGTGAGCAGTTGAAGGACTGGTAATTTGGGTTGTTTCGATAAGACGCACTCGAAATTACGAGACGACTCCTCGTCATATAATTGTCCTGAATAATAATAATCATAATGCGGACGGCCTCGTGGTCCCTGAACAGCGTCGTCGTGTATTTGTGGTGATGGTGGTGGTGGTATCGCATGGGTGGAAAGTGGTGGTTAATGATGAGAAAGGGGCAGCTGGTAGCATTTTTATTGCGTGACTAATGATGCCCTTTTAACTCGTCATAAGTCTCTTGCTGTCAGTAGCGGGCGACATTAATTTTTGATGGCTCTTTCTCCACCACGACCATTTCTTGGAGGAATTATCTCCTCCTTTATTCATGACTCTGGCCGTGTAATCATCCGCCAAAGCTGAGAAGTTGATTGATTTGACTCTTTTGTCAGTCAGGAAGTGACAGTTCTCGACTATTATTTGCACTATCTGTACAAGAAACACTGCCATTCACATTTCCACACAAATCCACATACAATAGCCACAGAAGCGACATTGACACCACAAGAACTGCCAAATCATTTGCCTTTCTCTGATGACTTCAAAGCACGTATGTCTCCTATTATGCGGTGCACAATGTTGCTCTTGCTGTGCGATTATTATCATCAATAACTTGAAAAAAACATCAAGGTTGTTGCCAGAACTCACAACTTTCACCTTTCTCGCTCTGTCCGTTTTAATGATTTGCAAATATGAATCTCTTTATGAACCAGTACAGTCGAACCAAACTCAAGGGTGGGGTCAGTCAGTGCATATGAAAATAGGAAAACTGCTGTTGCTTCGTCACCTTCCTTAATTTTACAAGCGTCACCCAAAAGTGGTGGACCTTATATCGTCGTGGGTTTGTTGGGGTTAACCGATTGCACACCTGTGCTCAAAACGACCCTTAAAAATAGAATCAAGTCATTCCTCGCACGCACCTTATGATCATGCATGTTTCCTCCCCTTATTTATATCGAGAGCATTTCCTACGCTTATTTATTTAGTGCAGCATTTTGGGGACGAGTGTACAAAATCTTTGGTCCGGGCTGGCAAAAAGTCACTTTCTCAAGTGAAAATGCTCTCTGGTTCTTGTGGAATGCATACAAGTCTCTAATTCCACTTTGCTGAAAAAGTCAGGCTGCTGCAATGTTTGCTTTGTGATTGAGTTGAAGGTGTTTACTTTGCCATTAGAGAGAGAGAGAGACGGAAAGTGTGAAGGGTGTGTCGCAGCGGTGTCAGCTGCACGCGTTCACACTTTCTCCTCGATTCTCGTCATTGTTGAGCCGTATCAAAACCACGACTTGTCTCTCACACACGCCACACTTGACAAAATCTGATCAGGAGAGATTCCCATCCTGGGGAAAAGCGACACATTTTGTTCTGGAGTTTCAGAAGAAAACTAATGCCACGAAATATTGTTACCGCATATGCACGTGCATATGTGTGTACTTCAGGCACTTGTTCAATGCTGAAGAGTTGTAAAAAGTGGGGGCATGATGAGACATAAAAGGAGAACGCTTTCACCCTCCGGGTCGTTTGTGCAGTAATTGAGAAATTAAAATGTTTGTTTGTAAAATTGGTTGAATTTTAAATTGAGTCAAAATACATAAGTGGCCAGGCAATTAGCAGAACCAATCAAATTGATAATGACAGGAGCATATGTATAGTTTCATGCAAGCACCATTTAGAAGGAATTTGCGACGACGATGTGGATTATTCTGACGACTGCCATGTACTCAATTTCCTCAAGTTTTTTAATGGCTAATAAGTGTCTGGTTTTATAGCAGTTCAGCACGAGCGGGCACCACGGGCAAACTGTTCCAAACCAAAATACTTGGCGCAGTTTGCAGCCGGATTTTCCCCGTATTACTTCCCCTTTAAGTCGGCCTTCTACCCGCCCTTCTTCACCCCAACCACCGGTCCCCACCACCCAAACTTCCACCCAACCTTCCACCCCCACACCTCTCCCTCCAACGCTGCTGCTGCTGCCCTCTCCGCCCTTGGTGGAGGTGTTGGAGGAGGACCAATCAACACCACCCCCACGTCGATCACCGCCATTGTTCCACCCACTACCAACGCCAACTCCATCCTCAACAACTCGTTTGCAGGCTCCGACTTTCTCCAGCTTTCTTCAGCCGTCAACCGGAAGTTGCTGGGGTTCAGCCCGTGCGAGGAGAAGGACGACCGACGAAGTAATAGCACCAACAGCAACAGCAATGATAGTCGTATCGGGACTCCTTCCACTGCTGGTGGTGGTCATACGACGACAACAACAACGACGACGACGACGACCTCGTCCGCCGTCAACAAGGAGGACGAGGTGAGTTCCTCGGGGGGAGAGGAGCAGGGCAATTACTACAAGTTCTTAGAGAACCTCCACATTGGCAATCTCATTCACGAGAGCGTCTATGAATGTGCTGCTAAGCTGCTATTCCTGAGTGTCAAAGTGAGTGGAGCACTACATAAATAAATTGCATAGTACTACTAATCAAGAAGACATTAAATAATTGCAGCAAAAACAATTAATTCGTGCATTTCTTAATTTTTATTACGCAGTGGGCGAGAAGTGTCCCTTCATTCCTTAGCGTAAGCTTTCCCACAACATGACCTTCTGACTGAATTTTTATGCAGGATTGAAATAGTTGTTGTTCTTCTTGTTCTCCACAATGCAGTTGCCATCAACAGATCAAACGATCCTTTTGGAGGAGGCTTGGCCAGAGCTGTTTCTTCTTAGGTTTGTGATAATGCAGGTTAAAAAAATAGAATGGCATTTATTTGATTTGCTTAATATTTCTATCAGTTCGGCACAATGGGGTTTAAGCATCGATGATGGTGAGTACATTCATATGCAACGATTTTCCATGTTCCATTTCCTAATTCGCCCACCTGATACCTACAATTTCTATCATGAACGTTGTTTCCTTCAGCCACCTTGGTTGCTGGTTCAGTGGTTCCGAGACTCAGACATGAAACCTTGCTCTCGGATGTTCGGATTCTAAGGGAGACCTTGACCAGAATTAGCGGTATTAGACCGGATCACACCGAACTTGCTTGTTTGAAAGCACTAGTTCTATTCAAACCAGGTCAATTGTTGTCTTTCATTTATACACACACACTGATTAAGGTATGGTCGGTTAGGAAAGAAACCTTTGAAAAATATATTTATTCGTATGAAAGGAAAATTGCCACTGAGTTGAAACGCGGTAGTTTTCTAGTCCATGCGATTAACTACCCAAATCCGAAAACCGGAAGTCGATATCTCGACTAGTTCAAAAATGAGAACAAAAAATCGAGAACAACTCGCAAAAAACATTTGCCACTACTACGAAAAAGTGTGCGAGCGCGTCCGGATAATGGTTTATAGCCACTTCGAAAGAGAAAAAATTCATAATGGTGCAATTTTCAGAGTTTTAGATATGTATGAGGAGAGCAGGAATGCTGAATTCAAAAAATTAAAAAATCGTCCTGCTCGTGTAGCGACCCCCAAAGTGATACGTAGAGTTCAGAAAGAAGACAAATATAACCTTGGGATATCAGATGGTAATTTGGGCTACAAATTGAAAATACCAAAATTAAGTTTACATGTTATTAAACCTACGAAGTTGGGGGTCAAATCCTATAAGGCGACACCTGCACCAAAGAACAAACAAGGTCAGCAAAAAAGAGCAAAGCCCAACTCTCGGCAGATTGCTGAAAAATGAGTTAAGCAAAACATCCTTGTGATTCTGGTCATGGATGATGAGACCAAGTGCTCGATTGATCCAGATGAAATCCCTGGGAGGAAGTACTACTCATGTACTAATAAAAAAACGTTTAAAGATTCCTTCAAATACACGCCGAAGTCAAAATTCCCCACAAAGCACATAATGGGGCAAGAATTGGACTCATTGGGGGACGTCTCAAAGTCGTTCGTGATCCCAGCCACCATGACCTCGGCGAGATATCTGAACGAGTGTGTAAAGAAGATCTTGATGCCCTTTATCAATAATCGTAATGTACTTTTCTGACCGGACACAGCAACATGTCATTCGTCAAAAGTTGTTCTGGACTACCTGCGGTCGAAAAAAATCGATTTTGTTGCAAAAAAGGAATATGCTCCCTACGTCCCTCAGGCAAGACCAATGAACGATTTTGGGCATTATGCAAGAGAGAATATAGTCGTCGAACAAAACCACCCAAAAACTTAGTAAGATTCCGTCACATTTGGACACACACCTCAAAAGTGGTAGCGAGAAAGAGTGGCAAAGCACTTCTTGGGACCGCGAGGCAAATAATTCGCCAGATAGGAAGGATGGGGGTCTGTCGACCATATGAAGCAAAAAATTGAATGGTAGAGACCTTGTTTATAACCCCTGAAAATTTCTTTGGAATTAATTAAGTTTTTAGGATTTTACAGGCATTTTTCAAAGGTTTCTTTCCTAACTGACCATACTATACTACTTCTTGTAATCGCAAGGCCTAATGAACTTGTAAAATGCTAACGTTTGCTCATCTCCCTAGAATCTGCCAAACTACGTGAACAACTTCAGATTGAACTTTTGCAGGTACTTTTACTTTTCAGGTTTTTTATTTCATTTAAGAGGTCATTAATTAATTGATGGGCGCGACCAAACCGACCTAATCTTACATAAATATTCGCAGATATATACTTGTATGTTTCTTATAAAAAAATGAAATTTTAGGACCAGACGCACGTCATGTTGCAGGAGTACTGCGCAGGAAAGAACCCTCCTAGCAAAATCCGGTTCGGGAAGCTACTTCTCATCCTTCCTCTAATTCGTCGGATCGGTGGGAAGGTTTTGGAGGAACTTTTCTTCAAACAAACCATCGGTGACATTCCCATCGAACGACTCCTTTGCGACATGTTCAAGTCATGAAGCATTTTCAGAGGCAATGTTCAACACAGCCGCTAATACTAACTATTTACGAACGTGTACTATAAGTTTATGGAAATTATACAAATCTATACACAATTATTGTAGATTACTTATTATGGTCTGTGTATTAAAACAGGAGTCAATTTTGTATGTATTATTCTTCTGAAGAACTGGCTTTTCTGTGCACAGACTATATTCCAGCTTCGACTGCTCAGTTTAGTACTCCATAAGTTTTATTGATCGTTGATTAATTAAATAAATATGCGATATGTATTTACAAGGAGAAAGACATAAGCTATGAATCCATAAATTCACTTTATTCCTTCCACTATTCATATTCTACTACATTTTAAAGGAAACTTATCGTATATAAGTTCACCCTTCACTTTGATGTTTATTTGAACATGACAGCTTTTTTGACCGACTTGATGATATAATTCTTAATCCAGCCCCCACTTGACGTCGAAAGAGGTCAACGCAATAGCAAAAGCTTGCAATGGGCAGAATGGGTAGCTAAAGTCCAAAATGAAGTTCTTGCTTCTGTTGCATCGACCAAATTGGAGCAACGTGAAGTCTGAAATTTCAATAAAGACGGAAATAAACTCAAAAATTTACGTCTCTGTGAGCTCTTCGTCTGTCTCACTCACCAGAACCCTTGATCTGATACTCCAACTGGAAATTCTTAACACTTGACCTTTGTACTCGGCTGGAGAAATTGAGGACGTACGTGCAGGTATCCTCACTCCATCGGGGAGCCCTGTTCTTCACAATGGCCACTTGTTCAGTGTCCTCGTCATTTGGAGGAAACGTGAAAGATCCTGACAAGTGCAACATTACTTTTATGCATGGGACACAATTGTGTATAAATATTTCAACACTGAAATGCGATGCGTACCCGGATGACACTGTTCCCAATCAGACTTCAATTTTGGAATTGCAACCGACAACTTTCTCGGGCCTTTGATTCCAAGAGCGTTGGATTCCTGCACATAAATTCTATTGGTCATTCATCACATTACAATTTGTCAATCAACTGTATGCGCTCACAAATTTGAGAGACATCAATTGCTCCCATTCTTTTTTCTGCTCGTCACAAGTTTCTCCATTTTTCTCTGATTTCACAGGGACTTTAAGAACACAGTCCGATCCCCAGAGATTTGTTTGGAGAATTCCGGCACAAAATTCGCTCTTTGGTGACATTTCAGCTGGATTTGTGCTAATAACATAATCCGTTTTCACCAGGTTGCTCCGAACCGCAGTCAGAATCATCACCTGGTTAAGAGACACGTATTAGTCGGGTTTAAATTTTTGTAGAAAAGCATAAAAACTAACCCCAGGAACACCATTCTTATTCTCTAGATGCATAAAATACGTGGGATACAGCAGACCATTAATTCCTTGTCGCGACCGAGTGATTTGACACTGCACCATGAATCCTGGCGGTGTTGGCATCCTAACGAAATTTGAGCAGTATTCGGCAATTCTTCCGCAGACCAAATTGAACTTGTAGACATCCTCTGACTCTGGTTGGTGAGGATCGAGAGGTGGTTCCTGCTCCACCTTGATTATTAAAAGCATCGTCATAAATTGCAATTTTTTTAAATCAATGAATTGTATTCCCATTTATTAGTCAACTGACTTCGTACAACAACTCGGACAGGTCGCAAAGTTTGCGGGACTCTTCTGTGGGGTCCTCCATACCTACACGCCACTCGTTATAGGCGTCTTCAGTGGGCAGCGGAATTTGAAACTTGTTCCGGAGGATGGTCTCGCTCTCCTTCGCCTGTCGACCCTGCATTAATGGCTATCTCATCTCAATATATATTCATTGTATTTTCAAAATGTGACCCGGGAATAGCAAAAATTGCTCTCATTAAATAAATAAATAAATCTAAACTGTACTGCACAATGTCATCAAACAAGGTAACCACACCCTCTCCTGTGAGTGAAACTGATAAGGATATGACATGATACAAAAATTATAAGATAATAATAATAATAATAACAATGTTCATAGGCTTCCTCCTCCTCCTCTGCAAAGAAGGCAAAATATTCTTGGGAGATGATTCCTCAAGAGCCACCAAAAATTGATGACCTCCCACCGCAGTACAAAGACCGTACCATTGTTGTGAGGGAAGTAAGAAAGGATTGGAGTTCAGTAGGCAAGGTCATGAACATGGATAAAAGAGAGAAACATGTGGATAAATCAGACGGTGGGATAGAAAAAATAAGGAAAACATTCTACGCTATTGTTCGTCCAGAAGAAAAAGAGGAGGAATTCGACTCTCCCGACTTCGACATGTGTACTCCAGAAGGTTATATTGATAAGGTGGTGGAGCCATTAAGTAAAAACGAGAAGGATGAAGCGATCAGGAAGATCAAGGCAGCCAAAGATGGAATTAAGGTCGAGGGGACAAAGTTTCATTTTGTTTGGCGAAAAATTGCTGGCTATGAGAGACTAGTTTTGGATGATGAGACGAGTGACAAGATTGGAGGAAAAGTTGTTTGCATTTTTGATGGTGAGAAATTTGGTTGAATTTTTTTGGAGACTATTTTCTAAAGATATCCTTGATTTCAGCCTGTTTCAGATATCATGGGACATCTGGAGCAGCCCCGTTTTGTCATGCCCATAGGAGTAAGTGGGAGTACGTCGTGTCAGATTTTGAAGACAAAGGAAGCAGAATGCCAACAATTCTTCACATCATGACCCCCTTTACATACGAAAATCCGGAGAAGAAGGATGAACGAGCTAGTACAGCTTTGAATAGTTTAGGGTGTAGTGGTGGTGGTGGTAAAAATCCCTGGCCCTCCTACGTTAAAGAATTCTCCGATGCCAAGCTACCTCCCCCAACTGTTACTGAAATTCCTGGTCGAAGACGATATTTTTTAACAGAAAAAGAGGTCAACAAAGTTTATGCAGCCAGACAAGTACATAATTTACACAATTAGCTCATTCAGTTGGTCAACATATTTTATCATTTTATAGTTCGTCACACTCTTGAGGAAACTAGTCCCAGCCACATCCAACTTTCGATATTTGAACAAGTATGTAGCGTTGCCAAATGGCGCAGAGAAAGAAGTGTTAGAAGAGATGAAAATTTGGGGAATGAAGCTGGGTATCTCCAAGTACTTGGCCCGTGAGTTCAGGGCCTTCCTCCCATATCCCTTTGGTAAAGAACGAGAAGGAAAAGAAACTGTTTCCTCAATGGTGGTGGCCAAAGAGCGTGGGGTACTCTACGTGGTGTCCAACCCACACATCAATTATTTCGGGAAGAGCATAACTGGTTTAAACCTCCATTTGGACACCAACATGTTGGATACTGTGACCCAGTACAGTTTGATGGAAGGTCACCTCGCCTGGGAACTTATTCCCTTGTCTTCTTGTCATGTGGATGATTTGGAGGCAAATGAAGCTCATCTCCACCTTGCCAACTCTTTCGCCGACCTTCTTCGTCTACATCAACAATTTGTCTCAGACCCCCCTTACACTTCTCCAGAAGGATCCACTCCTTATGATGCCTATCCTATCTGTCTTAATAAGTTCACTAATGCCAAGTTCTTTGATGAGACTTCTTTCACCAAAATCAATCAGTTTATGTTAAAGTGTTATGGAGTTGAGATCTACATTGGTCCAAAGTATTAATTTGTGTTAACTCTAATCTCTTTACACATTATTTATATGTATACATACATACAACACTTTATATATTAAACTCGTTATCACCTTTTGTTACGTTCTTACGTTTGTTCAAAATGTTTGTTTGAATGTTTGAACTCAAAATGTTTCTTACGTTAATGTTCTTCAGAACGATGCGAGATGTAGAAATCGGTCGACTTTTCCCCGATATCCAGCTCCCACGGGAGTAAGGAGCTGCTGGGTGAATGGATGCATAAGCTGTGTTGATAGGGCTTGCTAGACTACTTGCACATGAACTTTCACTCAGCAATGACATTTCAGAGGTGGCCGTCACAGTGCGGTGAGTAATTTTTCTCAAGGGAGCTGTGAATGCAGTTCGAGGTCTTGGGGTGAAGGAAGTCCCATTTCTCGTTTCTTTGGGGGTCACGGAGTGGACACGAGTTGCTGTGCAGTTCCAATGAGTCAAAAATACGTTGTACAAATACAACAAAAAAAACTATTAAGGTGAAATTAAGTGTTACGTCCGTTGGCTACTTCCGAGTCTCTCTCCAGTTGTGGAGGAACTTGATTGGATGGCCTGTCAGACTTTTCAGAACTGGAAACTTGTACGATGATTGGGATTGGAATGTCTTTTAGATTCCGGATTGACGCATACAGGTTGGAGTGAGATGAGTCCCCTTGTCCCTCATTGGTTGTGTCCATCACTTCCAGAATTTGTTTGTCAATTAGTCGGTCGTGACACGCTGCCTACAGATATTTTACGATCCACAGCGGTTTTACAAAGTTGAATTTTATAAAGGTGTAGCACATCATGATGAGATGAGATGGGTTAGACAATTTTTATATGAAATTGTGACTGTCGCATAAATAACGTTGACATGATAACGACACACAAATGTTCTCATTACTTTTTAATCCAATGCATATGGCCAAAATGTTGCGACACTACTTAGGCACCTGACGATCGGGTTACGATTGCTAAGTGTCGATACATGTTGGCACACTGCGTTTATTGGAGATTTGTTAACAATGTTATCTCATTACTTAAAATATTGTACTTATAATAAGAGTTAGCTGAGCAATAATTATACTGAAGGCTACAAACAATTTTATAATTGCGTTGAATTAAGGCTATGTAAGACAAAAGTTGCTAAATAGTATAGGATTTATATTGTTATAGGGTAAAAATTTGTATTCCGAAGATTAAGATAAAAACGACAGGTACGTAGAAGTTTGAGAATATACAGCGATCATAGTGTATTATTTAAAAATTCTCTGTGTGGCGCCTGGCCAGTTTGGCTATAGTAAATTTTATGTTTGCTTGTCCTCCTAAAACGACAATTTGATTGGTTTTTATTTAGTTCTTGCATAGAGTAAATGACAATGTATACGTTTAGTGGATTGCTACCATTGCTTGAAGCCCTTCCATGGTTGCATAGGGGGGAATGATGGGGTCTCCGCTCGCAGCCTGACAAAGTTTCTAAACGAATAAAGAGAAAACGTAAAATTAACATTGTATATTTCGTATAAAACAGATTTCAAACTGCCAACCTTGAACATTCTAGCGGAAAATGACAAAATGTACTGATTTCTTGTATTTCTTCTGCTGGATATTTGCTTCTGCTGTTGTTCGTCCTCTTCTGTCCTCTTCTCAGGTTTTACTTCAATAGCAAAGTCCTTCATCGGCGACCCAGCTAATTATGAAACATTATATACTTTAAATTTCATTTCCAAATTTATGCAAACACAACTAATAGATATGCACTTATTTACTACTTACCCAATTTATGCAGCCCGGCTACTCCATCGTGGACCTGGTGACCAAAAACAGATTGAAGTACAACCAAACATTTGCATGGATCATATATTCAGATTTTAGGAATTCACCAAAAACGCCACATAGAAAATTGATTCGATTGATTTATTTAGGGATCCTGGGTCTAGGCAAAACTCGTACAACGTGGTGGGTTCGGTATGAATTCTCGTATGTTGTCGTAAAAGCCTACTCAAGTGCTGTAAAGAAAATGTTATTTATTCTACATGTTATCCAAGATTATTTTTAAATGACAAGCAAACTGCGTCTTACATGGGCTAATTTTTGTGGCCCTTCCGACTTGTTGTAGTGAACAAGGTTGACCTCTTCTTGGGTTTTCTCGACATCATCAAATCGTTTTCGAACTATGGGTGCACGTGGTTTCTTCTCTTTTGGTACTGAAATTGCGTCTCTGTCAAAACTTCCGACGACTGCGGTGACGAGAGGCAATGTTTTAGAGGCTACGGCAAACTCCATTGAAAGAAACTTTGACACAATTTTTGAAGAGTATGCAGGCAGGTCGTCCGCGTCTGTTACAGCTTTCCGTTTCTAAATGCACCGTCAACATAGATAAGGATTGGTACAATTCAAAAATTAAACCTAAATATGTGTAAAATTGTCTTACCACGTTGGATATAAATTCGTCCATCTTAAACCCAGAATTTGATGCTCCAATGCTATCCGTTTTGCTCCGAAGTACTGAAATCGAGAAATCAAACTTGACAACTCTATACCGCAGAATAAGCGTATTAAAACTGGCTTAATTAATAGCATACCTTCGGAAATCATTTTTGTGTGAAGAAAGGCCATATACAAGTCTCCAGGCGTGCCTAGAACGAATCAAACATATTTATAATGTTGAATGAATGAACAGTCAATGAAATACAACATCGCATTGCAATTTCTAAGAATAAGACCATTCATTAAACAATGGATCGTTAAACATAACTTGATCCAACAACAAATACTATAATTAAATGGCTCAACTTACTCCCCACAGTTTCAGTCATTATCTGGGACCTATTGGCATTTTCAGATGCCACTTGGGGCTGCGTATGCGACAATTGTTGAAAAAGGGAGGAAGCACTTTGGATATTTTTGGTCATCACAGCTTGTACGTCGGACGAAAACCCCTCCCTCTTCTCAAGCTCTAAAAAAATATGAAAGAGAGATAAAGTTTCACATAATTTACTTGCTCAAACTTGCAACAGCCAAAACATACTTCGACAGTCGTCAATGAGTTTATTGTATTTGCGTCGCAGCGCTCCTCCCGTGGCGTCGGGAACACTGGACACGGTCGTCGTCCCAGAGCCACATTCAGAGTCATCCGACTCTTCGGATGATTCATCCTCCGACAAGAGTTTGGGGGCTTTTGGGGGTGAGGCACTCTCATCAGCCATTGACGCCAAGGCCATTGACGTCTCAGGCTCAGGCTCCGGTTCGTCCCGTTTCCTGGCCGCTCTGGTTGATCGCGACATTCTAGAAATATTGGAAGGTACAAATGATTTCCAAGTTAGCCCAATTCGGACACAATTATAGCCAACAACACTTCAGATTAGTAATTTATTGACTTACGTGGGTACAGAATTTCTAAAAGTATAACCGAATTTCACGTCGACAAAAATAATAATCGTTCGAACAAAAAAACCCACTTTAGGAAATGAGAGCCAAAACTGACACGAGTCTCAATCTCTCCGCGTTCCTTTGTTACCCATCATATGTGCAACCACTTTATTGCGTTGTTGCCCCTGCCCTTGTGATTCCACGTAATTTTCATATATACAACTCATCATACTTAATTCAGTTAATTCTAAAGTAGATTCGTATTTTTTCGTCATTTCGACGTCTCTGAATTAACACAAGGCTTGTGGAAAACATCTAAATTTTATCGGTATGATGTCAAAAATGTAACTTCATCCATACATACACCCATACATACATACATCCTATGTACATAGATACACAATCCATGCACTATTAATATTACATAGCCTGGATTATTGCATACTCAAATTGAAAGCTTTTCAATATTTCCCAACACCTCTGTTATTATTCAAAGCTATAATTATGCAGGAAGTTGCTCAATGGTTTTTTAGAATAAAAGTTTTTTGTTTCAGATATTCACACAACGATTATAATATATAAATGCATATACTTATTATGCACTTACTTCGTTGGCTACGCATTAAGTTTAACCACGTTTTGTGTATGTTTAATGAATTACACAAAATACGATTGAAATGACATTTATAATGAATGATGAATGGGTGTTAAAAGCTTTCCATAATTAAAATCCATAAAAACTGATTCATCCACAAAAGTACCTGGATTGTAACTCAAGCTGCTCCATGTCCAATATTTTTGCAACTCAAATCTGTGGACAGGAAACTCCATACTTGGGTAAAATTGATGGAAATAATAAGTGTATGGAATTATTATTGCACATAAAACCAGTTTTCCTACTAAATTACAGTGCTCCCCTAATAAACGTTAGTGCACAGTGTCTTAATTGCCATTTCCGATTCGTGTTGAATACACGATGCACGCAGTGGTTTAGCCTACATATTTACATACTTTTATTCATTCATTATATCAGCACAAAATGCATGCAAAATATGAAACCCTTGCTTTCTGCCTTGATAAACCAGTAATCCAATAATTCAAGTGGTCAGGTCAGTTCTGTTTTACATTTATTTCTTCTTGGTGTACTTTACATACCTACGTAGTTTTATCCTTAGAACAGTAGTAGTGGCGTTGGTTTTACTAATTTCTGTCTGCTGTAGATATTATCATACGTTGGGAATTTGATTGAGATCAATCTCACTCGTATCGGTGTATGATAGAGGCTGTTGATGAATCCTCATTTTAATCTCAATTTGGGCAACAATTTTCCTATTACTTGTGTAATACTAAAAACCTTCGCGTTATCAATCCAACCAGTTTTTGTAGTTTCTGTAATTTTAATAGCGCTGTCTAGTTTGTACACGCCACCATCAAACACTTGTTCCCAACTTGTGTTGTTGTGGTCGTCAATCAAGACGCGACGAGGTTTCATTGTAGTCCTCGTATCGAATTATACTGCCAAAAAAATGAGAAAAGAAATTGTGAAAACGTAAAATATTTCGAAATTAGCTGCAAACGAAATAAAATTCGACATGGGTCAAGATAATGTCTCACTTGAGACGACCTATTCTTCTGAGCAAACCTCCACCAGCAGCCCCCAAGTTACGACTCTACTCTCCAGTTCCTATTCTGACAAGGATTTCATGGAAAAAGCGACCAGTTCCAGTTCGATCTGCTCATCAGACTCCTCCTCTCATGTCCCCTTCACAATTGACCTCACAGGACCCATGCCCGTGATCGGAGTCCTTAATCGTGACGGTACTGAGCAAAAGAAACCACAATTTGAGACTATTTCCGTCCGAAGATACAACAGACTGATTCGAGAAGCGTCCCAAGTTCCTGTCGTGGTCGCAACCTCCATTCCCAATGGAATCGAGGAAGATATTTCCTCTGTTCAATTCAAAAATGTGTCCGACATTGACCCCGAACTTTTGAAGGAAGGCAAGGAATTCATCCAAAGGAACTTTTTCGCAATAATTCTTGCCCACTTGGTGGCTATTGCATTTTTGCTAGCAATTAAACCAGTCCAAGCGCTACTCCTGAGAACGGGATCAATACACAAAAAAGAAAATACGCTCAAACGTTACTTGTCTCTCATTATTGCCATAAAAAACCTTTACGAGTGTGACCTGGTAGAGGCTGACGATGTCGAGTCTGCAGCCAAGAAAAGTAGTAAAAACAATGGACAGAATCAGTCGTCGGTGTCCAGCATCGTTGAGACAAAACCTCAGCACAAGTACAATGAGGAGAGCGTGACGGGGAAGGAGTTGGACAGTTTGCGACGAGGGTTGAGCAACGTGTCCAAAAACTATAGGTTAGGTTTTCGTTGAAAAATCAATATTTTTGAGTAAAAAATAACTTTTAAATCTTTTAAAGAGTCTTTGTCCCACCTCCCACACACACGATGAGGCTGGACGCGGAGGAACAGGTCCTGCTTCTCGCTCTCAAGGAGGATTTGGCCCTTCTGCAACCATTGGATAAAATAGGCCTGGATCGGGACAAAATTTACACCACCATCAATCCTGACGTGCCACTGAGTCAGTACGACATGGTCATGCTCCAGTTTGCCTTCTTTGGATTCATCACCCTTTTCCCAACAACTTTCGGAATTCATGAGTCGACAAAGAAATTTCCGAAAAATATTTCAGGCTTCATTCACTTGTGGGGTGTGCTCGGAAAGCGTTTCGGGATTGAGGATAAATTCAACCTCTGCCTCAATCGCAACTTTGACTCGGAGACGAATCTCGAGATTTTTAGAGAGATTTTTCTCTTTAGCTTCAAACTCGCGGATGATAATTTGCTCAAGCTGTGGAGAACAATGACGGCAGGCTCTTCCAGATACTTTTTCTTCTTCAGAACAAAGTCAATGCTCCAATTTATGCTAAAAAACGTGGCGAAAGTTCAGGACTGTCACAATGTGTATTTCCTCATGAATTTCTTCGAGAAGCTTTGCTACCATTCCCATCAGTTTTGCGTCTCTTGGCTCCTAAGGTTTTGGGTGACGAGAGTTTTTGTAAATCTGTGTGCAAGGACAGTCTTCTTTCTCGGCTATAAACTCTACCTAAGAAGAATTAAGCTCCAGAAAGAAAAGTATGAATATGATCGAGATATGATTGTCAAAACTGTACATTAATAAAGTACGTACATATCTGTCATAGTTTTGAGTATGTACATCATAAATTTAGTATGGCACTTAAATTTATTTACCAGAATGTCCATGATACAATAGTAAGCATTATAATCACTTATGTAAATTTACTCTGCACACACAGTGCACAAAGTACACGTCGTAAACTAGCTAACAAAACATTTAAAAACAAGTGATTAATATAAATTATTAAATCAGGTCACATTATGCACTTGTTTGACTATTAATAACTGTAACCATTCACACCGGGGGTGGAGAATGTGGAGATACATACTATTTTATATGAACAGCAGATCTTACGTAGAATAATAATTGCAATAACAGTCGGTACTTCATTCAATTACCAATATATTTTGGTAACTGATTTGATTTACATGAAAGATTGGCACTCCTCCCGAGATATAGATTCACGTGTCGACGAGAACAATCATAAGAATAAATAGCATGAGATTAACACTGATTGACGACTAGCATTGTTTTCACTTCAGCACATGAGTCCAATTTCCATGAAAAATTGAAAGGACGTCATTATTACTACGCTCTAGTAATGGAGAGGAGATAACGCTACTAAAGAACTAAAGTACAAATCTAGGTATTTCTGACTATCAAATAAGTAATAACGCCTCTAAATTAATTGATGAAACAAATAGAATACAATATGTGAATCAATGTCCATCTCAATATTCTCAATAGTATAATCTACTAGGAGGTTCTCAAAATTAGTATATCACAAACAGTTTGAATCTGTATACTACGTTGTATGTAATAACCTTGAAATTTCAGTAAACTAAAGCAATATTTCTTGTAAATTAGATTGAATCTCCATCAATTCCAGGGATTAGAATTTTGGTTCCAATTTGGTAATCCTGTGTGACAAAAGTGGAAATTCCACATTTAAATTCAGCATAGACCGATTAGGCTTTTAGTACTGTTTGTTAAATGCATAGCACTTTCAGGTATTTTAATTAGCAGGGTTATTTTTCTGGTCAGTGGTGACTGGTAAATATAGCGAAAACTAACTAATATATTAGTTTAGCATTAGAAAATCTATGGATAGTAGAATAGTAATTTCTTTAACCAAGTATACATTTCACACCAATATTTAGCTTTTTCCAATTAAGCACCCAGTTAGGAGTAAGCAGATAATTATAATAACACATGCGATACTATTAAGCTCCAACCAGATATGTAAAAGTTATATTGCAAAATCTAAAATAGACAAATATTCAAGAGATAATTAACCTTTAACGTTCTGCTGACACAAAAGACAACAGGCACGTCGCGCTGCTTACAACACTCATCTGGTCTACAAAAAGGTCACAGAACTGATGGCTCGTACGCAAACTTAGGCAACTGTGGCTACAAAACATAAATAAGAACATTACCAAAACCAACAAAAAAACGTAATTTGATAACAAACAATTTCGTCCATACTACGCTACAAAACTAATTATCATTCCAATCGCATTCACTTTTCGCCGTTGCAATTTTGCAAGAAATATTACTGAAAGGCAAACATAATACTGAACAAGAACTATGTACTACGGAGCGTATACAGCACGCGATTGATTCCAAACTTCGAACTCAATTTCCTTGGCATACCCTTCTATAATCATGTCCGTCAAATGTTTGAGCGAACGTTGGTTCGCCAGAAAGCGTGTTGATCGGCTCAACCCGTTCTTGTGTAAGCTGCTCAGTCGTGGTCAAAATTCTTGCAATAGGAGTGCAAAACACTGGCAATGTCTCGAGCAGCGTGGGTCTGCTGTGCGTAAGTAGGGGCTTCATGTAGCGTTGATCTATAATAGTAAATCGAATTAATAATAATTTATTTAATGCATCACAGCCAACAACCTTTGCATATCAAATCGAATCGAAGTAAACCTTATAGTGGTATCATTACTAATTGTTCAAGCTAACAAACGTACCAAACTTTTGCCACCAACGTGCCATCAGAGCTTTGTCTGTTTGAGCTGGTGGTGTCCCTTCAACATATGGGTCAACTCCACTTCCGTCCGGCTGCAATCATAACCAAATGTTTTAAAATTCCAACAAAATGCATGCACAAACATTGTATAATGGAACAGGTTTGAAGCCAAAAGATATCCAAATACAGAACGAAAAAAGTTAAGATAGACTAGGAGATTAACTGCAAAAGCATTATAACATTGTGCGAACTTGGTAGCTGAGGAGGTCACTCTGTAGAAACAATAGAAACAATTTTGTATGCAAAGGTGGCGGTGAACATTACGACACGATTAGAAATTATATTGATATCGTGCAAGTGCAGTAATATGCAGCATTTTTACATTTGGAGTGAATTGAATTTAGCCAATAAAACTTACTTTTGGGCTGCCATCCAAAGGCGTGTACAACTACGAAATTTTTAAAGTAAATTCATAGGAAAACTTTGGATAAACAAAAAACAAGTTGTGGATATCAAATGAGCAAGGACCCAACACATGTAATTTTTTTTAAATAATAACAAAAGCAAATCGTATCAATGGGTTAATTGTAAAACTGAAACTGGAAGCTTCAAACTGTGAGGGATTGTAAAAATTTCAAAACGTGAGAGACGACGACAGGTGTTGTGCGTTGGTGGCGGTGGTGTCGTGGAAAGACTTCACTCCTGGGAAGTATTATTGCTTCATATAAAATTAGTGACTTCCTGGCTGACGGCGTATTAAATTGTTTACAGATAAAATTCCAAATAACTATAGTGTGGAATATTGCGCGTGGACTAAACCAGTGGCCATTATTAAAAGTTATTGCAATTGACATTAATAGACACTACTACATATTTGTTTGGATAGAGGAATAGCAAGAGAATGGAAAGACGAAGGCAGATTGTAAATAATAATTATATTTTCAGATTAAATACCAGAAGTTGAATTTCAGTTCTCTCTTCGCAATCACCAGCCTCAGCACCCGTCGACGCCATCCCACCACCAGTCGAACTCGAACTTGATTGTCCGAAGGATTTCATTTCTCGGGAAGGTTTGTGATCTTGGTCACAACCACCATTCGATTGATTTACAATATAGTCGGAATCACTTACACTTCTCATATGTAGTTGCATAACCTCCGTTTCGTCATCTACTCCAACTCTGCAACACAAACATAATGTTAATAAGTGTGAACATTTGAATATTTTTGCTATGTCTTATCTGAAAAGCGAACAGTTATCTGATTAGAATAATTCATATTAACTTACGGAATATTTAGCCAATTCAAGAGTTGACTGGTCCCTGTAAAAATTCTAGGCGGTTAGTTCTGAACTTTGAACGAACGCACATCAACGTGTTTTTAACAGTATTTTATAAGCTTACCACCACCACATATTATCACGGTAACTATTACGATGACACTAGTTGTGGTCAGCAGTGTTTGTCTCGCTAGGGAGAGTGTATTTCTAATGGCCAGCGCAAAGGCAATTGCACCCCGAAGGCCAGAAAAGAACAACATGTGTTGGAAACTCCAGGGTATTTTCTTCTTCCTCCCAAGATTCAGCAAAAACGACAAGGGGTAGATATTTGCTGCACGACCAACAATGATTGCCAGCTGAAACAATAGATAACAATAAATGCATCAGTCATCAGGGTTCGGCGTAACGGAGACAGGTATGAAATCGTCTAAATTATGAACTTACGAATGCCTCCAAGATAAAAATCCAGTCGAAATTGTGCTTTGGAAATGTGAACATGGACACTCCGATGTAACAGAAAATGAAATTTTCTGCCAGAAAGTTGAGTAGTTCAAACAACTGCTTAGTTCTCAATCTTGAATCTCTTGACAAGTTATTGTAAGTATAATGTGCTTGACAAATGCCTAGATCAGCGTACAATACATACAATATTACATTTTATGTACAAAAGGATCTGACATTTAAGGGTTAAGATTTAACAATAGTTATTCTTACCGCAAAATAGTACAGCAACAATTCCTACAGAGCGTAAAATTGCAATTGTCAAACAATATTATACTTGAGTATCAATAATAGTGAGTAAGCCCATCAGAATGCGTACCTGTGAGATCCGCCGCTTCAGCAATGAGAAAGGTACTATATGACATAAGAACGAAGAGTGCAGTTTCCAACAAAGGAAAGTCCTTAATGTGAGTGAACTTGGTTAACAAAGCTGTACAGCACTGAAACACATAGATATCAATTAGTATCCCCTAGTTTTGATGAATAAACCACAATACTTACACCCATCAGTGCACCAATGAGAAATGAGAGGCCGAAGGTCCAACCGAATACCCCCAAGGATTCGTACAGTGCGATCATCTTGGACCCACTTTGTACAGTACTTTCTTCAGCAAAATTTTGAATAGCACTGCATCAAAAAGGATAAAATATATTAGTCAGCAAGAATAAAAAAACGTATAAAACTCGGAGACTACATAAAAAGTACACAATTTTTCATCGTCATTACCCGACCAAGACAATAGCGACGGCATCATTAAGAACTGACTCGCCAAAGACAAGAGCATACATGTTCACATCCACGTGCAAGTCGTTAAATATTGCAAGGACTGTGACTGGATCCGTAGCTGATATAAGTCCGCCAAAGTACATGAGATCTACCAAGTCAAAAGTAGACGAGGTGGGGAGAAGGTTTATGAAACCGTAGAGAATGCCACCAATCACCAAGGCCGAGACTAGAATAATGATAATAATAATAATCCAACCTGTATTGAAATTTATTGTACAGCGACAGCGATTTTCTAATAAATTGAGATGCTTGTCGATCGCGATTCTTGAAATGTTATAAAATTATTATAATTATGTATTTTTATATTTGATGATATTTTACTTTCAAGTTCATTACTGAAAGCTTTCGGTATTGTAAAATTTAGTATGCAGTTTTGTAAATATACTTAATTTCTAACTTAATAACATACCTGTAGTTCCAATGAATGCTAAGGTGAATATTGTCCCAAGATTTCTGAAAAAGTATTTCTGAAATAAAAGATAACATGATATGACTTTGCTTCTTTTACTTCATAATCAAAGTATTTAGGTCTTACGCGTTTCATACTGTATCCCGCATTGAAAATGATTGGGGGCAAGAGAATGTTGAAAAAGATCTCGGGATCAAATGTCGCCTTTTCTTCAATTTCTTTGTCTTTTGGTCCATTACTCCCTTTGACTTCTCCTTTGAATACATAGGAATAGGTATGATTGCTCAAATCCTCAGGTTTCTGGCCTTGTTTCTGAAAATCATTTTTAAATGTTTTGTTTAACCAGTATAATTACAGACAGTATTTCGGGTCATATAGATGACCGAATTACTGGTCTCTATTTAAGAGCGTATATCGTATTCATATATACTTAAGTTACCATAAAATTAAGCCATAGTGCATCAGGGGGGAGTAGTGTCCCATTCATTTGACTATCTTCACCAGGCGCAGGGATCACATTTATGTGTGTCACGCTACCAGATTTTGACGCATATTTTATTATAGCACCCACAATGAGACCTGAAATTATAGAATGCATAAAAAACATTTGCATTATTATTTTCAATAGCAAGTCAACTTCAAGGTCACTCATACCATACCTAACATTTATAGCGTTTGCTATAAATGTTTGGTATTGAAATAGGTTTCTATTTCAATTCAACATTTATCTACGTATACTTTTAGTTGATACAGATCATTTAATATATTTTCCTCTTTTTAATGAGCAGCGATCGGACACGTACGAGACAGATAGTATTTCTACGTTCGGACCAAATGACAATTGCTCACACAATATTTGTCACGCAACTCTTTGCAGCCGGTCTTGAAAGCGGAAATTTTTAATCCTCGCAAAACCACTTTGCGAATTATATACGAGCAGAACACGACAAAGGATTAAGCATAAGCTTAAGGAAAGCCTCGTCTCAATATTATGCTATAATTAAATCAACAACGTCTGGTATACCTAAGCCACACTTGCCGAATGAATGTATGAAGGTTTAGGAAAACCAAACTAACATTTAAAATGAAAGATCCTACGATATGCAATATATATATATATAATTCATTCAGATTTTGCGTAACACGTCAAATAAAATGACATTTGTGCCATTATCGTTACAAGTTCAGGTCTGTTTGACTCACCATAAATGACTGCAAGCCCTGTTTCATGAAGGAAACGGATTCGTCGATGCTTGAATGACCAGATGGTGACAACAGTCAAACTCAGGAGGATTGTATAAAGCAAGATATTTAGTGAATCCAAACGGTGATTAGCTTTAGCTTTCTCATCTAGTTCGATGTCTTCCGAAGGGGCTGATGTCACCAGGGTCACCGATGAGGCAACCAGCACCGATAAGATAATGAAAAGTCCACGAGATCGAGGCACTCCAATATCAATCAGCCATAACAGGGTCCAAGGAGGTGGCCGACGGGGTAGGGCTTCCTTATTCATTTTTGACTTCATTTTGACGCTTTCTCCATTTTTTAACTGACGGAAACTGAATAATGACGAAACCCCCATCTCCTCTCCGTCGCGTGTCGCCGTGTTGGTTATTAAGACGTCAAAAGTGTCTTCTCAATGTCACGCGATGCGTAGTACGGCGTCACAATAATGCAGACACATTTACAGTCATTCGTTTCACAAAAATTGAATGGCACCGAATTAAATCTCAAATTAATCTCAGCAAAACAATGTAGTAATTGTAATTCTCTATTTTAGAAAATCACAAAAATGTGAAAAAATAAGTTGACTTGACTCACATTTTAGTACTGACTTGTATAGTTTGTAGTAAAGAACGCAATGTAATGTTTAAAATCTTTCTGACTGGAAAGTTACAAAGATTGCTGACTCAACAAGTTAAACATAGTTAATCAGAGTAAATTGCATGGAATTAAGTAAATATTTTGAATTAACTGGTCTTGACTAAATAACTGACACGATTTACTTTAGTCAGTCAGCTTGCTAGCTCTGCTTTCACGGCAGCAGCAGTTTGGTGAATAATCTGTTTCTGCTCAGTTCTGGACAGGAGGCTGCTGCTGGAAAACTCACACAGCTGGCTCATAATAATAGTGCTGCTCTGACTGAATGTGACTGAATTGAATGACTGTCGATGGGCGTATGCAAACATGTCTATGCATGACTATGGTCGATAACTCTCGGAAATCAGACGTAATGCATCACATAATTTATGTGCGTGGCTGTATTTTAAACTTTCTTACAATAAAATTGTCATAAAATTACATGGTTTAAGAAAGTATTTAATATATTGTACATACTTATTCTGAGGGAAAGTTAATCAGTGCAGGTTTATTATTGTTTCTTGTGGTCATTATTGTAAACCCATTTTCAAAGTAGTCGATAAAGGTAATTGTTTAGCTCAAAATCTACACTCTTTGCAATTTTAAGAATGAAATCGTAGTCAGCTAAGCAACGGTACTTGATATTTCCCGAAGTGTCTTCTCCTAGAGATTGAAGGAATTGAGATTGGCAAAGAGATGAGATTTGCATTAGCCAGTCTACGTTGCCCTCGTACGCTTCGGTTCCCCCAGAGCAGTAGGATACCAAAAATGCAAAGATTGACTTGAGACGGTTTTGATCAAAACTTCGTAAAGCTCTCGTTCTTTCAGACACGTTTTCTTGAAGATGTGCCCCCACGTTAAGCTTCATCTTTTTGCCAGTTTTGCGCGTCGATCCTTTCACAAAGAAGCGCTTATCTGATGATGGAGGGTTGTGCGTGGCCAGATATGAGCCAATCAAAATATATCGCGAAAATGTAGGAATATCATCGTATGTCCTTTCTTTTGTACTTGGAACAGTAGTTGTTGTAGTAGTATTAGCAGTGGCAGCCAAAGCCTTACTAACTGTTGATGGTAAATTGGTGCTCTGTGATACAGTCATAGCCGGCGATGCCAAGCTTGTTGTTGCTGTACTGAAACTCTTGTCCCTTTTGTTGTTATCCGTCATGGGCAAAAATTGAGAGTTGAGAGCTTTGAAATCTTCTTTCAACTGAGGAACAACATTTTTCCACACGTTATGAAGACTTTGCCGTTGAATGGTGTGCTGTTTTTGTACAGATTCCCAATTGGAGAGTGTCAGTCGTAATAGTTTCCTTAGATCACGACAACCTTGATAAAATACATTTATAACCATATTAACATATTGGGTGAAAAGCTGTGAATCCGCATTCTTGGGTTTGTAGTATGTCGTTATAATGTCGACAATCTCTTCTTCAGAATATTGCGGAAAATGTATGGTAGGGATGCTCCTCATACTGCAAATTCCACTGAATCCCAATGACGGAACAATACTTGAGAAAACTACAACACACAAATTGCTCTGAATCAGTTCTTGTAATCTGGCAAGCACTTCCAAGATTTCTGAATGATTATCTCTTAAGTACTCGGCCTCATCAATAATTATGACAGTTTTGTCTAGATGTTTTGCGTCGCGGTGATCACACATGGTTCGAAGTTGTCGAACAAAGACAGGCAAATTTTCGCATTTAACTTCTCCATCACGCCAGACCTGCTTGAGCAAGGTTTCGAAAAAGGGCCGCTTTCCACACATAATTTCGATCGCACTGATTTTCGCAACTCGTGTAATGCCGCACTGGCTCAAAGCTGTGCTGAAGACGAGTGATTTTCCGGTGGAGGGGGGACCCCAGATCAACAAGGCCTGGGGAAGATTTCCCTCCATCGCTGCGACCAGGGAGGAAACCTGAGCCTCTCGACAAAGAATCCCCACCATTTTTAGAATTGACACTACAAAGGTAATTAGATTAGAGTAATGCATTCCGCTTGCGTAATGGTAATATCATAATCGTACCTTGACTGTCTGCTTGAAAATAGAGTCAGACCAGAATTTTGGGTGATTCAGATTTGAACTGCTTGTGATCTGGTCTAGTCATTAATATATTACAAAACATTGATACCATTAATACATGAGGGGACAAAAAACAAGCTCTAAATTGATAATTACCGTCAACTGCCGGAAATAGTGAATCTGGGATGTCGACTTATTTCTCAAACTAGATTAGTTATTTTATCTTGTAGTTTCAATTAGTTTTAAACGATAAACGAGGAGAAATTAAGGAACAAATTTGGTGAATCTATCTGCCACTCCAACCCGCCATCAACCACTCTCAGCCGGCAAAATCAGCAGTAAGAAAGAATGTACTGGTGGTGACTTGGTGACTGGAGGCGAGATGAGAACCCAATCCAAAGCGAGACCTGCAGAAGGATGAAGATGCAATCAGAGGCAGTTTGAGATTAGGGGCAAATGAAGTTGAGATGAAAATAAATAACCACACCCAACTAATTGATATATAGTTATAGTTAAAATACTTTAATTGCCATATTCATTAAAATAATTATTTGAGTCAAACAATGCATGATAAACCACTCATTTTCATCAAAAGTAGTGCATAGAGCGGAGTAAAATAAATTATTCAGTTGCAATCAGTCGAAGGTGAGTCGTTGGTTTGGGGTGGGAACAGGAGGGGAAGGGTCAACGCTGCTGCTGGTGGGGGGTGAATTTGAGGAAGGTTCAGTCTTCTGCTGGTCGGCGGGGGGCGTTTCTGGAAGGTTAGACAGGATCACGGCGCCTCCGAACCCGAGAGGAATTGCAAACTGTTGTGACTGACTTTTCGTGAAGGACTGACCCACTCCACCAGAGTATCCGGCCGCCACATTCCCTTGGATCCCGTCTGATACATAAAATAACGGGCAAGGGTCAAACAGCTAGAGTTAAATATTTCCGTATGACACGCTTACATTGTCCTCTATTATTCACTCCCGTGTTGGTAAAGGTTGATGGGGGCCTGCGACCGCTGGAGTACGAGTTGGATTTACTGGAGGTTTGGCTGGCGAGGGGAGAGTACCTGTTGCCCGGGTATAGAATTCCAGCATTGAAACCCACAGATGAGGCGTCCGATCCACTGAAGGAGCCATCCTTTCCTGGCGAACATCAGGAAATATGCACAAATTACATTGACCGGGTTACAGTCTTATAATTAGTTAGAACTAAATCAATACGACGACATGAGAAGGAAACGTACCAACTGCATGGGCGTGACCGTAGTTGGTATTAATGTTGATTCGGTCGTCAAATATTGAGCTGTTTCCAGTAATATTCGCTCCCAGTATCCCAGCAGTGGTGCAAGTCACCATTAAGAATAATCGTATAAGAAACATATCCGTTTATTGTTTGAAAATTTCTTGAAATGTACGACTTCTGAAGATATACGACGGAAATTATGTGAGAGGGAAATAAGAGCAGTAACTTGACCAAGCTAGAACCAATCGCAGACTGGCTAAAGTAGTTTGTGTCATCATTATTACTGCGTTAATGTTATAAGTAATTTATTTAAAGACATGGCATCAAGATATTAATACTCCGATTGGATCCATGTGCATATGTGGGGAATTCCAGGTAGACGTTAAAGAAAGGCAAGTTAAAAAGGTTACAATTTCGACATATTTATGCATGGTCAGACAGACCTAACATACATACTTTGCATGTACAGAGTACTTACATACACACACACAAGTAAGTTGAATATGTCGTATTGAAGATATACAGATCTGTATGTACTTCCTCTAATGAGTTAATGATCAAGGTTTGCATATCTTCAACAGTTATTATGAGTAATAATAAGGACGAAACAAGCAATACGTTGCTGAAATTGACAAGCTTTGAATCAGGCTTTTCATTTAAATTTCATAGATTAATATCAGACAATTTCATAAGTAAACGACTAAATTAAATGTCATGTCATTTGGTTATTATAATATTAGTTCCACTGACCAATCATGGTCGTTGACTAGATATAATTTGTGTAGATAATTGTTAATTAAATTTGTAATTAGCATATACATACTTCCCACATCCAAACATAAAATGTCTCACTCTCACAATCATTACAAATTCACAGATTTTTTCCACTTGCAGCGACCCTTCGTCTAGCGATGGGGGATGATGACCCAATGGAAGTTGTTCCAGGCGAGTCGGTAGCTTTCGGAGAACTAGCTGCTGTTCTAGGCCCATGTATTGTTTTGAAACGGCGAGTAAGTTGTCGTCGGCTTTTAAAGGTTTGCTGCGATATCAAAAAAAGATTTAGTAATACTACAAATAAACAATATTCGACGACAACGAACGATTACGGATGGATGAGTGTTTAAATATCAATCACCTCGTTCTTTAGCGCTTGTCTACTTTGATACTCCAATCGTGCCATTGCCATTTTTACTTGATAGGGGACATCCGGGATTAGCTGACGTAATGCGAGAGTTAAAGCTAGCAGACAATGTTCAATAACCACGAAAAGAAGTAACCATTCAGCTGGCCTGAGTGTTGGTGAAAGCGCTCGTAGTTCTGGTGAAAGGCAGAGCAGTCCACAATTGGTCATAATGGCCACTGCTCCCATCACTTCAAATGCAATTTGCCAAGCTCCAATATCCTTGGTTCGTTTAGCAATTGGACGCTGAAATACTTTACAGAGCTTAAACGCATCTGCACGGATCTCAAGAACATTATTAAAGATGGCCCATGAAGCAGCCAGCGGATAAACTGAAGAAAATAGGAACACATATCCAAATTGTATAAACATTTCCAAATAGTCGTCAAAGGTTCCCTGTTTGTGAATAAACGTAATTTATTTATCAAATCCCTTTGTTTGATGATATCACTGAACGAACCTCGTAAGGATCTTGTTCTCCTTCTGCTTTGGACTTGTCAATTCTGGGGTCTGTGGCGTCCAAAGTTTGCAACCCTAAACTTGCAGGATTCCAAATACTGTCCTCCGTGGATGCATTATTATTCTCTTTTGATCCCTTCAAAACCTCGTCTTCATCAGTCATAATTTTGGCAAGTTTAGGGTATTTCCGAATCAGAAATTGGACCCCTGACGTGTACGCCTTACGAATCAGAAGTGGAAGGATAGCTTCTTGGAAATGGCTGATCGCTTGTAGAATTATCAACATGACGAATACTTGCTGCTCAGACAAACACATTATTAATCCCCAAATATTATTCTGTAAATTGCATACAAGAAGAAATATAACTAGTCTTACATATTTCAGCATTTCCTGCACAGAATACGGAAACATGATTAACTACATTACGTTCTGGATATAAATAATTAACATTTTTATGCATATGTTAACTTACAAAATCTTGGAGGTAGAAAGCAATGTAAAACAAACTCATAAAGTTATTGACGAATTCAAATAAGACGAGTTTGGTGACCCGGTGTCTTTCGAATTGCGATTGTGTACGATGATTCTCTGATAAAACAATAGACATGGTTAAAATTAATTCAAGGATTTTCTATGCATAACGTCTGCCACATACCCCACTCTGTCAGAAAAGATGCTAATTGTCGGTAATAAAAATTCATCAAGTAGACGAGAATGGCGTATACAATGCTTGGGACATAGACCAAGATGGCAGCGAGCTTTGATCCATTTTCGTGTTGCATCTCTACCAGAATCTCTTCAATCCAAAACGAGTATAACATAATGTAAAAGGCTCCAAAAAGACAGACAAGGACAATCGGAAACGAAACCCCATAAACCTTATAAAAACAAATGCGGAAACGGTAATATATTTGATGGCATATGATTATACATATCAGCAGATATTCATTTCCTATTTATTTTTAGCTCACTTTTACGGCTGTTTTCCACCACGGATATTTCGGTTGATATCTCCCAGTCACTGGATCCATACTCATTTTTCCTGTATGTACAATAAGGGAAAAGATAGATATATTTGTAACAATGTTTTTTGTCGCACTCTTCTGTGATGTATAAAACTGATAATAAATTGTGTAGAAATTGGTTCGTCGTCGTACCCCGAAAATTGGATCTCGGATCTTCCCACTTGGTCATTCTTAGGGTCCCCCATACCTATTTTTAAAGGAAGGTCGCATCATATTAAGCACGAGGGCATGAAGAATTAATAAACTATATTAATGTCCTCTTACATAGGCTAGTTCAGAACACTTTCTCTTCCATAACTCAAGCGTCACGGTGACCCATACGACGTTGAAAATACAGAAAAATATTAGGCTATAGTTCGACGCAGAGTCTGGAAAGAATAGGTGCAGAATTCCCAACATTGCAGGAGCGCAAAGTGATGCTGTGTAAAATCCCAAGAATGAGAAATAGAGCGATATCGACTCTCCAAAATATTTTCGAATTTCCTCTAAAATAAAACAATTCAATACTCTTCAATGAGCAAGTCATCAGAGGAGGTATTTCAGATATACATATGTGTAAGGGTAGTCTAGTATTTATTACCAAAGGGTTGTGCCTGAAAAAATGCCCAGTACCACTTGTCGCCCAAACTAGTCAGTTCTGCATCATCATGAAGTGGATAATACGACGTTATCAGTGACTCTGTCAAAAATGTTTGAAATATCGATTGCCCAACAAAAATGGACAAACTAGGACATCCTGGTACGCAACTTTCTCCTGCAATGGACCGCAGGTTCTCCAACTCATGAATCACAATCATTTGCTTTTCTGCAGCAGTGAGAAGATTGTCCAGGTTAATATCAGAATGGAGAAAGTTGTCCAGATCTCCAACCGTGAATTCGCGGAGTTGTCCTTGACAGTCTACCTTCTTCAGTTCCATGTATTCGGCTAATTCTAGAAATTTTAACTTTGATGCTGACACATGTAAAACCAGACTCTGCAATATAAATATCGATAACGTTAATAACTGAATACTCCTTATTTTCATTGGAATATGCTGTGAGCTGACCTCCTTTTTGCGACCTCCATAAGGTTCACATCGAACGAGTAGCTCAGCGCCACCCTCACCTTTCTTTCCAGTGATTTTTCGCACCAGCCAAGAAACTGCGGCAGGCTGGATGTTGGGCGACAGTCGAAGGACGAGATAGGTTGGGGGAAATGCTGTGAAGGAAGTTTGGCTGTCCAGGTCGCCGTAGTCCACCATTCCATTCTCCTCCTCAGACCGTGGTCCCATGTCGACCTCGTCTTCGTCACCTCCGCTACTGGTCCAACGCACTTCCGGTCTTACAAGAGTATTCTCTGTCAGAGGCTTCTCCGCTGTTGGTACTGATACTGGCGACGTTCCTAATTCTGCAAGGAACACAAAAGTTTTGTCTGATTATCTGGTGCAATGTGCAGCTCATCAAGTAGAAGTTAAGTCGACTGGTCTAGTCAGTTATGATTATTCATAATTCCAAAAGTACCCGAGCGACTGGGAAAGCCGGAAAAGCGATTTCGCAACCTTGATGACCGTCGTAAACCCTCCTCTCCCCCCACCGGCATTGCACCCATGCGAACTTTCTCCATCACACTTCTGCTAACTATTACCAAATATTATTGTCACTACCACTAACTGACTGAGTAAATGATTGCCCATCATGTGTACCTAATCAATGTAACAAAGTCAAGTATTGTGAATTACAATTTGTGATGAACTGATAATAGTCACTCATTATTTTCGGAGATAACTCGATAACTAAACCTTAATATCAATATTTGTGAATAAACCAGATAACCTAATCGGTAATGTCAAATGCAATGCTCATCACGGCATACCGGATACTGGATGCCCTTTAAACGATATTCTGAACAACGAGAATCTCGTTACGAGATGCACTTTCCAAATGTTTACAAAGTCGAGCAAAGTAAAACGATTGGAACCTAAATTGGGAGTCGGCGAGGGCAAAGTGATTCAGGTGCAACAGGTGTGCAATGCATGTTGTAAAAACGCTGATATCGATGACCACGGTATGATCCAGTGACTTCAAACCATAATAATAATTATTACCTTTGGTCCATTTATATGAAATTAAATATTGGTTCAAGTAAACATACATACATATATTGCATACGAATTATTCCATGCACCAAGTGCATGTTGCTATAATTGTTATTAATTACTAACAATTATAATGTAGATGTATGTTATTGATCTTATCTGAATGTCATTACCTGAATATTCTACTGAAGAGATTGCCGTATTTTCAAGAGCAGTGCTTCAATATTTACTTATCACCATCCGCACAAGTTTCACTGTTATGGAAGATTTTTGTTAAGAGTGTGATTTTCGACATTTCTTTAGCAAAATCAGAAATGAATTAATGGCTGCATAACATTTATTTTGATACCGATCCACCTTGTTCAAGACCAATGCAGTTTGAAAACTAAACTGATTTTCTTGGACGTGCTCCAATTCGGAGGCGTTTTGACGGAACAGAGTCAGTTGTGCGATGGCTCATAGATAAATATATATGCATACTCGACCCTGCTATGCAAATAATTATTCTGTGATTGATAACACGGATAAAGGTAGGAAGTGTGTACATTTAGCAGATTCCTAGATAAATACGGATACTTCTCATGTACGATGTACTTACTAGTGCAAATTCTCAAGATCAGAAAAATTCTACGAGACACTCAGACATGCAATGGTAATAAGGATGGGAACATTTCTCGTGTCGTTGACTAAAAGTAGAAAGCCGACATATATTCAATAGAGAATGAGAATCAGAGTGTAATGTATTCCTGTTTATCTCATATTGTCACATTAATTCCTATTTGCACGGTATTAGAGAGTGCCGATAAGAAAGCAGCATAATGCATGAACTCCAAATTGTAATATTTACAAACAATTTTCATTATTTTTGATTTTAACACTACTTCTATCCTTGTGGAAACCAAATTTATTTAGAAATCAAATACGTAAATCCCGAATAATGCCAAAAATTGTTACCCAGCCGGGAATCGAACCACGGCTCCCTTGAATTCATGTCAAGTGCTCTGACCTCTGAGCTACTAGGGCAATTAGTAACATTATAGGGACTTTTACTGATATTTGTCTGTGGCCTTTTTCTGTGAATTTCTACTTTGTGGGTGTGGCGGGCGCAAATGTGGCCATGGAGTCAAACCACTTCAGGGTTTTAGTACACTGATAGGACCCTACCACATATCCAAAGGGCATCGAGATCTGTGAAGGGCAGGTGGTGACGCTCTCCTCCTGAGAGCAGGACTCGTAATGAACGATGTGCATATAATTTTGTGATTTATTTTTGGTATACAAACCATTACAAAACACGAACTTAATAAACTCGGAAAATTTTCCTATTTTAATTCATATTGTTTGTTACGATTAGTTTTACGAGATAACAAGACGCAAGACGGACAGACGGACATAACGGGTACATAAGCCCTGATTCGGGCTAAAACCCTAAATTTAGTTAAATTTTTCACCAATGCATAGTATGCATTGCATACTATGTATGCACGTGCATAATACAAATTGTATATTTGACAAAAACTGGCGTAAAGTGCATTAGTAAAATGCATTTGGTACAGTAAAATTCTATGCAAAATGGTCGGTTTGACCGATAACAGCGAGCTTGACTCGGGCTGCACACTGGAGATTTCAAGTTCAATCTTCGAAATAGTACCCTCGAAATTTTTAGCTTAAAAAATCAAGCTAAAAATTACGATGATTTCATCTTTAAGAATTAAGTCTCTATGTCTGCCCGTTCAAAAGTTATTAAAGGTCAAAGTAGTTGGTGTATTTGTAAGGGACTTTTACACCAACTACACTGGAGAGCAGATGTCATCGCCCAAGAGAAAGTTTGCCGTTTGATTTCTCATAACTTTTTGAAAATAACAGATTTTCCAGAATTTTTTTCTGCGTTTTGTAAACTATTAATTATGTAATTTAATATCCAATAACTAAGTATCAAAGAGTCTTCTTAAAAGTTTATAGTTTTCATCACAAGTGAGTAGATTAGATAAAAAGTAAAAACGGCAGGTGCAAAAGTGATCGCCAAAACGAATAAAACATTTAATATTTCTACAATTTTAAGTTTTAAATGAAAGCATTAACACTTAGTACGTTGTTGGACCTCTATTTGAAAATATGACAGCCTATCAGCGACGTTACATGGACGCAACCAATGTCTGAGGGATATCAGGGTCGACGTCACTCAAGGGGGCTTAGATTTCTGCTTTCACGTCAGCTATGCTCGAAATTGAGCGTTTTCGGATGTCTAAATATATGTGCTCCCCACCTCTGCTCAGTAGGATTGAGATTCAGTCTTTCCTGATGCGATTCGAGAACATTAATCTTGTTGGTCACAAGAATTCACAGGTGGACTTGGCCGTCCGTTTATGTTCGCGCTCCTGCTGAAAGGTGTAGCACCCTGCAAAGGGAAGTTTTGCTGCTGATTGTTAAACATTTCTCTTTAGTAGGTTCTGGTACAAAATTTGGTGCTTGGTAGAATTGATGAATTCGTGCGTACCAGCCCCCGCGAAGCTGAACACCCAGATATCATGACGCGTCCTCCGCCATAATTTAAGATGGTGTTGAGATTTTTTAGTTTGACAGATTCTCCGACTTCTCTCCATACTCAAACCCTTCCATCCGACCATAAAACACTAAATTTACTCTAAACACACAGGAGAGTGATTCGCAAAAATTTTAATCTTTATTTGTGTGTTGCCTTGCAAATTTTAATATTTTCTATTGGTGCGTTTTTGATATGTAGGCTTCCTCCTGGCTCTATAATTTTTTTGAGCACTGAGTTTCGATATTCCCCAGCTTGCCCAACCACTTGATACTTTTCTAACATCATTTTCTACTTCACCAGAAATTTTGGGAGACGAAAGTTTTGGATTATTGGTCACTTTTCGAGCAAATATTTTCTACTCGCCTGTGATGAAACTTGGTGGACGTCCTGCTCGTCGCCTATTTTCAATTGATCCCGTTAATTTGTAACGTGAAATCATGTCACGGACAGTTGACGAGATTTTTTGACCAACTCAGCAATTTCTTGTTGCGTCTTCCCCCCATTTTCGTAGTAATGAATGACCAAATCTTGAATAGCGACTGTTGTTTCATTATTGGGCATTTTCTTCTGGGATATATTTTTTTAATTGAAGTGGAATTATTTTATATATACATCAATAGTAGGTGTACTTAAAAATTAAAAAAGTTGTTATCCTACTTTGGTAATTTTAAAAGTGCTATCATTTTAATTGTTTGTGGCGATGACTTTTGCACCGGTGCTCATTTCTTAACTTCACGCTATGGGTCCGTACGGAGTGAAAAAAAATCTTACAACAAATTTTCTTTAGTGAATGTTTGTGTACTAATTTGTCTTCAAAATGAGATAACGACCTTTCAAAAATTCCCCGTACTTACTGAGAAACTATGATTTAAATTGTGCTTGTGGTTTTGGGCGTTCACATTTGCTCTCCAGTGTATTTTAAAAATAATTATTTTATTTGTAACTCGACCATTTGTCGCAACCGTTAAGGGTAACTAGGCACTAAAAGTCAAGCAATCGTGGAGTCGTTGTCATTTATCAAACGACGAAATTACTCCCCCTCCAAAAAATCTCGTCGCTCATTATTTTGCATACGGTTAATCTTACATTCCACCATGACTGATAGTTGAACACATTTTATCCAAAATCTTGTGACCTGGCTTAAAATTCATAATAATGTCATCTCTGTTTGAATCATTCCGTGGAGTTTTCAGATCCAGGACTTCAACAAACCAAAATGACAATGACGACAACGCCTCTGAAACCGCAAATAAAAGCACACCCGAGACAAAAACAATGGTGTCTGAAAGCGTGGAGGCCGATCTGGATTCTGGGAACCAAGGAGTAGTGCGCAAACCTTATTTCAAAGCGCCCCCAAATGAAGATTCCCCATATGTTTCCGAAGTTAATTCAGCTCAACTATCCTTCGAAAATATTCCTCCAGGCTTGGTATGCATTACTGAGTCCCCGGAAACAGGAATTCTGTATCAAGTTCCTCAAGGGCTTCCACCACGACAGCCTCTTGCATCGAATAGTCACCCAAATCGACCAAAATCGGCTACAGCCCAAGTTATGACACGAATGACGATCCTCCACAACGAACAAGCCCCACAACAGCACGACACGCGGGATGATGACGAAGATGACGACGAAAAGTGGGACAAGGACGACGAGCGGATGGCCACACTGATGGCACAAATTCCTTGTCAAATCACTCAGAGTGGTCATCTTTTCTCCAAGTCTTTCACAACGCTGCCTAAACCAGCAGCACAAAGTCGATCATCTCACTTGCAAATGTCAAAAAAGTCGTCAACTAGAGTGTTTTACAACATGGCGGAAATTGGAGTCGTCCCTCGACCTCAAACGAGTCCGCAATTTCCAACACAGTCAAGTCAATTGCATCAGGTGCATATCTTATCTTTTAGCTCATTAAATATGTATCTCCAGATTCAAAGTAAATGTCTGAATTTCTTAATCTCTATCCTTTCATAAGACGGTAGAACCTGATCATCTAGCTGTTCATAACGACGCGACTAAAGTTATTGATCCTTCTCAGACATCCTCGACAACCGCAGAAAACCACATTTCTTCTGAGGACCAAGAAAATAAGTTGGGCGAGTCCGATACTACTTTCCGTCTTAGCACGTCGAGTGATCACCACAATGCAGATCACAAAACGGAATCGGAGCTTCTTGACTTTGGTCCACCAGCGTTTACCATTCCCATAAAAAATGATTCAAAGTCTCTTCACAAACTCCCCACCAGTTCGCGATCCGAGTCCTCCGAGACTGTTCAGTCAATCGTTGCCAACATAATTTCCGAGGAGGGGGACGACTTCAAGGAGCGGTACTCCGAATGGATTGCAGACACCCTTCATGAAAGAATGGACAAGATGCGACAGCGACTCAACACCCAATTCAATTCCACAATGGAACAGCTAAAGATTTCAAAGGACGAGGAAATTCAATCCTTGCATCAGTTTTATAAACACAAGCTAAAATTAGCTGAAACGTCTTCTCATCAATTTCAACAACTGGTATTATAATTCGTCTGAGCGTGGCTTTTAATAATCCCATGTTCCTTATGTCTCTAAATTGATGCTTAGATAAGGTCGATGGAGGCTGAACATCGTAGAACTCTGCAAGGGAAGGATGACATAATTCTAAAGTTGAGTAATGAGTTGGGCCATGCAGGCCAGAATTTTGTGCACGAGTTGGAAAAACAACGGACCCTCATCAAAGCGGAAGTGGAAAGGGAGAAGACTGAGCTGGTCACTCAACAAGGCGAAAACATTCAGAGGATTTTGGGAACCGTCGCCGACACTAATGCAACGCCACTGACGACGCACGGTGACTCGAGCCTGTTCCTCCCCAGCCATATGGAACTTACCACGGTAAACTTGCCACCAATTCAGCATAAATTGACATATTGTGGTGATAATAAAAATATGAGTTTAAAATATAATCAAATTCAGCAGAATGATTGGTCATCACAGGATCATGTCCGCTATTCGACGGAGACGAATTCACAAATGGACTTTTTATATGAGAAAATTGCAAATCTCCAAAAAACGTACGTGTACAACCTTGACAAATTACGATGAATAATCTGAAACTAATTTTGCATTTGCCTACAGACTAGAATCCTTGACTCAGGAGAAAGAACTAATGTCCAAACTCCACAGTGAAAATCTATCCTCGATTATGAGCCATTCCGAGCAGTCAATTCAGGAGTTGACAAAACAATTGCAAGCTGCAAATGACAAGTTGGCCAACTTGAAGAAACGACACGAACGGGAGATAAAAGATGCGAAAGTGACGTTGCTCAACAAGGAAACGCTCTACAACAAGACCTTCATCGAACTCAAACGGAAATACGGAGACAAAATTGATGGATTGTCCAAAATCATTCAGAAAATTGAATCCACTTACGCGTAGATATTTGGCCACACAACTTGAAGTATTTCGTAATTTTTAGATACAACTTGTGATTTATTCGTGCTATAGTTTATCTCGAAAAATAAATATCAATTTATTTCACCGACCGACATAACGTAATTTTAATGAAAAATCAGTAGTGGAAAGTGTGAACATTTCTTTGATAATTTGTGTTCTCGTTGTTCCGTTTGTTTTGTGGAGCAGTGGAGGAAGAAGAGTGCGCCATAAGATTAACGAGAGGATGGACTCGGTCAGTGGACATTTGATGCATATTTTGTACTGTTTGCTCTGCTTTGTGCACCTGGTTGATGATTCGCAGATAAATAACAACATTGTAATTGAAAATGATAGTCCAACCATTAATAAATACATTTCTGTATCAGTCACGGTCCAAAACGTGTAAAAGTGAGAGCAGATTTGATACATTATTAGTTTATAAATTCATAATAGAGAGTAAAATAGATTAATTAGCCGTGGATTAATTCTTGAAAGTTAAACTTTTTATGATCTTTTTAGAAATTATACATAATTGGATATTGAGACAGTGCTATGTGCCGGAGCCACCTGTATAACTAACTAACTCAAACCTCAGCAATTTATATTTAAGTTTAAACACGTGATACTTTTGATTACGTGTTAATTCAGTTTCACTTAATAATGAAAATAATTAATTGAATCTTTCGAATAAAACGCAACTTGATGAAACTATGTTAAGTGGAGTGGATAGTGTCCCTAATTCTGTTTCCTTAATTTCCTTATGGCGACGCGATCTAATGACTATCTATGCATACTTCTGTATGAAGCAATAATGACCAGTAGTATTTCATAGAAGATGCCTCATCTGGCTGGTTATGAAACCTTGGGACTGAAGTTTGCATGCACATAAAAAATAGTGCACGATTCTTGACAAAAAAGGGGAGAAAATGGCCTAATTTGAAGTATGGTGGAGGACCGATTCATCAATCCAACGCTGCTTATTGCGCACCATCGTCCTACAATTAGAAATTAAATTGTACTGTAATGCTGACAAAACGAACGGTCGCCAAAATAAAACATGGTGCGTGATTACACACATTGCAAAACAGCGTTTATCTGAAAAACGTACACATGAATTTTTAGGCTACTGAGCCGTCGTATAAGCAATGCGATGAAAACTACTTGAGTTGAGTAAACAATTGTCCACCTGTGTTTTGGTCACAATTAGATTTAAAGTTTGAAATTGTTTAAAAAAGCGTTGTTAGAAGTCGCCGACGCCAAGCTGTCTGGCTCGTCAACCTTTGTCACACACATAATTTGGTTTTAAACTCACTAATAAATTATCCCTGCACAAAAGCGTACGCAGGTATTAAAAGGATTAAATATGCGTTGTAGAACCGAATCCCATGCACATCCATGTTCTCACTCAAATTTGTACTAGTAACATAAAAAAGACCCTGGTTCAAAGTTATGGATATGAAAAAATGATTTATTTCTTTGAGTGGATGAAATTCCCGTCACTTTTTGGGACCTTTGCTGGACAGCTTAAAATCACTCTCCATTTGATGTGGCAAAGGTTTGCTTGCTGCACACAAAAAGTTTGATTTGTTGAGATCCAGAACAAAGAGACACCTGAGAGTCTCGAATTATGTGTACAACACAAAGCTACATATACATATCCAAGCAGCCAGAATATTTATGTAGAAGGTTTATTACCATTTCCCTGCAAAACAAAAACCCATTATTTCAGTTCAGGCTCTTTCATTGGTCTTTGTTTGGGTCACTCGAATATTATTGGATTTTTCTTTAGTTTTCCATGTTACTATTTATCATCGGACAGATTCCCCTCCCATGATCCACACCTCCTCAGTATAAGCAGCAGCACTGTTTTATTATGCACCCGTTTTTTTAGGTTTTGTAGTTTTATGTCAATGATACAAAGTTGGCAATAATAGTGATTGTAATAACATGAGGGTAAAGAATCCTCAGGAATGTTGACTTTGACTTTGACTATACATACATGCACATATATTTACTTATTTCCATGCGTAGTATCTCATCTCGTTTTAAGAAAACTTCATTCATTCTCACAGTAACAACATATTTAGCAGATGTAGATAGACGAATCTGGTTGATTTGTAAAGTTCTTTGTTTTGGCACTTGATAATTAATTCCAGAACGCAGTTGGCAGAGGGAAGTATTAATATGCAGCAAATGGTCTGTCAGTGGTAGGGAGAGCGAGCATGAAAAAGTAAGTATGCCAGTCGCATAAGTAGTCAATCATTCGTAAATTCTTCTTGAAGTTGACAATACAATTGCTGCAGCAGCCTCAGGAACATATCAGTCAACTCCTCGTCGGAAGGTCGTTTGGCCGTGATCTTGAAAATCAAGGTATGTAAGCAGTTGAGCCAAGCAGGACTGGCTGGACAATGGGAAGGACGCGATGGAACCTTAATTATAATAACAATGATGATTTCTTACTGGACACACATCACACAAACGGTGTAACTGACCGAAAGAAATCAGTGCGTCCAAACTGGCTTAGCCACTATTATTAATGCTGCTTAGGTCTAATCTACGCTCTGTGGTCCAGAAATTTGCATATTAAGATATTTTCTTGTCGAATCTATTTGTTTGTTGGTGGTGGGGCAAGTGTAAATAGTAGGTAGACTGGTAAATCATTAATTGCTGTTGTGCGTTGGATTCTTTGGTAAGTAATTGATATGCAGCGAATGTACTTGTGCTCGTAATTTGAATGGGGTGTATTAAATGAAAAAAAAATCTTAAATTTAATGGGATCTTAAATCAGACGCTGCAAGCTTACATTTAATCTCGTTGAATTGTATTGCACACAAGACAAACAAGTTGCCAACCTTGGCTCGGATTACGGAGAGTATAAATGTACAATTATATATGTACAGACTGGACGTCAAAGGAATTTTGTCCGGTAACGCCACTGGACGGGACACTAATTTTATAACGGCCAATATGAAAACACGATATTTTGAATAACTTTCCTGAGCTAAGCATGTTATTTTCAAAACATGCATTCACAATTCACATAAACAATTATTTTTAGACAATTTTTAAACAATTATTTCATGTATGCATAATGTACGCCTCTACGCACCATCATACTCATCCAATGGTATCCATAAAATGACCTGGACTTTTAGTGTCATCAAATTGTGCAGGTATTTTAGCAGAGATGAGTGAGAGTTCTCTTGCTCTGGTGACCGATTACACAAAAATGACACATGACACATGATCCACTCAAGTGGGATACATTGATATTATGTACACATCACCGATTACGACAGAAGAAGAACGGAATTGCTCACAAAAAAACAACCCTTCCTCAATCTCTAAGGCTTAACGATGATTGTTGGTTTTAAAAGTTTAAGAATCTCAAAATTTCCACTCGGGCCTATTTTTCCTCATTGGCATTAATTCCATAATATTCTCTTAATACCTGCTGCGTGTGTTACGACTACGAGGAAGAGGTTGAACTGGTACATCACTATGTCGACTTGGCTGGTAAAGTAGCCAGCTAGAGGAAGAAAATATCTAGTAGGCTATTACCTAACGATGAGTTGTTGCTTGGACGGAGAGTCTATATTTGTGTTGTGAAATCTTGGACGACGGCAGTTTGGTGTTGAAACGCAGGATTATTTCTTCAAGATTTCAAATGAGAAGACAACTCACTCTTCTGAATCCGAATCGTCTGACAACTTTGAGCCCCTCTTCAGCTCAACAATTATCTCATTCTCGACTAAAAACAGATTTTTAAAGCATCAAAAGCATCATGATCGGGTCGGGAGAAGCTCAGTGTAAAAAATGAAACCTCTTTTGCTTCTTTTTCTCATCCCCTCGTGTAGTTTTACGTGTATGCTTGAATAACCGTCGTATCTAATCAACTTTTGGAATAATAAACCTGTAAAGAAAAAAAATTCTCATCCATCCTGAAACCCGTCAACCATTGTAATGTAAATTAAGAAAAAGGTCTTCTTCTCTAATGCCACGAGTGGAAGAAGAGTTCGAAGAAGAGTATTTTTAAAGAAATATGTCTCTTACAAAGTGCATTTTCCATCCACGACTGAAAATATAGAATTCGGAGAAGGTAATGGAACATCATTTGCCACTTCGCATTTATTGGTCAAGTCCCAAGAAAAGTGAAATAAATTCCGATTCAAAAATCTGTCGTCAATGATTTGAACCCTTCTTTGTCTAAATCACTCGCTGGTCTTAACTAACGAAGAATAACATCACTCAACCTGTCCAATAAAATGGAACACCTCCTCGGACGGTAGATGCTGTACATGCGTAAGCATATGTACGCACGTATCTCTGCCTTCCTTCCTATGACCACTCGACCAAAAACACCATGCGCTGACTGACTGACTGACCCAGAAATACATTACGTATATCGGACAGAAATTGCTTTCCTCCAAAAAAGTCAAATTAGGAGGATAAATTCTCCTGGCTCTCATCTATCTAATCACGTAATGCAATGCGGGATTGTGGAAAAAGTCCTTGCCCTTTGTTGACTACACTTTTCTAACCTTGCGTCCCACAGTCCACTTCTTGTAGAACAGCGTCGTTGTCGAAATGATTTGGGAAGAGGAACACTTTACTTCCTATAATACTTTCTACGCTGCCTAGGAAGGGTTATACACAGTCAACCAGTATCTGACAAGAGTCGTGTCCCCCCATCATGCAATCCATGCCGGTTGATTTTTTTTCAAACTTGTATAACTAAAGTGTAATTAGAATTAGAATGGGCCCGAACGCATGGTGAGTTGGCCACTATAAGCAGCATAATATTATCCGACTGCTTTTTTATCCAAGCTAAAAGGTGCTGTTGCAGTCCATGTCAGGTGTGGTTTCCTATAAAGTAGGCACTTAAACTCGGCTTAACTCACGGGATAGTCGACAGATTGTTTTGTTCGCTTTTTTTACCAAAAACCGTGTTGAGGAGCATTCACAACACAATGTTGAATGTGATGCTGTCTCAAATTAATGAGGGAGGTGTGGGAATGACTAAGTTTTGCAACTACTTGAAAAACTTTAGTGCTGGACGGTGTCCCAAGATGAATGGTCAACACTAATTTTGAGATCCAGAACTAAGCCAGTAATTCAACGTGTTTGGTCCGAAGAGATACAATCCAAGATACGATAATAATAATGGTAATACAATGCACATGTAGCCCTCCATTAACGCAACAACACATAATGCAACATCATTCCAGACAGTCATTCATGTCCCAGGAAAACCCAGAAATGCGTTTGAATTTATTGACTGAACAGTAAACCTTTTCATTTTGTTGTAAATGCATTTTCTGTTTGGATAGAAAAAGTTTGAGGCGAACTTGTGGGTACCTGCGTGTCCCTACCCACACGGGAGTTTGAGATACATCTCCACTGCTGCTGGCCAAATAGTCCCTCAAATTCAAGTTCAAGTCCACCAACACGTCATAATTTATCAACAATGCATCAAACAACTTCCACATGCATAAGGTAGAAGAAGCCGTAGTGGGATCTGTGGTTGTGGAAATCTTAATTTACTGGATTCCCCTCAAGGTGTGTAGAAAATAGATGCGCTTCTTTTTTGGTGCAGGAACCATTAGGAGAAAGACCACGAACGGAGTGAGAAGTAAAAATGAATCATTAGTCGACGAATGTACTTATTTAAAGGCGAGAGAAAAAGAGACCGACTTTTGTTTCGTGTGTTTCTTACACAACAGAATCATCATCAAGATATCATTTGCTGTATGAAATGAGAGCTCACGATATTAAACACGTCCTCTTTCCAGAGAAATATAATACATAATGGGAGGAGGAGGAGGACGTGGTGGTGGTGGAAGATGAGACTGAATCATCATCTCACTACTCATTTGATCTCAATTTGATGACTAAGAAGAAGAAGTCCACTCATGCACGCAACAAATATGTGTGTAGAACAAGTCCACTAAATAAACTGTATCCCCTCGTCTTATGATTGAGCTGATCTTATCTTTGTAAAAGCACTAAAACTAAAACCCATGTTTGGAGCAAAGCATGCGATGGTGGGCACCGAAAACTTAAACGAAGCAATGGAATCCTCTACCTCGGAATTTGAATGAAATGGATGATTTAATCTGTCAAAATTCCAGCATCCAGAAGAAATAGGAATTTGATACTGGGAGGAGGAGGAGGAAGTTCAATCATGCGGATAACTCACTGATCGGCCAGAATTTACCACAACTTTCCCAATAAAGTTCATCCAAAGTGAAGCAAGTAAAACTCGTAGGATTATTATTACCAGAACCCAAAGTTAAGGTTTAAACCATCCAACCAACCAACCAACCTTACCTAATTATCGAGCTAGCAGCAGCGTGGCCGTGCTGGTGAGCAACTTGGTTAGTGTTCCTCTATCTATCAAGCTATGTGATCACGTTGGGTTACCTCCTCATTGTGAGTCTCAGCGTGAATGGTATTTTTGGTTTCACTTACAGGGAGAGGAGAATTGCTGAGCCAGCATCGTCAGTCAGTCCATTGTTGCCCAACGCAGAGCACACCGGCGAGACCTTTAGCACTGCTTCTTTACAACGCGTTTCAGCAGTCGTAGCAGATAAAACAACATTCTCTTCTGAGAACTGGACAGCATAAATATCCTCCAATAAAAGTCTCTCTCTGATTCCCATTCACTCGATATTTGCATCCGCAATTTCACAACCACCGGACGAAGTGCGACTCGTCGAGTACTTTTGATTACTCTGTAACCAACCATTCTGAGCAGTGAATTGTGTATAAAATAATCCACCCATGCTATCCACTCTGAAACCCATCCAAGCACTTTGGTATTAAACTTGAGACATTTTCATTGGTGAACATTAGGTCAAATATCCGACCATAAAACGAGCACTAAGCAAAACAAAATTATTCGCAAATTCCAGCAAGTGAGCAAAACCCGTCTTTTACCATAACCTGCGTTACTGCCAAATAAAACCAGTACTGGTGCTTCATGTGTGCAGAGTATCATCCTCCTCATCAAATTCCATGCAGTCGTTGTGCGAACAAGTTTTTATCTCGGTCTGCCCACTTATTAGTTTCTAATAAGCTCCCTTTTGCCTTCTCGCTCAAACTCTGATTTTGGACAACCAATTTTTGCTACTACTGCGACTGACGGCCCGCAGCGTGCGCTAATTTTAACGCCCATCATCATCTCTAAACAGGACTTGGATGCAAAGACACATTTCTACATAGCTACGCAAACTGCTACGTCTCAAGCCCCACGTTTCATGAATTTTTTGCTGCATTCCACATTTAATCAAGAGTTGGACAACAATCAGCCAGAACTATAACTAACCAGAGTTGAATTAGCGTGGGCTAGGTTAGCTACTTGTGCGTAATTCTACTTCTTACATCCCATTAATATTGTTGGCTGGCAGATTACGAACTTGTCCACCAACTTACATCTTATTTATTTATGACGGATCGCGTAATATATGTAACGAGCAAAAAAGTAATATCTGTCGAGAGTGGCGAATTTGTTCCAAATCATGGCCAAAACAATGCCATAGTTGCTGCCACTTAGTTAGCTGGTTTTACCTTCATACACGTGCGTGGCTTCGTGGCTGAATCAATTGGCTGACATTGTTTTCGATTGGGAACGATTTTCAATCCTTTGATTGTTTTGTTTTGTGAATTGTGGTGACAGTCTCTCGTACCTTGCGACGACGGCCATACGACGACGCCATAGAGAAGAGCGACTTCTTACTTGGTGAGCACCACTTGTTCTTAAAGCGTCTCGCTGAAATTATAAACGCTTTGATTTGGGTTGTGTCGTGACTTATGTGTTTGCTCCGCCATTAATTTGTTGACTTTGTCACACGGAGGAGGTAATTAGCAAAACCCTCGACGCGATTGACTGATTGTAGAGATAAGTCAGGAGATATTAACACTCCTCAAACATTCCTGTCCGCCTGATTACTTGAGAAAAAATGTTTAATTAGCTAAGTGCTGCACCATCGTTGCATCATTGGATCAGTTTCTCTTTTCGTCGCTGGATTGAGATTGGGGAAGGTGAGATTCCATTTTATTCAGCAGGGTCTAATGGCATGAATATTATTCCTTGAACCGGACAGACCACGTACATACATAGTTGAAAATATCCATTTTCAAACTATGTAAATACACAACCCAGATGCATTTAAAGTATACACATGAAATATTTACACAGCGTCGGCACTATCAGCAGCATAAATACATACTTAGAATTTCAATTCATACACACAGTGTCGACTATATTCTAAGATTAGCCATAATAGTAAAAATGCCCATGACCTGGCATGAGACGCAAGATTAATGCACAGACTATTACGCATGCCAATTTTTTGGCACAAACTTTGCATGCATGAAATTATAATTTGACCAATTGGACGACCACTCGCCTGTCCATCTTCTCAAGTCTCAGAAAATCAGGCAGGCTAGGCTGTGTAGTGACGTCTTGTTCGTGTAACCAGATCTCAGCAGCGGCGTTCAGTCCATGGATAGAGTTTCATTTGAGCTGCATTTTATTATTATGGCGATGGTAGTTTTCTTCAGAACAGGATAAATTTCTCAGCATAAAAGTTGAATCATGAGAATCGCACAAATTCAAGAGGTCTTCCAACTGACGGATAATGATTTCCTTTTTTGAATGAGTTCAATGAAAATGAATTAAATTGCTGAAGAAGACGTCTTCTTGCCAAAGCACCTCTGGAAAGGGAGATTTCGGCTGTTCATATATGATACAACAGTCGTTTGGAGTCTTAGGGTTGTAGCTACTTAAACATTGCTAAATATTAATTTCATATGTATATTTGCATAATGAATGATTCACCAAGCTAATCACTTTGGCATTGAAGCTTTATAAAATATTTCTAACAAATCTTCCTGCTTGGTGGGAAAATATGAGTTTATAAATACATCCGTACATGCATATCCCGGCTGGAGTACGATTGGATGCTGGGTTGTTGCAAGCATGATAAGTTAGACAGGCAAACCAATCTTCAGGTTGATCAAATTTGATGGTGCATTTATATTTATCCATTTATTTAATCTTCCTTTGTGCAGCAGTATTCAGCAGATTTCCGGCCGTAGCTCCATAAACCTATTGACATCCATTTTGCGTGACAAATCTTTTATTTGTATTGTCATGTTCTGCCTAAATTTGTATGTAGCATAAAAATGTACTGATATCCGTCTTTCCGCCATTTTTCAGATTCGTGTCATTTTAAAAATATAACCAGGAAGTTATTTCCTTCCTTAAAATATAAACACCACGCATAACAACTTGTACTGGTATTAAGTGTGCTGGCATTATTTGGTTGATGGCCGAAATACTTGTAGCGTGCCTCCATTGTTGCTACATATGTATTTTTCATTGTTGTATTTTATGGGCCACTGTCAAGCACATGCAATGCTCGGAGGTTGGCTGATGATTGGACACTTTATTCAAGTTGAAATGTGGGGTTAAAAATCAGCAAAACGATGTGGGAGTTGCAGGAGGGGCCATGCGGTGAGCCGTGATGAGTGGCAGAAATTGTTTTGGACGAGCCAGCAGTGGCTGACAGATAATGAATGAGACAAAAGGATAAATTTGAATGATTCCAACTGCAGCCTTTCAAAGGACATCCGGGAAATTGTGACATGGTCCACGGCACACACTAGTTGAAGCCAGACTTGCAAACTCTCAATAATTTCTGGATGGATGGATAGCATGAAAGTCCGCCGTTTGTTTGTGCACTCGTTGACATTAATTCCAAAAATGCAAAATAATAATAATATGTGAAGGTAGGCGTATTCTGTTTGACTGGATTTTCCATCAACGCAAATATCCTCTCCTCTCGCAGAAACTCATCTACGACGGACCAATGAATAACTGGTCGTTTCTAGACTCAGAACGTCATGCATACGGAATATGTAAATTAGTCTCAAATGGTCAGCAATTCATCCATCCAATTCGGCATGTATTGGCAGCCAGTGTCACAGACTTGGACAGTCTGTGAGAAATGTGAGAAATATTTGAAATGCCTTTGACAAGACTCGTGTGAGCCGAAATGAATGAAGAGTGATAAATGACTCCTCCTACGTGCGAAATCTATAAAATATCAAAGAAATGATTTATGAAAGACCATGTTTAGAATTGGCCACAGGTCGCCACACATATTTTTGGCATGGGGGTCCCGTTGAGTTCAAATATTGACCAAACTGTTGAATTATTGTTGACAATTATTTGTAGCCACACTCACTCCGGCATCCATCCATCCATAGGGCACAAGTACAGTGATATGTTATTCTCGATTGTAATATTTGTAATGACACTTGGCAGAGGCGAGTGAGTAATTACATAACAGTGAAATAGGTGAAGAATGATAAAACTATTGGTATTATTGTGTAGGCGGTTGACATTTGACTCCTGGATGAGTTCAGCCGGTTCATTCAGCCGTTAAATTATGATGAGGTTAATGAGCCTGATAATTAAATAAGTCTTGCGGTGTATCCCGTTGGGCACACAATTTGATAAGAAACAACGTTCTCGTTTATTTTGGCTGGCTATTTGCTCTGTCTGTCTGGTTATTTACCAGGTAAATGGACTATCTAGGAAATGGCGTAATGGATTCCTTGCGTGTCCGAAATACTCTGAATAATATCCAGATTCTCAGCATGACCTCGGCAGCATTCTCGGCATAAAGCAAGCGGTGAGAAAAAAAAAACGGGACAAAACCATGACCATTTTCTACACAAAAATCTTGACTCGTCGCATAATCCATTGTTTCACAGATAAAACTTGACGCATTCCTTTAAAAATACTTGTGAAGAAAAAAAACAAGTTTAATTTGATTTACTATACATATTATTTATTTTTGCCATCCTCGCTTTATAAGGACTTATTTAGGTTCTCTGTAAACGGTGGTAATAAAAAACACCGGCGACGAAAGAAAATATGCTGAAGATCTATGTATTGAGCAACCACAAGAGCAATGATTTTGAAGCACAAGATGAAGATGGTCAATAAGTTTGTTGCAAAACTTTTTTCCAAATTCTAAATAAGTATTAATGCAATTGACAATAATTCTGGTATTTTTGAAGTTTAAAAAGAGCATTATTCAAATTATTTCGACATAACGCCACATACCACTTGATGGCTGAGTTGAATAGCATAAAACTAGGCGAAGATAGCACAGAGGACTTTTAATAGTTTTAATCTGTGCAATCTTTCACTTTTCCTCTATTCTCTGCCTGTTGTGTGGGGATGTATGCATCTGGCGTGGTTTGCGGTTTTCGAGTGTGGATAAAACATTTAGCAATGTACACACAAAGTGAAGATTTATAGCCTGCAAAAGATGTCTCACAGCACAACCATGGTCAACAATCAAAAGTGTTACCAACTTAAAAATATTGCGTTCATTTGTGAAATTTCATGAGCTTCTTCACTTGCATGAAAAAATACCTCTTTTGTATTTACCATCATCTACACTAATAAGAGATTCATTGGTTCGAATCTACATTGCCACTCGTAAAATGAAGGAATAACATTCAATAAAGATTTGAGATTTACAATCGTTAAACACAATCGCAACTTGTTATAAGTGCACATATCATTGCACATAAAGTGAAACTGAGCAAATTGGAAATGTATCAAGAACAAGTGTTATTCATTGTGGTGAGAGAAAAACGAGGTTTATTTGATTGAAATTTAAAATTAAAACCGCATCATTTATTCTACAAAAAGCTTACCAAAAAGCTCACCAAAAGGTGTAAACGGACAGAAGAAAAGTCGTATACGAGATAAGTGAACAAAAGTGAACAAAGATGGGTTTTTTTAGTATTGGTTCGTTCGAGTTGTTGGACAGCGGCCCAATCAAAATCTCTAATTCGAGGTTATCTTGGTGTGTATCAGTTGAAACTGAAAGCTGAGCAGTAAAAAACAAGGGCTCCGTTAAATGTAGCATTAACCCATTTTTCTGGGCTAATTAATTGTTCATCCACTCTTTCAATACAGGCTTTTCAGTGGAATCCTTAGTATCCATTTGTTTTAGGAGAGTATGTTGTACAAGCAGTGGCCGTGTTATCTTGTCATCTCTGCTTCTGGCAGCAGCCCCTCCGCTACTCAATCAAATCAACGCGACTCAAGTTCACTTTTACTTCTTTATTTGATTCTCATCTCAATCGCTTGAATTGATACCCATGAATTGATACTCTCTGCAGAACAGCACACACGCACATAGTTAGCACCAGTCGTGGATAGGAGCAATTTAGATGGACAAACAAAACGAATGAAAATGAAACTGATTGGCACAAACGAAATTAAATTAGTGCAAGGATACAACAGATTGTTGAAACGGTTTGAGAGAGGCGGATGGATACTATGTAAAACAATCAAGAAGAAGAAATGAATCTCCTGCAGCTATTCAAATTCTCGAATGCTTTTATGCATGATATTTTGGTCTTGATTAAAATTTGAAATTGAATCAACTCAAATAGAAACCCCACGAGCTAAATTGTGATATTATGGTTATTATAATAAGCATACTTACATATGTCCACATAAGATCGTATATACATGCATACGTAGTATGAGCCTATGTATGAAATCAATGCTACCTGATGGACAGGCTCTCTCGGCTAATTTTTTTTTGTGTAAACCGACCGATCCTGCCCTCGTCCCAACAACAAGAGATTTTAAATATGAATTAGTCACGGTCTGGATCTTCGGACAACAGAGCACACACAACAATATTAATCTTTCTAGTCCTGAAATATTCCTCGTCAGTCTCATTTATGCACTTTGTAGGAAAAATCCTAATTTACTCGACTTGTTGAATCATTAGAATTTTACTACAATCCAACTGCTACACAATAATTCCCCCTTTTAATACTACAACTGATACAATGCGTTGAAAAACTCATTCATTTAAACTCTCTGTAATAATGTGTAGCATTGAAGCACCTGCAGTCGGAGTAATAATGCACTTTTTATGAAAGAATTGTAGGTCTGAAGAGTGGAAAAATGAGAAAATGGATGGTTGCTTGATACATATTAGGAAAAAAGACGTTCCTCGCCTTGCACTTGGTTTATTTGCAAACTGGGTCAGTATTTGCCGTACATTATTATTATCCCGTACATTTTTCGACATTTAATGAGCAAAGTGAACTTTAATTTTTCACAAATGCACAAATTTGGGTGGTGGTGTTGACTCGTGTGGAAAATTGTTAAATTCCGCACATGTTCACGAGCAACAAATTAGCTTCACTTGCACTGCCATTGTCTTACTGCTACTTACTTATTCTTCCTTTGGGAGAAACCGAATCACAAAATCAATTACCTTTTTTCTCCACTACCTACTCACTCACTAAACCTATATCGAAGTGAAGTTCGTCCACATTTTAATACCTAAACGTACTTAAATATCTCGTCGCAATTCCTCACATGCAATCAAAATTTTATAAACAATGACGGGACAATTAGCAATTATGAATTCCATCTCGTCCTTTTTCTCATGCGAGAGGAAGAAGATATTGAAGGACAAAATGTTTGTGTGCGGTAGTTCCGTGCGTAAAAGACGAGAATCCCCAGGACTTTAATATATTTAATTGTGTTTCTGCTAAATCGTAAAAATTACTGGACATGATCGTGTCCAGTGATTTTGAGCTGTGTCACACAGCTCCACTAAATAAGTATCTGCATGTTCAAAGTTGACAAGCTTTTATTTTTTGTGAAAAATGATGTTGTGGTGTTGAAACCGTGCCACAGCCGACCATAGATAACAATTTTTGCTGAGAGAGAGAGAGAGAGAGGGGAAAATAGTGCGACACAGGTCACGAGATTCATTTTTAATTCTCTTATTATTGGTCACAAACAATGGCAAGTGACATTCGAGGTTTGCTTGCGTAGGACAGATTACATATGACACAGTCTCAGAGAGTCGTCTGCAGAGACAAAGCACAAGTGTGTCCACCCATTATCCCTGAGCAGTCGCCGTGACCATCTTGTCACTTGATCATTTAATTTTTAATCTCACCTAAATCACCCACAAGCAGGAGACCATGAAACATTTTTGTACACACTTTGAATTTCTGAATTGTTTTCTTCTTCAAAATTTTGCTCATTTTACAAGATTAGAAAGCATGTTAGGTTTCTGTTGTCCGGCCGGCTTGTAAAGTTTTTGAGATTTTGTAGTGAAATTTTAAAATTACAGTTCAAACCGAATAAACTGAATACTAATATTAATAACAATAATAATAATGGTAATAATAAGTGAAGTGGATTAGCTACGTAATTGATCATCATCATTTTACGTGGGCTTCACCATGAGAAGAGGCAAATCCTTTAATTATAATTATAGATTGCTATTTGCAGCGTATGAAATGCAGACGGAACTTAATCCAAGCCAAGCGAGGAGGCGAGGAGGAATGCACACGAATTAGCAGCCAAACTTTCACGAGACACGACACAACATCCGACATGACAATGATGACAATTGGGGAGAGACTTTCGAATCTTCTTAATCCCGACCGACTCGAGAATATAATTGTTTTGAGGAGTTGTGGACAATGGATTATGAATTATGATCATCCTCTCACCCTCCTTCCCTCTCATCCTAATATTGGCTAGATTGGACCATCTACATAGGATTAGCCGCATGGCCGTGTGCTGTGGTTGGGCTGCACAAATAACTTGGCAAATGATTATTCAGCTCGGTTATTGAATCGTGATTCGAATGGATTGTCAGCCGGTGGAGGATGTCAATTGTTTGTTATTAGTGGTTGGGATGGACGAATGCAAGTAATTGCTTAAAATGTCCTTTTGTTTGCTTGATCATCTTGTGATTGGTGACAACTTTGGGACATAATAATGATGATCTTACTACCACGCCACGCCACGCATGTTAATGCTGTCATGTTCTTCTTCCTCCTCATTGTTGTGCACTATTGTTTTAATCCAATAAACAAATGTCACCAAATTAATTGCGATGTCGTCATAATTTTGCTCCAAAATGATATGCATAGGTATCTATTAATAGCAATGTAATGCTATATTTTTTATGCACATTTGGTCGATAAGCTAATATTTAACAACTTGAAAAGTACTGAGAGAGAAATGAGAGCTTGCAAAAGCTCATGCACCAGGTCAGGTCACACACTCGAAATAATTTATACAAACGCCACACAATATAATGTCATTTGCATGATTCTCTTATTTTGTTCATGTTTAAATTATGTGTAAAATCAAAATATTAAAATTTGGTTCATAACGAAGGATTAAACTTAATTGCAGGTATCAAAGTCATATCAACATCATACTCACCAAACCTTACGAAAAGTCAGAGCGTTATTCATGCGAGGAGGAGCAGGAGGCGTAGGACGAGGAGGAGGATAACCTGCCTGCACGACAGATCAATGTCACATGGAATGGGATGGGTCGAGGTCGAATTCGTCGTGGTTATTCACTTGAAGTAATTTTCGAAGAAGATTCTGACTTTTGCTCCCATTTGGTAAGCAACAATTATTATTCAAGGCAATTTATTTACGAGAAATGAATGACAACGACCCACTTTTCTGAACACCTTCTCTCAACGAGACTAAAAGACAAGAGGTTGTAATAGTACATAATTTTTCCATTTTAACAAATTAGCCACACTTATGTATAGTACCGCTCTAGCCTCAAAAGACACGCTGTATAATAATTACATATAATGATTTTTGATTTTCGCAAAAGCTAGCTATACAAATTTTGCTAACCAATTGTGCCATGCTCAAGCAATTACAACAGTAGTTTATTTTGTTATTGGTGCAGTCAAAGTATTGACCCCTTTGAGTAAAGTGGTCAGTTACGAACTAACGGTTTTTTAAGACTCGCCTTATCTTTGACTTCTTTACACAAGGACTCGTTGGACTCTGTGGCCATTCGTTTCGGAGTTAAAGAGACTGACGATACCATCAGCGTGGACAGTTTGGTGGAAGAATACAGAATCCGATTTCAAGGGACGGCTGACAAAGAACACGTTTTCCGTAGTTTGGACGGAATTTGGGACGTTAGGTTGGACAATAGGCTGACTTTTGCCACTCTTCTTTCACTCTGCTTTCACTCAAACCGTTGAGAACTGTGTCAAAATCGTAATCTTTCTTTTCCAGGGAAATGATGGATACATGTTTCGTTGAGTGGGACGAGTTTTCAGATTCAGGATCCATTGGTAAAATGGCACCCGGTGGGTCCTCAAAGTGTGAGTTTGATCCTAACAAAGCTCCCCAGTTGGAAGGGAATGCGGAAATGTAAGTGCTGATTTTTAGTTCCAAATGTAGCATGGCTTATGTAATCATAAAAGTATGGACGATAGACCTCCAAGTGGACGACGAAGCCGGGTTAGCAGAAGACAAATAGTTGAAGCTAGCTGGGTGTTCGACAGTGACGACAATGACAGCAGTAATAACGACAATGACAACACTACGGAAGCAATAGACAATTTAGAATCCAAATCGGCTATTGTTCTGGAACCAGAGATTAAGCCAGTTTTGGTCACAGAAAATATTCAGCCTCACCCACAAGCATACCAAAACCATCATGTTTTACCAATTGATATAAGGCTTGGACGTGAGTCTAAGTCATCGAGGGACGGTGATTGTGGTGGTTCTCCAGCCGTTCACCCACTTGGGCCATCTCCAGCATTGTTCGGAAATGTCAACAATTTTTGTCACATTGCTGACAGTTCTGAGAAGGACACACTCGATTCGTACATGTCGACAAGGACGGATGACACCGAAACGAACGCATACACATTTGCTGACTCGGACCATTTCGACTCTTCTTCTGTCGCTTCGACTGCGTATGACTCAAGGTTATCAATGCCTCATTACATATGTATCGTAGACGTCTTAACACAAACTTGCGTATTTGGCATGTCTTTTTTCATACAGTTAAAATCTATGTATGTAATCTTGACTATAACTTTGATCGATTTTTGTAGCGCAAGTTCTTCATCCTCAACTGGAAGCGTTTGCACCGTTAATGGACGGAGTAACAGCTCTCCGAAAATAATTCCAACCAGAGTGACCAACAAGAAGGCTTTGCACAATGAGCTAGAATTAAAATTCAAAGCAGATTTGAATAATTCTCGCTTCACTTGTGACGACAAGTCTCTGGCCGAGTCGTCCCCCATCATTAGCACAAACGGTCTCTCTGAGCTGGGGACAACGGATGTGAAGAAGGTTCGAGCCCTGTTTGAAACTTCCTCCTCCAGAAAGTCCAGTGTGGGAGAGGACTCCAACTCGTCCACAACAAGTAGCTCGGGAGGGTCCAGTAGTCAGCGGATATATTCCAAAAATCCAGCCTCACCCACCAATTCCAACTCCAACACCAGCATTGTGGGAGGAGTTCACAAAAAGCTGAAGCAGTTGGTCAACAATAACAACAACGGTCACCATCAAACGGTGGGAAAAGTTCTTCGGTCAGCCTACAGTCAGTTCAACCTGTCCACATCTGGAGGAGGAGGTGGTGGCCGTGGAGTCGACTTTGCAGAACTATTAGTCAACGATCGTGTCGTTATCGAAGACTCCCCCGACTTGTTTCAAACGTTAAGGAGGAGCAGGTACACAGTTCATTTTATAAATAGATTCATCAGATCAGATTGATATTCTTCCTGCCACTCATCCCCATTGTTCAATGGTACTACTGCCAATTGTCATATAATAATGATCAGATCGGAGATTTTTTACTACTACCAACTATTTGCTATAACCAATAGTTCTAATCTAACTACCAATGAGAAGTTTGGTTTTGACATTGCTGGCTTTCAGTTAAATAATTCGCCACTGTTTAGCCATCATTTATTATAGTTGGCAACATGGATTATAAAGTTGTGATCTACGTATGTAGTTATGTAGTACATGGTGCAAAACTGCAGTGAGACCACTTCCTCTGATAACTGAACTACTAACACGGTGACACAAACTCATTATCTAGATTATAGCATTCATATGTAGCCAGCAGTGGTTGTTTTTTTACTCTCAAAATACTTGGCATCTATAATTACTGCATCTATTGCCCGTTTCGTCACAACATACAAGTATAAAAACATACACAGGCTAAAGTAAAAATGTGAGAGAATCATGTCATGCGATTACAGGAGAATTAAGCATTATTTTCATGCAAGATGGTGGAATTAGAAGCACAAGTAGACTATCAAGAAGACTCATCCGAGTCTAGCGTTACATGGTACGTTTACTTTAAATAAAAGTCGTCGCAATTTACTTGCTCTTGATACAACAAAAATAACAATAACACTGATGATCTCATACAGACCTATTAAAATGTTAATAATTTTTTTGTGCACCAAATATTCGACTATGGTTAAGATTAAGAAGCAGTATTTAGTGCAGCCAAGAATGTTTAAACAATCAGCAAAAGACCAGGGTCACGACCAGAGCTGGGATAATCCTGATTAAGGATTATGGATTTTAATCCCGGATTATGGATTATTAATCCATAATCCCTAATCCGACAATGAGAGTTTTTTGTAGATTAATCCCAATCCATAATCCAGATTTTTCTGGAATTTGAATTAATCCGGGAATAATCCCATTAGATGTCATTAATCCGTAATCGTGATTACGGATTACTAATCCTGATTAATCCCAATCATGACTACTAATCATGATTATTAATCCCGATTAATCCCAATCATGATTACTAATCATGATTAGGTATTCATGATTAATTCTCAATCTGGATTACTCAGTTCAATTCCCGTAGTTCTATTTCATCCCACTGTGTAGCTTGAAGTCTCAAGTTCTCACAACTTTGTCCTGTCGGCTACCATTTGAAGAGTTAACATGTTTTTGCTGCCTTGTGCTACATATATCAATTGAAACTGGCGTTTTAAATATTTTATGTGAAACCACATAGTTTAAATTTTTTGGGCTAGATATATCTGTAGGTAGTGTAAAAATCATTAATCACCAAAATAATCCGGATTATTAATCCATAATCCATAATCCTGAAATTTCCAGAATTCATGGATTAATCCGGATTAATCCTGACATGAATTAATCTGACGAAAATAATTTAATCACAATCCACATTATTTTGTGGTTAATCCATAATCCTTAATCCACCCTCAAAAACGAATAATCACCCAGCTCAGGTCACGACTAATCTGTCGATGAGTCTTGATTTAGCAATGCATGTGTTATTCATCTGCTGTAGATTTATAATTTCATATCAACGTAGTCTACATGTCTGCCCTCCTGGGTTGCTATCCTCCGGCAACTCCAAACTAGAGTCTGGCCATTAGATTAATTATTAGATAAGCATGACGAGGAGTAATTATAATTACCGCAATACACACCTCACAAATATGTAAATTAGCTCAATATATATTTAACTGATCAGGGTGTGTGTTTAACCAAACTTTGCACCACAGGCGCAAAGAAAATGGACATCGAGATTCCGGATTTTCAACCCTTCGTCGTTCAAGGAGCATGGGGACAGGTCTCGCCGCGATTGAAGCGTCACTTTCTCCATGCGACAAACTTAACGGACTAAAAAATTCCAAGAATAACATTTTGGCAGAAGAAATGCCTGCTCCCGACACAGGTTTTTATTACAATATGCTCATTAAAAATATGGACATGCCAAAATCAGTTACTAAACATGTAAAAAATGTTACAGTTAAAAACGTCCGAACCGTTTTCGAGCAAATCCTGAAGTCCAGAAACTCCAACGATACCACAACAAACCAAACGAACGCGACGAGTGCAAACAATAGTGGCAGCTGCAGTTTCAACATTGTAAACGTAACAAAGAAATCTTTGAGCTCAGTCAAGTCAAACCCGTCCTCCAAGATTTACAGGTCAGAAAGCTTGAGGGATGGCTTGAGGGATGATATTCCTTCGAGCAGCAGTCTGCTGGCCTGTCGAAGATTTGGCAAACCGATTCTCATGAACGAGTCCGGTGCGCCCGTTGTTGTGAGGGGTGCCTCCATGTCCCCTTTGCCCGGTGAAGCAACTCCCAAAAAATGTGGAGCATGGCGACACGCCGCCGTAGAGAGACAACACTCGGAACCTATAAAATTTTCCCCCAAAGTCAACTGTCCCTTCCGACCCCGAGGAGACCTAGAGTATGAACAAGTCCATCCAACCTTGGCCGAGGAGTCGTTGTCCCTTCTCTCGTCACTAAACGACACTGATGACGACCCTCCAAAATTTGTTAGCCCAGAAATTCTTCAAAGAATCCGATCCTGTGGCTCTACAACGACCTATTTTGGGGGACAAGTAATTGCTCAAAGTGGGAGAAATCGGAGGCAAATTCCAGTTTCTAGACGCCATACGTTGATGGATTTTAAAGAGTTTAATCCAGCAGATGGTGATTTCTTTTCCAATTCTTTTGGGTCAAACAGCAGCAGGACAACACCTACAGCCACTCATCATCAGGGTCAGATAAGCAGTAGCAGTGGCTCACCTTCGTCCAGATACGAGCTGAATGAAGAATATTTTACACCACCCCCGATTCCTACCCCGGTTCACCAAGACTTGTGTCTGAATGGGTTTATTACCATTGAGAACGACGAGGTCCAAGTGTACGTACCTCGACCAAAGCTACTTCCTCGTAGAGTATCCCCAGAATTGGAGGACGTGTTCAATCTTGGGACGAATGCAATTGACACCACGCCTCGAATAATTTCCGTCCTTCCCAAAAGTCCTTCCGGTTCACCGGTCTCCTCCATCATCGAGGGGAACGGGAGGGGAACGCCCGAAGGGTGTGAAGGACAGGATGGCAAGTGCGTCTGGAGCAATGAAATTTTCGTGGGGGACGAGGACAAATTCATGGCCCAACAACAACTGGACAGGAACAATAATAATGTGGACGTTAATAAGGGCATTCTTGGTCATCGTATTAGTAGTGCTGCAACTGTAGACGATAGTGAAGGAGCTTGGTTTTGAAATATTAAATAATAACACTGATGAAATAATATTATTAGCTACGTAGTAATAATAGACATTTATGTATTTATGGCATACGACTTGTAGATTTATATAGCTGAATTTTACTAAGTTCTTAGGATAACAGAATATCTATAACTTATAACCGCATTGCTATGTACAATGTTGCTATTGACCAGAAAAAGAGTTACCCTTTGGAAATTTCACATTTTCAAAATATTATGCTTTAATTATCTTATTTTATAATATGATTACTTGTTGTGATTGTTCAGATTGTTGATTTCTATAATAAACAATTTGTATTCGTTCAATATATACGTGTTTCACAAATAACATTATTATTTAGGTTTGACATCAGTCGCAGCCAGCTATAAAACTACTACATATTTTTTATATTGATGATGAGCTTCCCCAGACACCTCTTTAAGTGAGATTGCCCTATCACTGAAATGTTAAACATTCCGCATAGTCTAATGGCATTATTATTTTAAACTATGTTTAACATACTTTCTATCAACCAACTTTACAGACTTTATATGACTCATGCAAAGTTATCCACTGCTACGTTTGTGCTCTTCATTAACCTGCCGATGCCATTCCAAGTTTTGTTTTTCGATAGATCGTCCTTCTTTGACATCCTTACGCCCCAAATAAATGAAAATTCCACTCCCCACAGCCGCAATCAAAAGAAATCCGAGATTTATACGAATCCTTGCATAATTTCTGGCTTTATGGACTACGTCTCCACTAAAAATCAAAGCCGAGTTAGAAATTAAATCCTGTTAAAGGACAAGAGCACAGTTAAGACAGAATATGTGTAGACCTTACGCTATAATGGAAGGGATGTCAGCTTTGCTTTTAAATTGACCAGACCATGTTAGGAATATTCTATCCAGGGCTGTCGGTGACATTTTAGGTTGTTCTAATTTAGAAATTATAAAATATGACCAAATTTCTGTTATAGTCACACCAGTTCAAAAATTCAATTATGTAGCTGTTGTAGCGATGGTGGCATTACCCATAATTGCTGGGTTTTTTGGATGGGTTGGTGGTGCAGTTTGGGGAGTCTTGGATGGTGTCGAACTGGACATGCGAACTGTTCCGTTCGCTATTCCTCGCCGAATGCTTATAATTGTATTCATTATTTACTATTACTGATAATTAGGGAAGCAAATAAACCAAGTCAAATTTTTGTGAAATTAGACTTGTCAGTCACAAGTTGTCACCCTCAAATAACAAAGATTTTAAATATATATTTTGTATCCCAGCCGGACCTTTGGACTGTTTGCTATTCCCGGGCCTTTGTTTGCCATTCGCATAACGCCACGGTGCACGTCCACAGTAAATTACATGGGCTACACTCATAGCTGCAAAGTATTTGATTGATGAATTATATTTGGTTTGATCACATTTCCGTTGTGCCTTGCACGGTTCAGTTGGCTCGAGTAGTATCACAAGTTGAGTCTCAACTTGAGATATTGCTGAAACTCATCTGCAGACACAAAAGACAAATTGAGACAAAAACCCTTGTAGGTGAAAGTTGAGACGTTACGGTTTCATCTCAACTACCTGCAATACAGTTTTACCCTGTTGGGTTTAGGAATAGGTTAGGAATAGGTCAGGAATAGAAGGGCTTGTCCGGTTCGGATAGGTAATGTGGTTGGAGTGAACCTGCTTTCACCGGAGAAAGTGTTGTCACGCAGCATAGCGGAATAAAATAGTGAAGTGATGTCAATCTGCAAAACAAACTGGAATGCTTGCAAATTCAATTTTTTCGGATCGCAGAACAAACAATACGACATTACATTCTGTTCTGATTTACATGGTGCTTTACATTCTTCATTCATAATAATACAAGAATGCTAAAAACACTGTAAATTCCAAACCCACTTGACTTCAAAATATCTGTATTATATTATGTAATTCCGTCACAGTTACAAGACACCATCATTTTATATGGGTTTTCGAACGAAGGTTCGCATTCTGTATTAACCTTTAGTTTTAATAGTTATGCAGTCAGATTCCTTCAAGTAAGTACGTGATCTCTGAACATGTTACTTGGTGGGGAGAACACGTGCAAAGTTTTTACTTGGCTAAAGTAAACAACATAGCTCTCACTACTGTGTACAATGTATCAGCAAAATAGCTGACACCGCTTGATGAGAAAACCAGACCAGGCGTCTTCCCATTAAATCTCATCCTACGACTGCTAACCAATAAAGACGATGACGGTATGTCAACATTAACATTTCACCAACTTGAATGTATACTTTTCCCTGGCGATCCACCCATTTCGTTAAAAGTCAAAAGTCAGCCCTTGGACGTTCGTGGTTGGCAGGCATTTCTCCACACAAAACCTTCGGACATAAAGGCCAACGACGAACTCCATGAAGTGAAGGAAATATTAACCGGTCTCAAATGTCTCGCTTCTCACTCTTTTCCTTCCTCTTTCTGTCTTCGGGTGGGAGGAAAGGGCAGAGAATTTGAGACACGATTTGGGACATAAAAACGAGATCACTTCTTCTGAATATTACTTACAACTTCCTCCACAGCTCATTCTTTCTGCGGGTGTCAAGTACACACGCTGTCAATAACTTCTTTTTCTCAGTATTCTCAAGGAAGAAACGTCCCTTAGTTTAACAGTGCCTGCTATTTATTACTCTAAACTCATTGTAGTAAAGATTTCATTCACAACAAGGACTTTGTGTAGGTGGTTGGATGATTCACTTGCTTCGTTCCTTGTTTCTACAAACAATGGAATTATTATTTAGGGAATTTTGTATAGTGATCCTTGTCCTAATCAGAGTTCATCTAATACGACCCAGCCTATTTACTGCTGGAGTCTCGCTTCATACGAAGACGGGCTGAACATTGTTATTCTTTATTCTACGACTGCGACTACTTGGCGACATGTGCCAAGTATCACGGATGATCCGGGTTGGTTATTCGCCTTCTTGAGCAAGACCTTCACACTCAATTGAGATTCGTTAAACTTAATTAAATCTCGCCATTGGAGACTGTACAATAACACACACACGCCACTTGTGAAACTCTGCTCTTACATGTACACATCGATCCTAAGTATATTTAGTATTGCAAACAGCGTTCCGGGAGAAATTGCAGTTGTTGGTCGTATGTAACGGCTCTGGGAAGGTAAATAGTATGTACATAGTGAACAAACTTGTCTCATTTACCGTCGTATTTTGTCTCACCTAGACATTGATACCATTCGTTTGATTTTTGGCTGTCAAAATACTACGAAAGTGGAAATACTGCTTCTGTGCATCTGTAAGTGAGTGGGGTTCTGAGAAGATCTGAACTGCGAAGGTAGAGACGACCAGCATTTCGTATGAATAATTTTCATCATACTTGACGAAATGATTCGCTCTGGTCACTCGTCGGGAGGGAGGAGGTGTGCCTCTGGGCGAGGTTCTCGGAAGGTTGTTGTCGCAACGGGCGAAGAGGGAATACGTGGAAGGAGGACAAAAAGAGGAGGTAAATACAGGACGGAAACGACGATACGCCATCAGAACAAGCGACAAACATCCACTTCTTCCATGTCCCGTGTTGTGACGACCAAACACTGCTCCAACAATAATGGCAATGGTAACGCAGGAGAAAGCGTTTCTTCTAGTGCAGGGAACCGAGAACGCGAAAAGACACAGAGGTTAGAAATATAGTACACAAAGTTGTAACCAGAAATTACCCACATGCACGAAACACAATAATAATAATTTCATTCATCATCTTTCATATGCAGCGTGAACACTGCATTTAGAACGTTGAGAACGCTGATTCCCACCGAGCCTGCTGATCGAAAATTGTCAAAAATTGAGACATTGCGTCTCGCCACATCGTATATTACTCATTTATCGCTGCACTTATTGAATGGTGAGGAGTGTAAATGAAAGCGGAATTTTACATGCTCATGAATATTTTGCCCTGATTTTAGAGCCTGATCAAACAGGAAATATAGATGAGCATCATCAATCCACTCCAGAACCTCACAAAATCTGTACCTTTTGTTTAGCACACTCCAAAAAAGCGCTGGTAAGCAAGTCCAGTTACATTATATAGAAATAAAATCGATCAAAGAGAAACTGGAGCTAAATGGATAAAACTATACTTTTGAACCCTTGAATAATAGCAGAAGCATTCCACTTGCTCAGTCTTCTCGTCACCTATCGTGGACTTTCATGTGACACATCCCTCATCCTGTCCCCCAGAGTCTTGTCCTGCCTTCTCAAACCCAAGACGATACCATCATCAGCACCATTGTGCTCCAACGATCAACAATCAATTCAATGAGGATATCAGTGGCATGGTTTACTACTGACTGATAAATCCACCATGTAGCCCTCCTTAATAAATAACCTTTCTTACATTGAATTGCATGAATGTACTGCTTGTGAAATAATATGAATATTCCAAACTGCATTCCTACGCATATTTCTTATGTATTATTATATAAATTAAGTAACAGGTTTGACAATAACGACATTTTCGATAATTTATGGAATTAATAAAATGACTTTTTGTTTATGATTTATAATTACAATATTATATTTAATACTACCACAGAACACAACGGAAATTATATATTATGTTCATTAATATTCCCCCTGAAGTACGAGCCTAGCTAGTTTATCTCCATACTGAGCACCCACGACTCCTCCAAGATAGCCAAAGACGACGGCCATCACCCCCTCATGATTAGGCCCCAACATTCCTCCTAGTAATTCGCCCGCCTTGTAGCCAACTTGTGCACAAACGTAGCCTCCAGCCCAGCCCCCAGCTATGGAACCACCCGTTCTTATCACAGATGGGCCCACCCCTTCGTCCTTGTACACGCTCACGGTCAGTCTGATCAGATCTATGAGTACGGCAGCTGGGAGGGCGTACGTGTCCACGTAACCGGCATGCGTCTCCATCGTTTTAAAAGCAGTGAGCCGGCGTCCCACCTGGTAGTTCAATTCATGGGTATTAAATATACGTATTCACTTCAAAAACTTACAAAATAATCACGGCAATTATTATTTTGCAAGTTTTTGGGTTGTCATATTATACAACAATGACTCTGACGAGTGCATTATAAATGACGTCCAATAATAAATAACCTGCAGATCATAGATTTCCCACCAATGTGAATGTCTGGCCGTTTTCATAAGGGCATATCTCCTGTCCGGTATTAGCTCGAAAAATCCCGCACCTTTCGTCAAATTACTGGCGATTATGACGAGTTTGGCGACGATGGGTTTATCCGCCCCACCCATTGTGACGTCAAGCTTGGGATGTGACCTGTTTGAGTATTTATTAAATTCAAAATTAGTATTTACAAAGGCATAATCAGAGGAATCAATTAGTAAAGAAGACTTACTACTTAGTACTTTGAGATCTCTAATATTTCCTAGATTTACACCACCCACCACCACAGGTAGCGTAACAATTTAATGTTTCTTGTGATTTGTTGTGTTTATGTGGTTAGTGAGATTAGAGATTATCATCAGTGTTCAAAATTCATGTTATAGACGAACGATGAAGAAATTTCCCACAAAAACTCTGGTGGATATTGAGAAGATTCGTGTATTAGTGCATCGAGTTTCTTCTCTTGTCCTTTGTTTTGTTTTGCAAAAACATATTGCAAATTTGAGACGTATGTATGTGTATGTACTGTGTTTTCGAGTTCAGTTTTAACTTAAAACTTTTAATTTTTAGCCCGAGTGAGGGTCAGGACGTATGGAACTGTCTCGCGATAACTCTCGCTAAACCCATTCAATCGACTTCAAATTTGCTACAAGTGTGCATGGTATGGAGCAAGTAAGGAGTTGTTCGAAGATGAGCAAAATCGATCAAGTGGTTGACCGGTGGGGGCCACAAAGGTAAGGTTGGCGCAGAATATTCAGTCGTAACAGACAGATTTTTGGGATATTGGTCGTATTTGTAGTAAAGTGAAAATAGTGTCGTAAGTTATTGTTTAGAAGGGCCCAGAAGGGTGACCTCCACTGATTTTCTAGAATGGTCACTGAAGCCTGAAATTTGGCGTAAAGATGCAGGGGTATATCAGAAGCATCAGATTACAAATATGTATAAAGTAAATTTTGAGATTTTCTGTGCTAGGGAGATAGAACGGGTGAGTGACCCACGAAATTCGTTGAAGAAAGATTCAGTATCAAGGTCCATCAGACTAAAAATATAAGGTCAAATCTAGGAATGCTTTTGCGAGATGAACTCAACAGGGTGGCCCTTACTGGTTTTTGAAATTGGTCAAAAAAGCTGAAAATTGCATGCTAAATCATGGGAATATTTTTGACTATTGGCAATAGTCTATTGCAAATTGTTTTGCATGACAAATTGTTTTGCAAAAATTTTAGGATTTCGAGGACACCGAGATTAATTCTTTAAATACTATGCAGTTAATATGAATTAATTACCTTCTCCACGCCGGGTTTAGACTTTTTAAGTCATTAAATTTTCGATATTCATCGTGTCTATCGATTTATGATGGTATCAATGATCGCCTGTGGATAATTCACACAGGGGTTTAAGACATATTCATGTTCTGATTTGCCAAATATGTTCCTGCTTAATGGTTATAAATGTGAAGTCAGATTTTGAAAATAATTGGGATAAGCGTGGTGTATGCTACAAAAGGCGTTAGGACATGGTTTTGACGAATTCAAACCTTAATTACGGGATGGTTTTTAGTTGTAGAGATTTCTAACATTTTTTATGTGAAAGCCCATGTCTCAAACTATAGGTAAGCATATCTGGCTTTCGATTTTGTATACTCTGCGAAATGAGGCAAGGTCAAATTTGGAGAGGTGTCCTTTTTTAGTTTTCCAAACCAGTGTTATTATAAAATGGCGTTGAACAAAATATTTTTTTCTGAGGTCCTGGTGCAAAAATCGTCTTTGCGACTATTATTAAGAGACTTAGCATGCTTTTCACTATATAAAACCACTTTTGTCTAATGCTTATCTTTTAAGTCCATTTTGTAGTCTAACTTCATACTTGTCCTAATGGAATGCCCTCGTGAACGCAACTCCTCCACTTTTAAGGCCCCCACATTTGACGACTTTGATTTTAAAAATCCCTAACATTGTTTTATTCAAGGTACATATAGTATATTACACTGTAAGTACTTTTAACAAAATTTTGATAAGTGGTTACACCCCACGGACTGAGTATCCACCAAACCCTATAAAATGTTTACAAAACTTCTCCTTGTAATCGAAGCCAAACTTCAGAAATAATTTAACTAACCAAAATGCAGTAATTTTATTATTTTGTCACTTGTACCTTGTAGATAAAATAGTTCTGCAGCAGGGGACACAAAAAAGTTGTTAAAATTTATTTTCAACAAAATTTGACTATTAATTTTCCAAATTACTTCACGAGTTTTAATTATGATTCCCCGTCAGCTGATTAGCTCGGGTCCTTCTCCAAAACTGGCTACCCAAAATCTTAATTGTTCTATTCAATATTGCGTAGGACACTTTCAGCTTTACCCTCAATCTTCATTTGACCCAGTGGGTCCGATTTCAAGGTCAGCAGGTCAATTTTCCTGTGCACGGTCCGATTTATCACTTTTCATGAAAAAGTATCAGCGACGATGGAGGCCCAACGTTATGTAATTCATTGTGGATTCTTTTATTATTACATGCAATGATTATCTAGGGTTGTAATATTACCAATCATTCACCTCTGACCTCTTAGGTTATCATGCTATATGAGTAATTCAGTTTGGAAAGTGTTTTTTGGCTCCTTCCAACTCTGGGGGCACTGGAGGGGGCATTTATAAAGCTATCGGCCTAAAATTTTAAATATATCTTTTTGAGAGTATTATCTTGCAACTGTCCAAAAATCAGTTCAAAATTCAACTCCCCGCCAGAGATATTCACCCGCGAATTCGTCAAAACCATGTCCTAACGCCTTTTGTACAGACTTTAACATGAGGCACATCTCCCCAGGCCCAAGCTATGAGCAAAAGATGAATAACGAAACCAAATGGCCTTTTTTTGGCTAAAAAGATAATTTTTCATCAAAGATTTAAGAGTGGGGACAGGAAAAGGGTCCAAAATGTTAGGGTAGGCACCAGTGAGAATTGAACTCACGACCTCTTGTTTACTAGACAAGCGCTCTACCACTAAGCTATGGCGCCCTTCGGTGAGACCTCCGCCACTGAACCACAAATATAAAGTTTACTGTAAATATATCCACATAAATATACCCATTCTTTAATCCAATCTGACTGACTCCTCAGACGAGCTCACAAATATGTAGGATGATTGATAATTGGCGATGTGTATCACTTGGACTCCAGCTAAATTAAGGAAGTAGTCTCAGTGTGATTCACGTTCCCAATGTTAGATAAACTTCAACAGCACATAAACTACTAAACTCGCGAAATGGATTAGATGCGTACTCGATCTTCGATCTCGTTTACTCATTCACCAGGTCAATGTACACCGCAAATGATGGTGATTTCTGTAATCCCCACCCCAAACTTCGTCTAAAACGATCGAAACTAAAAATTCGAAATGTATGACTTTTGACCTCGTCTTGATGCTTAAGGAACGTTCATGACCAAGGAAAGGTTCCCTCTTGGGTTTGTCGGAGGTCCAATTAACGGCTTTGAATGCATGAAATTTCCTTGAGAATGACATCGAATATGAAAACTAAAGAAACTTTGAATTCACACCAGGATCAGCTTGACCTTGATCGCAGGGCCCCCATTTTCGAACTTGACCGACAACTGAAAATTAGAAGCATATTTAATGGCAAAAACCCGCGTTTGACTATTTATATAATAATTTCTACAGCGTTTCTGATTCCGAGGCGTTCTGGAGATATCCTGCCCATGGACAGGCGGAAGGCCGAAATGATAACAAAAACTTCGCTCCGCTTCAATTTGTTTTCCCTTATTTTCTTCTTCTTTCCTTTGTTTCCTTCTTCTGTAAATGTTTTCTATCAAATCGATTCGATGACATATGAAAATAATATATTTTTGTCAAAGTTATGACATGATGAGCTGTTAGGAAAATATTGATCGTTGAAGGATGGGAGAAAATTCGTGTCTCAATGCGAATCATTTCAATACATACATTTCAGCACTTCGCATTCAAGTCCTTTCTGCGTTCGGGCGTTGGGACACGAAAAAAATTGACAAAAATCTTGGTGATTTTTCCTCATATTGTAATTTTGTGAGACTCCGATGGTCAAATGTTTACGCAAGTGATAGTGATGTTATCTATGCTGTATATATTCATGAGCTCGTCTGAGGAGTCAGTCAGATTGGATTAAAGAATGGGTATATTTATGTGGATATATTTACAGTAAACTTTATATTTGTGGTTCAGTGGCGGAGGTCTCACCGAAGGGCGCCATAGCTTAGTGGTAGAGCGCTTGTCTAGTAAACAAGAGGTCGTGAGTTCAATTCTCACTGGTGCCTACCCTAACATTTTGGACCCTTTTCCTGTCCCCACTCTTAAATCTTTGATGAAAAATTATCTTTTTAGCCAAAAAAAGGCCATTTGGTTTCGTTGTTCATCTTTTGGGAAATGGGACGACGATTTGGCTTTGATAAAAAAAATTGACCGGTGGAGATCATGTTTAGCTAATAATCCTCAAACATTTAAAATCATTCATATCATCCATTCATCTCGGTTGTCTGACTTACCACCATACTTGTCACCATCAATAAATCATATAACGTATAAAAATAGAGTAAGTAATTGTTTGTTGTGGTAGTAGATTTAAGCCAGTTTCTACCCTTTTTGTGCTTTCAAACAATCCAAGCAATAATTGTGCTAATTTTATTTATTTATTTTCTGCGCAAATGATTAACTTTTTGCTTCGTATTGCCAATATGTGATTTTGATAACAGGGCAATTCATAGAATAATTGATGCATTATGGAATAAATACTAATCGCGAAATAGGTCAACTTGATAATGTGACGGCAATCAACCATATGCAAAATTTGAGCTAGATGTTTGATGTTTTAGAACAATATTGCATTGAACAATTATTGTCAAAGTTCTTGAAATAAATTTTTTTTAACGGGTGCAAATGAACTCATACGTACTTTGTCAAACTCCAGATATTTATAGCACAACAATTCTACGGATGATGTGATAGTGATGACGCCAGTGAATGCAATTATAATTATCTTCCTTTATAAGCTATCCATTCAATATTCCACGAATGCACGACCACAATCTAAATATTCAACTACAGACGACGAATGTATTTAGTTTGAGTTTAATTTGGTTAGTGTCATTGCATTCATTTATCTCATCTCGGCCTCTCTAATCCAATCCTCACCCTTAATGTAAATAGCACAATACGCATTGTTCATTGTTCTCCTTCACATCATCGTTCCATGTAAAAAAAAGTATTATTATCTCAGTTTGAACCCAACCAACGCTTCTCGAGCACATGGTTCTGCTTCTGATTAGTTTTTGAAATTAAAATCAAGCGTTAATACAAGTCTTCTACTCTATGACCACGTGATAAAAAATAGACGCGTATAACATTCGCCCAACGCGACGATGCAGCAATGCATAAGCATACTCCAGTTGGATACTTGCATAAATACCTAAGTAATTTGATTAGAGTTTGCTCAACACTGTGATTTTGCCGACTGCAAAAATTCCTTATGTATCATTTCATTAGTTCCTTTTAAGCTGCGGCTCACTGCGAAATAATATTTAAGTAATACGCTTCAATATTCAGATCTAATCATAGATGCATATAACCATTTTTCTGTGGATATGTGCATACCTATGTACTTTAACGTACTGAGGAAGTACACACACCAAGGTTTGCTGGATCAACGAGAAAATTTATGTAGATATGCACGTATGTACATAGTCTTGATATAGGAAGAAATATACACGTTTGTTTTTCCGTGAGGAAATGTTATGCAGAATTTGCAAGCACATGAACTATTTTTCATTCCGAGTTTGAGGCAATCATTTGATTGAGTCGGTTTGGGCGAATTTGTAATCCGCTGATTCAGTATACGTCTGTATTGCCAGAAGTTGCATTATACTGGAAAAAGATCAGCGTTCATGTATCTCTGCTGGTATTGAGCATATTAAAATCTGTTGTGGCATACATGTGTAAATTCGCATATGTAGGCATTATAAAGTTACAAGTTGTAACGACCTCGTTTTTTCAGCAAGAGGACAACGTATTCGTATTCTACATCCACGCATAAACTGGCGACGACGACGACGACGACTGTGAATAAGTGAGTAGTGAATAACTCTTAATAATAATAATAATAATAAGATAAAATATAAAGCAATATAGCAGAATCTGCTTACATACAGCAGCAAGTCCTTTGTGTTCGCATAAATTCGAAATTTGCATTAAGATGGCCTCGAAAACATCCGAGGAGACGAGCGTATGTACGTACGTACATTTATCGTGCATAGTTTGCATAAGCACAGAATAATAATAATAAACATTCTCCTATCCTTCCTATCAACTGGCTACAAGATCTCCGAACCAAATTAAATATTAGCAAGTCCTCTCCGTACATGTGCATGTGTACAAAGATGAGATAAAAAAGAAAGATGTTTGAACAGTGGATGATCCAACACGAGTTTCATAGTCTCATCATCAAATAAATAAGTTCTATATAGCAGCCTAGTAAACTGACCACTTGTTAATGTCAGGCAGTATGCATGCATAAATCAATCACACAACTACGATTATGACCAACTCAACATTAAGTCACAAACCATTAATAGCAACAGTGCATCGCTTTGGGTTGTCGTGAAAAGCTAAATTCACAGCTAAATCTTGGAAAAACGAAACGAATCTATTCATAAAAGTGTGAACTCTAACAATAAGAAGCAGATCAGGAGTACTGTTGTGACCTTATCTTGTACATAGCACTCGTAAATACAGCAAGACGAGTGAATATGGAGACTGAACATTTGTTGTGGGTGGGTGTGTCCTTCGCCATCAGTCTGTTTCTGGTCTGGATGGTGTGGAACTTTTTCTGTGGGGGAGGGAAGAAAGGAGACGGGTCTTCGGGGGACGGCAGTGATCGAGACGATGATTCTGATAGCTTCAGCAGCACGCATGTCATCACGGGGTAAGCTATCATCACAAGCAACCCAGTAAACAATTAAATATATTGATTTTTTGTCAGATACAAATTTAACTATTTAAATATTAAGTATATAAATCTGTATCGTCAGAAACCATCGACGACAGTTGACTTATTGTGTCCCTGACGTCACCACGTTCTCCCGTTTAATCGATAATTTATTGTCTCTCACACTCACTCATGTGGATTGAAAACATGATAAATATGGATGAGCAGACAGGTCATGTACCACGTTCGACAGTTTATGCACATGTAGTCCACCCATAATTGATTTATACATCATAGATATTGGTGATTCAGACAGCCTCGAATTATGCACTTGTTGAGCACGAACAGATTATTAAATTGGCGAGTGGAAATAAAGTTAATGCAAAATCCGAGTCAGTCACGGTTCAAGGAAAAGTACGCGACCCAACTTCTTATCTTCCAGCTCAATTTCATCATGTTTTTAAATGTATGATTGATTGATGAGTGGGCGCATGTTGGTCTAATTGTAAAATTGAATTAGAGACCACGTCAATAGCCATCTGTCAAAAAATGACCTCTGCAAACCACTCTAATATTCATTTATCTCTATAAAGTGGTCACCCAGGAAAGGGAGGCAAGAGGAAACGGCGCTTCAAACGTGCCACGATGAACGACCACTCGTCAACCAATGAGAACACGACGACGGACGACGAATCCGCAAGGGGCGAGTATGGTGAGGACCGGGGAAAGCGACCTCGTCGAAAAAGCCGTCGAGAACGGAGATCGAGTACGTACCAGTACAAGGAGAACAACTACGGCCTCCACGACCCCTTCAGTGAGTGGGCCCCGAAGGCGGACAATTTCAGGGATCCAACCATTCCCATCGTTCACAATTATCCAAAGTCTCCTTCTGCACCGAGAAAGCTATCTCATGTACAAGTCAATCTGTCGTAGCGATGACTTTTTGATGCGTAACTAGTGATCCGTTTTTTAATTTATTTTTCACACAATTTGTAATTTTATTGTTCTATAAGATTTGGTATATTTACTGTGTTGTACAGTACATAAGTGAACCATTGTGCCACACACTAATCAAGACTATCTATTAAGTAATTATCTACTAATAAATATTCAGATCTGACAATTTATTAAAGTCGTAAATATATTTTATTGGTAAAATACCCCAAACACACAAAAATAGTTTGTCTTTAGTGCACTAATCTACCAAAATAAATTGCTAAGGATGACATGTAAAATGTGTATGATGCACAGAAAATAATAAGCCTGCATATTTTACCATGCATCATGGCTCACGTGGAGAGCAGAAGGGTTGTCGTAAAATTGAAAACTGTTCCCCAAACGACCACGACTGTAGCCCTGTCTACAATATAAAATCCCCCAATTTCCACCCGCAGAGGTAAGCATGACCTCAACCATTTTCTAAACCCTTTACTTCTAGCTCCTCCAGCAGCAGTCTTCCAAGCTTTCAACGTCTCCCCACTCTTTTGACGAATCTTACCCAATCTCCAAAAGATGAGGGAAAGATAAAGCATCGCAAACGTCGCAGTCACTCCCATCACCACGGAACGAGGTGGCGGAAGGCGAATGGCCCCAAAAATCCCCACTATTGCCACCATCATCACAACTCCCTTGTGCGTAGGGAAGAGCCAATCCCGGCAACAAAAGTTGAACTCTGCTTGAAGAAGTTGGAGGGAGCGATACACGTTTTGAAATACGAACTTGGAGCGGAGACTGTTTCTCGTCATGAAGACGCAGCGTTTTTGTCGTAGAGACCACGCCTGAGGTTGGAGGCAGCTCTTGTACCTCAACTCCTTGAGGATGAAGACCAGTGGGTGCGCGTAAGCAAAGAAGTTGAAGCAATAGTAAAATATGTGAGCCCAGCATGAGAACCAGACCCAGCCTTGAAGGAGAAGGAGGATCAGTCCACGACCGCTTCTCCAGGATGAGGGCGATTCCAGCAGGGAGGTGAGGAAGTAGGGACGTTCTGGAAACTTGAGAATGAGCACCGTATTCTGAACCGTGATAAGCATCCCGAGAGTGACCATAATCTTCAAGTTCCGCTCACACCCGTTCCGCCAATGTTTGGGGAGGAAGTGCGCGGATCGAAAGTTGTCCCAGAAGAGGATGTAGGCGTTGATGAAATGGGGGAAATGGGTCCAGCGAGCAAAGTTGTTGATCATGATGAGGACGGGCATGGCGTAGGAGAGGAGGTTCCACACCACTTGGAGGACGGTTGTGAGGGGGGAGGCTTGGAAAAAGTGAACCTGGACAAGACGACACACCATGAAGGCTTCGTACAAGAGAAGGACGCAGAAGTGGAGGACTGTGAGCGTGGGGTAGGAGAGTGGCTTGAGAGAAAGTGGAAATAAGGGATGCACCAGGTAGATCTTGTGTGGGTGGGTATTAGTTTCCCATCTGAGGGATGCAGCTCCAGAGTAGTACATCAGAGTGCTAGCCAACTTTATAAGACTCAGAGTTTCAGACGTCAACATTTTTGGAATTTATAAGAATTACTGAATTTCTTATCTATATGTGTATATGTACAGCTTGATCCTTTTTCAACGTGGTGCCCAACCGACAATGAAAAATAAATTGACTAATTTAGAGGAGGAAAAGGTGATCGCATATTGACAAAAACAAGTAAATTAGCAGTAGTCACCCGCCCAATTAAAACGTCAATTTGGTATTTTAGTTGACAAAACGATCAATTATGGCTGGATGTCAATCGCTGTTATAAAAAGTTGAGCTTAGAACTTCTGCAATATGTGAAATAATGTTGATACAGAACATGTATCATGTCACACATTCGAATCAATTATTCACCAAATGCCAGCCAATCTATAAAATAGTCTTGTTTATTGTTTCCGATTGCGACACATGTCGGTCATTGGTAACAAACGATGACGATATGACTACCCAAAGCGACATTGAACTGTCCTCCCTTATGTTTTATACGCTTCGGAGCGGTGAGGAGCGTACACAAAATAAAAGTTACACAAGTTGATATTATCACTATTTAACTATATATATGAATGCGTATTTTTACGAAAAAAGAGCTTGAACTTTGAGCATCGGGGCCACAAAGCCAACGGCTTCCTCTTCTTGTGCAATGTCACCTAAAATGGACCTCTTTCTTCGAATGTCGTTTGACTGCTCTTCCTCTGAGGAAATGTCGTTGATGGAGGGGTCGGCTTGGCAGGTGCACACCTTTCCCTCGTACATGTCCTTCATCATTGACTGTAAACTAGGTCGAGTACCTCTGAAAGATCGCATTACATGGAATATCAGAGATCGGAAGGAGCACTGGCCGCCATCCGCTTTTGAAATGCAAGTTGTTCCCGTGCGGCACTTGGAGTTGATCATTGTGCCAAAGCCTTGCGTTCGGAGGATGTCGTCAGATAAGCAATATGTGTTCTCAGCCCAACGACACCGGTTCACTCCATTCTCGTCACGCTCAACAACATAGTCGCGGCTTGATCCAATGGAAGGCAGCACGACCTGAGAGACAATAAGAAGATGTTATTTAATTTGTTTGCTGTGGAACTAAAAACAAGATTGTATTCATTCAAGTCAAAACTCACTTCTTTGCCTGGATCCCCACAAACGCATCTCTCCGAGTCCTTGTCGCAGATGAGGAGTTCGGGGGCAGAACAGAAATGCTTCCTTTTGGTAACCACGTCCGCCGAGAACCGTTCCAAGGCGGCCACCAAGGAGGACGAGGATCCAAACCTGTTTGTGATTCCGCTCATGTCACGGGTCAGATTTTGTCGGGCCTCCTCGTTTGTCCAGGAGCAAGGTTGGTTGTACTTGAGGGAGGTGACGAGATTGAGGAAGGTGGTAAGGTCGGCTATGGCAGAACTCTCCTCTACAACCACCACACCCACGAGAAGCAGAGCGAAGAACAACTTTGGCGACATGTTGGAACCTTTTTAATTATGTTATTTATTTATCGCTTGAATGACTACAGATATATTTAATCAGGAAATCAGCATCAAGTTGTTCCAGTTGCCAACTGACACTGGTCGTTCGACTTGGCTTGGCCTTTTTATTCGGTCCAAAATTCAATCTCATCTTGTTCATTGATTTTACTGCTGTTTGTTATGCTCGTCAAGTGAGGATTAGCTAAATAAGTTATCATACTTCTCTCGGGTCGAAAGGTCTCCTTCCAGGCAATACATATTTATGTACATATGACATTAAAGTAAAGTAAGTACATAAGATTAAGTACGCGGTGGTGTATGTACATAAATAAATAAACTCTTTAGCTAGTATAAAATTGAAGAAATGCAATTCATCAAAATTCGGGTTATCTTCTCGATAATTAATTCCTGGAAACAAGACAACTCACTAACAGCTAACTCAAGTTACAGAATCAATAACTTTAAATTTTCAATAGTTTACGACATATAAGTTCTTACATAATAAATGTCACATGTATTTCATGCATCTCACATCTCCGTGTTTGTGTGCTGCATTGAATAGCTATAGAAAATTCTTCGCAATAAAAGGAACATGTCAAAGGTCAGCGCAGCCTGATTTCATATGAATTGTTTTTTAACAAAATACGGTTATCTCGCTGATTTATTAATATATTTCTGCTGCGCATTACAGGTCTGTTTTTAATTCCCTAAGAATCCATGCAGTTATGTTTATATGCGGTTTATTTCCAATGCACAATGTCAATATTCTACCACAGCAAACCAGTAAACCCCGGTGTCATACGGATTCACAGGTACTTATCTTTGTAAATGAAGTTGCACACATTGTACGTAGCTGTACGTATTTATTGACACTTTCCTCGTCATTTGCGATCTCTCTAAAAAAAAGTATCCTTATCAATAATAACTCATATTTACATCTGAAATAATCTGCATGACACCTGAATGGGAAATTGAAACCAGGGATTTCAGTCCAATGATTCGCACGGATCATGCCTTCATGTTCACGCCCTGACCAGTATAGATAGAGACCAGAATTAACTAGACCAATCTGATTTTCAGTATATCTAAAGTCTGTATCTCGTTTCAACAAAGCCAGACTTCAATTATTTAATATTACGACGTCATATCTAACCTTCGCCATGATCACTATATCATACAACCGTAATGCTTGTGCAAAATAATGCACAGCTTATCATATAAATTGAAAAGTTGATGAACCAAGTTTTAAAATGAGACTACACCAATCATAAAATTCCTATTTCCAAGCGAAATTATAAGAATCATGTAAAATTATTTATTTAACTTATTTTGACTTTTTTTAAAATGATTTCTTCGTTTTTTATTCAGGTTAGGGATTTTTAATGTACGACTCCTTTGTAGTCAGCTTTTTTGATGTGTAATTTTTGTAATGCGTATGCAATGATAATTGAATTGAAGTTTTATTATACTGGCTTATTAGTACAAGAAATACAAAAACTTATGCTTAACACTAGAGAAGGGGACTCTAAATTAAACATTTAGACAAATTAAAGTAACTTACTTGCCTAGTTTCGTCAGTTTACATCCTCTCTAAGCCAATACTTATACAATCAAATTATAATTTAGCAAGATGAACAAACAAAACCATCTCGCAGCTCAAAGGAACGCGACAAAGTTGGTTGCATACCAAGACTGGCTGAGTTTGTAAATTTAGATACAATTACGATTTCAAATCATTACCCAATTATAATTTATATCAACTTACATTTTACTTAATTACTTAAATTATATTTGTTGGAAAAATTGCATCAGAAAACCAACTTAATTTTGACATACAAACCAATTTTGATTCCCCAACCAACCGAGTGGATACAGGCAGAAGCCAGGTGGTAATTCTGATCGTAAAAATACATAAAAATACGATTTAAAAATACAATTTTTGACTGAAATGGTTGTTCAGTTTGATAATGAGGGATTTTCACACATTGCCAATTAAATTTGAAGTTATTACCAATTAGAATTAATTAAAATTAGATTAAAAATAAATAAATTTAGAGGAGCTCGTGCAAGAGCAAATCCTCCTCGGTTGGCGCGCTGACGGGATAATAAGTGAAATAAAATAATGTTTTGTCAGCGTCCACTTTTATTTAAGCAGAAGTATGTTAACTTTATTGAATGATTCCAGGAAATGTACTCGGTGTATTGATTATACAAAAGTTCAAACTAGTTTACAGAATGTATTGGATGTCTTAGACTTAGGAGTTAGAGTAGAATTTCCTTAGAGTTGAATTTGGTGAATTTACCGGTAAAGACTTTCGACCTACCTTAATTATGCTCTCTCAATTTGTATTCTGGATGGTGCTCTAATGGATGGTATGCAATAATTAGTGAACATGTTACCCGTTCATATTGCGATTAAAAATGACATACTAACATTATCCGTGCATAATTTGACCATGAAAATCAATCCTTCACAACGCTCTATATTTAAATTCCTATGTTTTCAATTTTTGCTGCTGATTTCACGTTTCAATGATAAAATGCTGTCAATGCTTGCTAAGAGTCATCATCACCTCATTCTTTATTGCTGACACATTCACTTTCTGCATGATCAAGTCCTCCTCATCATCAAAACAATCGGAACAGAACAATTGGAGACCAAACGAACGAGAGGAAAGTGACAATTACAATGTCGTCGATATTGTTGGTTGATTTAATTGTAAAGTTAAAATTACCTTTGCTCAGCCTCCGTAAAGTAACAACATGGTGCACGCATACAAATTAAAATGTGTGCATTAAAGAAGAAAGAGGCGACCTAAGTATGTGCATACGTACGTATGCAGTGCATGCGTTTAAATCCAGTGTTGACCGGTCTGGAGGTTGAATCCTTCCTCAATACATAAGCTAATGGTAATTTAGTGACTGAGCGAAGCAATTAAGCTCACAGGTTGCGAAGAATAATGCATTGTTCCTTCTTCTTGGCTTCATCTCGCCGTCGTTAAGAATAGCTCATTGCGTGCTCGCGATGGTTAATTCGTGGTTTGCTGATTTTTGATGGGCCACAATATTCGTTCTTAAATAACTCACATTCCCAGTGTGAGAACACCCTTCGGATGGAATGGATAAGGCATTTTGGAGAAACAAAGTCATAAATTCTAGTGTAGCAAAAAATGTGGCTGAGTGAAGTTGAAGGGACGAGCTATGCTTTGCTCATCAGCGTTCTCATAATTTTGGGACTGTTTGCCATCTTGGTGTTTGGGAGTCTGCCTTGCAGTTGCAGATACATCTTGCTGCTCAGCCATTGCTTGTGGAGGAAGAAAAACAGGGTGCGTGTGGGGGTCACGGACACGACCAATCGGTGAGAATACGGTTCCAAAATCCAAGATCACAATTTCTTACACCTTTTAACATCAGGATCCACGTAATCGGGTCCGGCCGCCTGTTCCCCGATCCAGAGTCTCTGATCCAATTTCCTGTCTATCCCTTTGCCACAGCCGAGCCTCATGGCCACTACCCACCCTCTGGTCACCACCAACAGTCTTTGAGGCTGGTCCACCACGTGTCACAATTGCCCTGCTACCACGAGTATGCTCAGAATCAGCTCAAGTTCCCTCCAGCCCGCTGGGAGGACGAACCTCCCCCAGCATATGACTTGCTCTTCCCTTCTGGAACCTCTTCAGAGTCCGGGAATCCGACTCCAGGTGACAACAACAGCAAATGCCAACCTCGTCCAGTCTGATCCACGTGCATACAAGTTGTACTTCTGTAAAACATGGACGCCATTCAATCAGTGACAAATGTATGATCTCACTCATTGTTCAACAATTGTTGCACATTTAGCGTTTATAATCAAGTGTCAATAAAATGTAAATATTATTTAATTCATTCCGCCGATATGCAGTTAGAAGACAACCTCCGTACATATATGGAACCGGAAGGAAGTGGTGATGATAATAGTAACGTATGCATCAAATATTGGTGTGTCACTTTGTTCAATTAATGGTGACAACATTTCAGTCATGCAGTGTGTGTGTACTGTTGGATCGACCAGCAACCCAAGGTAATGAGACAATCAATTACTCGACGAAGCAGTATGTAAAGGTCAAGTCTACCGTGCGAGGTGTGCACGTCGATGCATGCATGCAAACTTCATGTGCAGACCTTCACGTCAACACAACAATGATTCCATCCAAAAACGCATTTTGTTCTCAGTCTCACTCATATTGACGCATATTGACTAACAAATTAGCTGAAGGAACCCCGTCACGTGAGAAGACGAGGCCTGAGTGCAATAAAATTAATGAGTGCTGTCTTTCCAGCAAAGTTTTAAAGAAATGGTTTCAGAAGGGCAAGGTGCATGGTCGGCTGACACGTACGGACGCAGGGATGATCGCATCAGCAGGGCTCTGAAGCGTGCCATTTCACCTGGGATCAGTTTCAATGGTGTTGTATGTACTTACTTGCATATCACACAACACGAGCCGCACGGATCTGCACTTGTGTGTGCACATTAATGATGAGCATTCCATAAAGTTGAGAACAATAATCAAGCAGAAATCTTGTTGGGAGAGGCTACGGTTCATGAGCAGAGAACCAGCCACAAACAAATAACAATGAGAGTAATATTATTATTATTAAAATAGGATGTGTATTGTTTTGGAGGCTTCTTCACTTCAATAGGGCGAGCATCACTATGCGAAAAAAATCAAATTGGAGTGTGTAGGACCATTGTTTATTACGCTGCTAAAAACTTGTTGAGCCAAAGAATAACACAACCAAGCGAACGTAACGGAAGGAAGGATACTTTGCGAGAAGTGGTCACTACACCATGAACACGTATTTACGTATTTAGCTATCGTAATGCAGGTGTGGTTAGCCAGTGCAGCTTCCTGTAACTTCATTCCTGAACGTCTTCTGTAATTAAGGCTTCAGTAGTTAACTGTGCATCACCTAAGAACCATTACACATATCTGCATACACAATACATCACTGTAAATGTGTTGGGGGTTCAGAATGTAGGCGCAGAAACATTGCAGGTCAAAATTAGTAACTTGCCACTCCTGGAGGAGATCGTCAGAAGTGCTTGAAAAATAAATGGGGGGTGAGGTGAACCTCGATTTTTTCCACCTTGGTCTTCTCCTCGTCGTCATAATGGTCTTCATCACCGGGATCGTCCTCTGCGTCGCTGTCGTCGGCGTCTGCTGCTTTCACTGGCTGGACAATAGCAAAAGTCATCAGTCTGAGGCTGGGGCAACGGATGGGGATAAATCTCCAACGCCTTCGCAAATTAGGTAACTTTTGCGTCCAATACGGAGAACCAAGATAAGCCATTCATGTCACTCATCTCTGATCTGTGTCCATCTGAATGTATTTTACTAGGGAACAGATTTGGAGGCTGGATAACGAGCTGGCCCAACAATTGAGACGCTACCAAGAGCTTCGTGGGAAGAGGCGAGGCGAAGGTCCAGATATACCTCCTTCCTACGAAACTCTGTTCCCCATTCCCCCACAACAAGCATCTTCATCCAACAACCACAATGCTCACTGGAGAGACAATTTCACACTCTTCGTCTAAATCCACAATAATCTGCTCAAATGAAATAAAAATCGATTTGATCTCAATTTCTAAGTGCATAATAATATGTGTTATCTGTATTTATTATGGGTATATTGCAAATCTATACAAACATTGCTCCAATACATTTTTCAGACTGTACATGCTGCTGTTTATGCTTATGATTCTGAGTTCATAAAAATCGCCTAAACGTTGCATAGGTCAATACAAACTTTGTATTTTGGACCACAAGCTAAGTTACTTGGTCAGTAGTTGGATTTGTACACATTTTAAGTCGCCGTTCAAATTGTTATTTTTTACTTTCATGACTTCTATGGACTCTTGTCTATCTCATCGTCGTGTTGATTTATATATTATACTCTCATCTGCTGCTGTGCTCTTAATGAGCCATTTATTTTCGAAACCATGCTGGAAGAACTGCATACTTGCATATTGACTAAATGCATGTGGGCACATATTGTGTATTATAATGTGCATTTTATGTGACCACTACACCACCCAGCTCCAAAAATGTGCCCAGTTCATATACTTACGTTGTCGGCTGATTAGAAGAAGAAGAAGGAGCAGATAAAAAGAGGACGAGCAGATCAGATCACTCTTTAAGACGGATCGTTGTTCATCTCTCCCGTCACACGGAGAGCCCCATTAAAGGAGATGGCTAATGACGATGATGCCTCTTAATGAACCACCAACTCCGCTTTATTTACGCCACTATTTCTTCACGAGGGCATTAACTAACATCAGGATGAGCCATTTGATTATGTATTCAAGACTTTCAATAAGAGCTCTTCGTCTTTTAAGTATTATTCAGTGCTAGCCATCCATGAATGCGAATGCCTCCTCCAGCAGCGAGCACTGGCTGAGGAAGAGTGATGAATGCATTTTCAAACGGATTAAGAATTTAGGATGCATACTTAAATGTTAATGGTGTCAGTTTGTGCATTTTTCTCGAGCTTGCCTTGCATCCATCCGATATGAGACGTCGGTATGATGGAAATGAGCAAAAAACGAACACGACGTTGCTCAGATGGATTCAATTTAGCAATGGAATAATGGGACTCGACTGAAGAAATACAGCGATGAGACTAATCTCTCCGGTTTGAATAAAACATTAAACCATCCAATCTATTCATTACTATGTACGGGCCATAAAATCCTGAGAAAATTTCCACCTGAATCTTCGCCACTATAAATAAATGCACAAGGAAGGAACATGCACACGCCACCCAGTATCAAATTCATGTCTCTTGGTAAAGTATAGTTCATTCAAATTGACTTAATGATCACCCAACTAATATAGTTATCTATGTAGCAAATATTTTAAGACTAAATTGATTTGGAATATTTGGAATATTTTAGAATTTAAAATGTACGTACTAAAGTTTTAAACTGTGAGACAAGCTTTGCCAACACCAAAATTGTGTGCGTTGGTGCGTGAAGTGAATGTCTCTGCATTCATTTTATCTTATTCCTTGCAAACCACGATGATTACATTAAAAATCGTTTATCACATCCACCAGAGATATGTGCAACGGACGGACGACGGCAAAAAGTGGGTGAGTAAAGCGACTCAACCACTACATGACTTTCGACGCATTTCCATGTTTTATACCCCGAGGGATGTTTTTGTTTCTTTACAAACTCCTTCGGTCGTCCACTTCTCCGCCAAATGAAGGGCTGGTGGTGAGCCCATGGATTTATTATTTTGTGGAGAGAACGGGAATGATGCAGTCGTGTTTACGCACTCGCCAGAGTTGGTTATTAGCCGACCCCACGCATACGCCACCGTAGTTGCAGCGTTCGAATAATTACCTCGTTCGGCTTTACCCATCTCACGCACAATATAACCATTATGTGGTGCAACAAAATTGCAACTGCACTGGTGTAGAAGATCAAACGTATAAATACCTATTGTGAAGATGATTTTTGACTTTATTGTGTCGCTGGGAATGATGGGTTTGGTGCTACTGACTCAAAAATGGGCAGTTGGAGCTGATCCTTCTGACAAGGTCAATCAACTTCGACATTCGGACTCGGATTGTAAGCTTATTATAATAGACAAAGTTTGGGTGGTGGGAACAAAATTAACTGTCATAGATTTAATTTCATAACGTGTAGCGTCAGTGGAGCTATTGACCTGGGGTCGAGATACGATCATCCACCGTGGTCGAAAGGACATATACCTCTCCCACTATCCACCCCAAAATTCTGTCGTCGTCCTCATTGTGAATGATGTGCCTTGGACGAAAGGAGACCTACGAAACTTGTCCGGAGAGTTCACGGTCCATGCTCCTCAGAGACACGGGATTATGGCCGTAGTTCAGGTCCTTTACCTGCGCAGTGGAGGCAATGACCACTGCATTGACTATATCCAGGCAGGAAACAGGAAGAAAATATGAAAGATTTACATATGTAGGTATTTCCGAGTTGACAATTGATAATTTCCAGTTCTACGACCCAATCACTGCTCTGGGGTCGCCAAAAACTTGTGGAAAGCTGAGCAAGGAGAACAAGGCATTTTCTCCACCAGACGTGGTGGGGGCTCGTGTGTTCAACAGCCCTTCGGGAATGATGCAGGTGGCGTACAGGTCGGCAAAGGGGGACCCCACCTTCCCAATCGACAAGAACTACGATCTTTCCTTTCACATGGTCGAGGTGGTATTCACGGCTTACAAAGGTAGCACTCTTGCTGCTCTTTCGAACATCTTTATTGAGCTTTATTAACCCAAGTTTTTGTTACTCTCCATTCACAGAGTGCAACTTTGTCACAAATCATGACAGCCATAGTCGGTGTGGTGACGCGTGCATTGCTTCCACGGTTTTCTGCGACGAGAGGATCAACTGCGGCTCACCTGATGAGTTTGCAGTGGACGAAGAAAATTGTCCGGGTCAGAATGACAGTGATGGTCACATCTTCTCCCAACACGTAGGATCATTCTTGGTCAGTATTTATCTTGGTGCGGGGATCTTTTTTACGATTCTGGCAGCAGTGACATGCTACCATCAGCACAAGGCGTACCAGAGGATCAAAAGTATTCCGCATAAGTGATGTGCATGATCTCCTCAATAAGTAACACTTTCTCCTTTCCTGAAAATAAATACACAATTGTCGCCTTTTTCAAATTAATTATGTGTTCAGTATTTCAGCAAAGTGTTAACAGAAAAACAGAAGAATAAGCTTTTCAATTCCACAAGAATATTCAATCCCGTCCTGAGTAATACTCGAATAAATATTGCAGGAACAAAACTGTCGAACATCTTGTATGTATTTGAACAATGTATGTATGCAATAATTAAAATACAATAAATTTCAGTTGTATTTCGGATAATGCGAAATTAGTGCAATGGATCCCTACCACTAAAAAAAGTAGTAGCAGCAATCTTTGGTACAACTTTGGATTGCTATGTGGCAGGGATTCATGGCATATAAAGTCGTTAATTTATTTTAGATCGTCTCCACGTAGAGCGAGATCTGATTCTTTGTAGTCATTATTTCACAAAACATACAGACACAAAATACACTACAATACAATACTTTTTAGTGTTCGCATTGATGTTTAACATTTACAAGAAATCTAAGTTGTATACATGATAAATAAGAAGGGGTTTAATTATAATTATATTAGTATTAATTACGACAACAAAGTTTTGGTACAGGTGTGATGTACGTCATAAACTTATATTAATAAATGCCACCTGTCTCTGACAAAAATTTTGGGCAGTACAAGAGGAGAAACAATGGTAATGAAAAATACTTACACTACGTGGCTAAATTACGCATATGTTAAGCTAACTTTACGTTTATGAGTCGGTTTTGTTTTACTGTTACTACTATTGCTTCTACTGTTACTGCTGCTGCTGCTGCTGCTAGGGAGGGTAGACTTGGTGGTACTGGTCGTCGTGCTTTTCGAAGAAGATGTGAGCCTAGTGCCTTTCAATGCTTCCGAAAAGATTCGACTCGGGGCCAAATGCTGACCATGTTGTTGGGCTTTCATCTTTTTCTTGATTAGTTTTGCTCTCAAATCCTCCTGTTCAGGTTCCGAGTCTGGTTCCACATCCACCTTGATGTTTGTAGGACTACCGGGGTCATGATCCTTGTGGCGAGAGGGTCTTTGGTTGACTTCTGTTATTATCGTGGATGATGATGATAATGTAGTCCTACTTTGGTCTTCTTGGGATTTGGGAATCGTTATTTGTACTTTACTGCTGCTCGACGTGGTTGAACGGTTATTGTTGTTGGGTGGACTTGGACGAGGGGGTTGTTTCCGATCATCATTTCTCTTGTTGCTGGATGACTGCTGGAGTCGAATCTTCTTTCCCTGACTCCCTTCAACGTTCAGAGGTTGCTTCTCTTGGAACTTGCGCCTTCGCTTCTCCAACACTTCCTGATCCACGGCGGAAAGAGAGAGTAGAGGTTCAGGGGAACTGGAGGATTTCGTCGTCCTCGCATCTACCAACTCTGAGGACGATTTCTTATTAGCCACAGACTTTTTCGGGACATGCTCCTTATCACCTCGCGAGGTAGTACTTGCTGCACCGCCACGATTGGTATCATGGTGATGGGTGCTTCGTTTTTCTCGGGATAAGCTCCTACTCCGACTTCTTAGACGCCGAGATGAAGATGAATTGGTATGGCTATCTCTTTCTCTTCTACCCGAGCCCGAGGGTGGTGATCGTAAAGGTCGGCGAGGCGGTAGGTCATCTTTAACACGCTTCAATGGTCTGTCTAATTAAAAGGAGAACAAGCAGCAAGTTTTTTTAAATAGTCATTGTTAATAAAGATAGATTAGAATAAAAAAGGCATACGTATGACATATGTACGGTTGCTCACAAATGGGATAAATTGTATACCTCTTAAAGAACTATCTGTCATCCTAGACGATGGAAGATCTCGTTCTCTCGAGCTTGATCTTCGACCACCTCGGAAATCTCCTCCTCTGTCCCTGGAACGTGACTTTCGCGTGGTGGGTCGTCTCCTCATCATTGGAGACCTTGACCTGCTCCTCATCATACGCGGTCTTCTGCGTGGTGGGAGGGGGGAGCGAGATCGTGAAGAAGCTCTCGTATGATTAGGTCGGAGATCTCTCTCTCTGCTCCTGGATCGACGTCTATTGGCCGCACCTTCATTTTCGATGGTGGTAGTAACTTTTTGAGGTAGTCTCACTTTTAATGTTGGCAACCGTTGTGTGGCATCATTCTCTCCCAAGTCGTCTTCATACAGTGAATATCTGGATGCGACGGATAGGGCGTCATCGTCTGAGGAACTGTAGTCAGGAAGTTCTTGTTCTTGAACTGAAATTGAATCGTCTTGTTAGATAAAGTAAATTGAATTAAATTAGAATTAGAGTTATCAACGATTAACTTTAATCAAAGTAAATTAAATTAACCGCTTCGCTCCGGAGAGGAAAGTAATTTAAACATATTTACCTTCCTGCTTCACAGGAGAAGGAGAAAGCGAGGCACGTTGACCGGTCGTAGGTGAGGTGCCTAAAGAGGAGGAGGAGTCTTCTTCGGACATTATGACTTCTTCGATAACCTCATCACAGTCTGAGTCGTCCATGTCGATACCTTCGGCTGTAAAACAACAAGATCCATGTGGTTAAGACCTGCCTTTCCTTAGGCGATGAAAATTCAGCCAAAAATATGTCCTTATCTCACCAACAACAATTTCTTCCATAAGCCCAGAATCAATGTCTGCGAGAAGGTCGCTCCGTGTCTGTATTTCAATAAGATTCCTATTGTGAGGCAGGGGACGATGTTGAAGGTTTGGTGGTTGCTGCAAAAACAGATCGGCGTTAAACAAGTTGTATTATTAACCTTTGACTACGTTTTGAATATAGCTAATAACAACTATTTGCTTACCTTTCTACTGGCGGAAGCCATCATATTGGCCCTGTTGCGCTTAAGTGAATTAAGCGCTGCTTGTCGTAGCATTTGCAATTCGAAATCATCTTCGTTAATACCCCCCATCGTCACAAGTAGGTGATTCAGCAAGTTCTATCTTCTTTAAAAATTCAGGAATGTCACAAAGTACACAATTCGTTTAAACTTGAAACTATCACTAATTATTTTGAAATATATGCTTGATATTTTAGACCTATCGTAAAACTATATTAGTCTGAAGTTCTTATTAACTATACGTTGACTATTTGTAATTTTTAGACACCGCACACTGCAGAATTTTGGAGGTGAAAGTGTTTTTCTTTGGAATGAAAGTTTCTTAAATTTTGTGCCTTCTTCTGGCGCAGCACTGGCTGAAGAGGTGAATAAGGCGAAGAACTGGTTTTGTTGGGCTTTTCAACCTCTCCGCGCCTCCGTCCTCCACTGCTCACTCTCCCCCAAAATCTCAATTTCCTTCAGTCGTCTGTCTCGTCTCGTCGTCGTCTCAAAGGAGGTCGTAGGTCAAACACTGGCGACACGGCTTCTGCTGGCCTTTTCCCAGTTGAGGACAGAGTTCTCTTCAGAAAAGACACACACCAAAGGTGTCCCTCTGCTCGAATTGAGCTAAAATTGGCTAGAGAGCAAGTTGAGATTTTGTCTCAATTTTACCTACATTTGTAAATACATTTGTTACATCAAGTGTCTCAAATTTCATAATGCAATCTTGGATTGATTGAGATCTATGATTGCATCCTTTGGAAAACGCAGTAAAATATTTGTTCATACTCGATAAGCTCCTATTTCCTAATTTGAAAGGCGTAGTTTGGACATAATGGCATATGAATGACACAGTTCTATGCATTTGTTAGTTTAACAAAGTCCGAACAAATCCGGGTAGCAGTAGTATGAATCCGGGAGATTTGGAGCACATGCGGAACCAAGAGTGTCGATGATATTAGTGTACAACGACCTACCAATGGTAGGCTACCATGGTGGATACTTCAAGTCGATTAACAACAACAATTAGTTAACCTTTGCAAATATATCGTAAAGTGCCAGCGTAAATAATATTTTTCTCATCCATGGGTCAATTTACAGCAAAAGTTGAACCGTTCCGACTGCGCATTTCATCGAGATGGAAAGTGGTTTCCCTCTCAATACACCTCGATTTCGATCTCGATCTCCATCCGTAATCAATAACCAACTCAAATTACTAATCGCTATATTGCTCGCTTATCGTATTGTGTAGCTTTTACTGGTCTATTTTTTACATACGTTCACAGAATTAGCTCTTCAGGACAAGCCACAAGATCTACTCACCAGTCACCACACCATTTTCTATAATTCAACCCCTGAACAATTCGGCTTCAAGAATTTAGATTAACAAATTGTAGCATTTATTTTGACCCGACCTATAGCATAATCCCACTTGTCTGTCCTTAACCTTATCCTTAGTCATAAAAATAAGCATTGTGCCATTTTTATTATAATAATTGCTTGGCGTGCGTTGTGGTGTCTGCAATAAAAATGTGGCTTTTCTACTGTTGGGTCAATGAATTTGATAAGAATTTCTAAACTTCCTGAAGGGGTGGGAAAAACCACGACGAATAGAGCGAGCACACCGAAGTGACCTGCTCGATATCTTTCACAAGGTGATCATAGCATAAGGCATACATATATCCACTTAAATATTATGCAGGTTTCATGTTCATATCATTTTTTACTCATCAGTACTCCCAAATAGGAGCGAATGGATACCGATTTATCAAGTCCACCGACTTGATTACCAAGTACTTTGGCCTTCTCAGCACAGCACAACATGACCAAAACACGGTGGAGTTGTTGGCCGGAATCATCGACACTTCCAAAGATGGGTACATATCATTTTCCGAGTTTGTGACATTCGAAGGCCTCCTCACAGGTAGCCAACATAAACATTACTACACAGAAATAAGTGCCATGGCTAAAATACGAATAAAATTTGATCAATTGTGTCCATTTAGTACCGGATGCCCTCTATTTCACTGCATTTCGACTCTTTGACACGAATGGGAATGGGAAGGTCACCTTTGACGAATTCAAACACGTCATCAGCCACACCACTCTCCAAAAGATGATGCCTTTCAACATGAATGGCAATTTTGTCCGAATGTACTTTGGGCGGAGGAAGAATCGCGTGGTCACCTACGCCGAGTTCAGTCAGTTTCTTCATGTAAGTGCATCGTGGTATTAATACCACATTTTTTGGTACTAAATATTAATTTGCTAAGTAGGACTTTCACGAAGAGTATGCCACCGAAGCATTTCGAAGATTCGATCCCGACTGCAAGGGGACCATCCCCATCTCCTCGTTCGTGTCCATCATGACCAACCTCCGCTCCCACTTGGTCCAACCGAAAGTGGGGGCTCATCTGGAAGCCGTGGCCAGGCAGCTTGGGGATGGAGAGTCGGTCTCCTATCCCTTTTTCGTAGCCTTCAACTCCCTCCTGAATAACATGGAGCTTATGAAGAAAGTCTACCTGCAAGCTTCACGGGGCCTGCCATCCACCGAGATCACCAAACATGAGTTCCTTTCGTCGGGACAGGTTATGTCGCAACTGACCCCACTCCAGGTGGACATCCTCTTCACAATCTCTCAGCTCATCAACGACTCTCCCACCCTGATCCTCTCTGACCTCCAGTCCATCGCTCCAGAACAGTACTACATCAAAGTGGAGAACAGGGTGCTGGACATCAAAGCGGTGCGAAGTCCGGAGGAAAGAGGGTATTACGTGGAATTTCTCGAGTCCGTGTATCGGTTCTGTATCGGACTAGTCGCAGGATGTGAGTAAACTTATTGGCAGAATGGGCAATAATTCGACTCACTTTAAGAATTTGGGGCCTCGAAACCCATCTTTTCAGTGTTTGAGTCTGTCCCAACGTATCCAATGGATCTTGTAAAAACGCGGATGCAAAACCAGCGGCCAAGCAAGCTCATTTCGAGCAAGATCTACTCCACCAACGTGGACTGCCTCCTCAAAATCCGGCATGTCGAAGGGATGAGGGGCCTGTATCGTGGCCTCGCTCCACACGTGATTGGATCATCCCTGGGAAAGGCGTTTAAATTGTCGGTGAGCTGATTTACTTAGAAAAAATGGATGTGGAGACAAAAAGTCTGGAAGTAAAGGTTTTTGTTCATTCTTTAATCACCCAGATGAATGATTGGATTCGGGATCATTTTATGAACCGAAAAGGGCAGGTTCCCTTCCCCGCAGAAGTTTTTGCGGGTGCGTGCGCTGGGCTTTGTTCCGCAATTGTCGTAAATCCGCTCGAAATAATTAAGATTCGAATGCAGGATGTCGGTCAGCTTTTTCCACATTCAAAATTCAGTATGCTTAAGCTCATTAGGAGGTTGGGATTCAAAGGGATGTATCAGGTGGGCATCATATCAACTACAAACGAAATATATTTTGGGTTCCAAAATTTGTGTGTATGTACAAATTTGATGAAGATTCAATAATGTGTAGGGTATGACGGCCTGTATGATGAGGGACGTCCCTTTCAGTGCCATTTTCTTTCCTGGCTATGCCCACATGAAACTCTACCTTCAGGACGAAGATGGTTACAACAGCCCTTTTTCGCTTCTTGTAGCTGGAGCCACCGCGACAATTCCAGCCGTACCAATTTCCATGCCCTTTGACGTAATCAAGACCAGGCTTCAGGTGGGTGGGATTTATATCTACCGTGATACTTTAATAGCCCCTGCTACAAGGTATCCACATGTGTATTTTCTTCCTCAACGATTATTTACAGGTTGTCCCGAAACCGGGTGAGATTGTCTACACGGGAACGTTGGACTGTGCTCTGCGCATTTATCGGGAGGAAGGGTATCGATCCTTCATGCAAGGGACACGAGTTATCAAGCCCACTCAAGTTGGACTCGCTCTCCTCGTCTATGAAGTACTGCAACGCTGGTTCTATGTCGACTTTGCTGGAACGTGAGTCCCACCTGTGCCTTCAAGCGGACATTATTATCGTATAAACAACGGATAAAAATAATAATTGGTTATCAACTTTTCTAGGAGACCCACTGGCTCCGAGAAACTCGTACAAATTACAAGCGTGGACCAATTGAAGTCAGAAAATCCGGACCACATTGGAGGTTACGCCCTTGCACTTCCTATCCTGGCCGGCATTGAGTCAAAATTCGGACTTGTCTTTCCTAAATTTAAAAACCAAGTTGTTCATCCTCTCATTTAGTAAAGAAAATCAAACAGGGTAATTTTTCCTAAGTCATCTTCATCTGTCCTAAAAAAGATAATACTCGCTTACTCACTAGAGACACTCATATAAGTTCTAAATCCAATCGTGTTCAGTAATTTCTAAAGCAAATAAAAGCACGTGAAGGTCAAGTCGGTGAGAAATCTCGAGGTTATACTGATACATGTACATCTTTGAAAAAAACTCTTTGAGACTGATCCAGCAAAGCAAAATCGAATTTAAAAACGAATTGTAAATTTAAAATCATATTTTTTCCGTAAATTTTTATTTCCTAAAAAATTCAGTGACTGGGATGGGGAGTGACGTACATTCTAAATACAATATATTCATGAATGTGCATTATGTCGCGATGAATGGAGATCTGTAATTAAACTATAAGCCAACGAATGAATATAATTGGAATCAAGTAGAGCGAAATATTTCAGAAACTTGACATACAGGATACCCTACGCAGGTGCGAAGGAAAGCAGTAATTGTCAAATTCATTTCTCGTTATTGTGAAATATATTTATTGTATCATGGTTAAAGTTCGCTTTTCTTATATCTACTACTTGGTGGGGGTACGTCAATGGCTGGATTTTCCAGAAAGAAGTTGTAGGGCTTGAACGAGAATCCCGTGTGCCTGTACACCATCAATAAGCCATTATAATGCCAATGCGACCAATTATTTCTCTTTAAATTAATAATAAATTACAAACTTACTCTACTGGCATGACGGGCCAGTCTAAGAGATAAGAGAAACCGTAATTGAAATTATTGCATATGTATGTCATCATTGGGTTACCTATTTTATGAATATTATTGCGTACCTTCCACCCTCGGAATGTGTGTGAGCCCAAACATGTGAAACAGAACAATGTCCCTGTTTTCCACGCTGGCGTCTGGATTCCTCCCGACCCATTCTGTCAGACCGCTATTGTTGAGGTAGAATCCACCCGGAAAGAGCTGATCCTCTGCATAAGGCAGCACCCAGACGTCATAGTCCAGGAAAGATGCCTTTGGTCGGAGTGGGCTATTTTCCTTCATCATGAGAGGGGGCGTGTTTGGTGGGACGAGTTTCCACCCCTTGGCTTGTCCCGTGTAAGGATGTGCCATTGTAGGATTGTTAACCACCCAGACTCGACCTATCGACAAATATATGTAAAGTGAGCGTTACATGCGTAGGAAGTTGGAAAATTACAGCGTGTACATACCACTGAGAGGATCAATCTTGGTCCTAGCTGTCGCAGCTGTCTTCAGTTCCGTCTTTTTCGTAGTAAACCCTTGTCCGTAAGGATTTCCTGGTGATCCGGTGGGGTCAGAGACTGAAACAGCGTCCGAAGTATACACCGAATTGGGATTTCCATCAATCTCAGTATCCAACCGAACAGCGAAAAAGTGCTGGTGGTACTGCCCATCGATTTGCGAGGCGACGAGAGACCCATATCCTGCAGGAGTCGCCCCTTGTGCCAACATGTTGGACGAGATGATCCCGGTGAGTTGGATTTGCAGTTGAATGGTCCCATCCTGGTAGAACTGCCACATGAAAATGTACTCGTAGTTGCCCACGGTGGCGATGAAGGAGAGGACCAGACGATGCGACCTTGTGACCACACCCTTCCCTGTCCTGAAATCTACGTGCTTCCACAGAATACCGGCGTCCTCTTCCCTTATCTACATAATTCCACAGCACTGAATCCCGTATACTGAAAATGAGTACTAAATATGTGCCGTACCGTAATAATCCTGGGATAGGAGACAGGGTCGCCCGTCGAGTTATTCAGCACTCCGTCAATAAAGACAACCGCTCCCACAACATCCTGATTCAGAACTTGACGATCTGCATTGAACCCAATTCCGTACTCTCCTAGGTCGAAAACAGCTTTGCGATGGTAGGGTGGCCTGCAATTAGGACATAGGTGACGTATATGTAGATTTGTATAAAACTTTGCAAAAATAAGGTCCCAAATTAAGTCACCCAACCGTACCGAGGATCACCATAAGGGATAAACATCTCAGCTAGCGATGCCCGATAGAGGACTGGGCGAACGGTGGCGTTATCATTGTACGACACGGTGTGGATGACCATTCCTTCTCTGCCGTTGAAACTGACACGCATTTTCCATTTTTGCCACTGAATCTGATTTCCTTTGACAACGTATGAAGCTCCCTGAGGGGACTCCACCTTAATAGGCTTGTCGTCTTGGCGGAGGAATTTCGCCCCACCTCGCAGTTTGTAGTCATAATTGGCCTCAGCGTGAGGAACCACATTGCCAACCTTGTTTCCCGCATCAAAGTCGTCGTGGGTTGGCAGCTCTTCGATCCCAATGACCACTCCTTGAATAAGGTCCACGATCGGGAGGAAGTCAAAGGGATGTGCTACGTCAACATTAAACTGTTAGTGAGTTGGATTTATAAGTAACATAAATCAAGTGCTAACGCACCATAATGGTTGTCATCTATCGAGTGTTTCCCATAAACGTAGAGCTGGACCAGCCTCTTTCCTTGATATTCTGGCCGATCTCCAACATAGCCCATGCTCCAAGGGTCCGCATAAACAAGATCCATATCAGGAAACCCTAAACTTGCACATCTCTTTTGCACCGTGGCATCTGACCGAGTAATCACCTGCACTCACCAAGGAAGACATACAAATATAAATTGATAACATGGATAAGCCCATCGACTGGGCATTTGTATACATGAATCCCTCGTAATCCCTCACTTCTGCTCGGAGCAAATCCTCGGGACTAAGGGAGGGCTGCACATTATGAACTTGCACCAAACTCTCGACCTTCTTGGTCTTCAGATTGACCACGGCCTCAAACACGTTCCCGCTCGATCGCTCGATGAGGACAGAGAAACTCTTGCGGGGGTAGACGTCGGCTGGGGGGTCCTTGTTGGAGAGGAAGAAGGGGAGCAAGACGTCCTTTGGTGGCTCCTTCAGCGTGATCCAATTATAAATGAACCGACGAGTGGGTTCTGCACGTGACGCAGCTGAATAATTTTCTATGATTTGGGAGGTGGACGTGATCTCGTCCGCGGTCAATGGATCCAGAGGGTCTGAGCCTAAAAATATCAAAAGTTACGATTGTATACTAGCATTTTATAAATTGTTAGAGGCAAGCTGAGAGCAAATTAGGCATGCAATTCTCAATGCATCTTTTAGTTATTAAATTTTGTTGACAAATGTGCTGCCTATGTCATTAATTAAGATTCGGCGATACCAGTTGGATATGGGGTGGGGGTGGTGGTCGGGGTCTTCGTGGTGGTTACTGTACGTGTTGATGTTGAGGGTAGAACTACGTTCAGAACGAGTAAGTACAATCTCATGTAATTTCTAATTGCATTCTCATTCGCAATCTTTTTAGCTAAATTTATTGACGTCGGATTACCCGTTGAACGCGTGGTGGTGGGATTGCGTGAAGTGCAACAAGCTGATAAGAACCCTTGACACACACAAGTCGTGGATGGATCCGGGTCGTAAGTGTCCCCATTTTTCACGCACTTGAAAGAAAACTCTGTAGACCGCAACGAAGAATGAGCGACATGGAGTTGACGACAATAAACTGATCAACAAAATCCTGCACAGAAGACTTACTGATCGCCCCCTTGCAAGTTCCGGCATCTTGGCGCAAGATGTTTTCACGGTTGGCAGAGAACACTTCTAGCGACCCCAGTCCACCATGGCACATCAGGAGACCGATTAGGAGGCATCTAAAGCTAAGCATTTTCTCAGTGTTTCTCGATTCCTCGAGCCACTACACCTCCGAGACGTTTATTTACTGGAAATGAATAGTAAGCACCGTCCTCAACCTGATGCTTCCGTCCTCTCTCCCATTTATGATTCAAGTACAAGTCCCAATTAGGCTGAATTATAAACTATGTTGATGGGCATTAAATCATTCACCTTGTCAAGGAATTCTGCTAATAGGTGGTTATAAAATTCCATCTGTGCGGTTTCTAATCCTATTATTGACACCTCGTAGTGCCATGATGTCATGATTTAATGCGAGCCTGGCTCATGCAACACAAAGTCTTTGCATTGCTTTGTACAAAATATCTATTTAAATACATCAAAGTCTTTCTCATATGCGCATAAATTGGAGCATGTCACTGGGTCTGAACTGCATGGTACAGTGTTTTCCTCATAATAGAGTTGGATATGTAATGATAATGGTTTTCCTCCAGATATTTTTAATAACTCTTCCACTCTTACCTTACTCTCAATAATCAATTAATTCATCCTTAATTTGTGGTTCATTGTTTTAATTACTACAAATTATTAACACAAACACTGGGTTAATGTGAAATGCACTTTTTCCTAAAACCAATTAGTGAATCAATAAACATTTATTTACGTCTGTTAATTGTCCTTCAAAGCGACAGCATGATTTAGCATATAGTGATAAGCAGCGTAACTTTTATTGACCTTGGCAGTACAGACAAAATTATTCAAGAAGAAATACTTTTCCATGTTAATCAGCTAAAAGCTGGTAAGGGCATAACATGTTTGATGATTTGCAAGAATCAGGGTCGCTTACCATCGGCACTTGGATGATGCGTGTCTTCTGGGGGAGTGGACGACGATGGTACGTCAATCTGGACAGGAGTGTCCTCAGCAACATCATTGCTACAACGCACGGCCGTAATTATAAGTAAGATGGCAAGTATCACTGTTCTTGGGACGCTTCTCACAGCAATGGACATAATAAATGTCCTGATAAATCAACTGCAGGCAGAGAACGAGACCAAAAACACACAAGCACAATAAATATTTCAGTCAATCGTTCTCGTCTGTTCATAAAAAAATATTAATTGTGCACTGCGTTCATTGTTTCATTTCCTAATCGTTTTATGTACGAGACTTAAATAATGTCACAATAAACCCTAGATATATTCTGAAAAGTTGCAATACTGTGAGCGTTGGAAATACACTGGTGGCTGGTAGCCATTGATGAAATGCTTAAATAGGTTCAGCCTCTTGAAACCCGACTTATATACTTATTGATGACCTGTTTTTCATTCATTAAATTTTAACAATGAACTTGCAAAGCAGAGAGCCATCATAATTACATCGTTCTTGCACAACGTTTTCCAGTCTCAAGCATTTCTTTGAAAGTACTGCGAGTATATTATATGTAGTACAAAACTAACTACACAACATTCTTTGCCCATCTACACCAGTACTTAAAAAGGGTAGGTTTTTGATGAAACTCGTACAAAAACAACCCATTAGACAACTATTTAACTGCAATTAATGTTGCTACTTGGTAAGAGTCATAAAAATTATTAAAAATAACCCTGACTGAAATGCATTGGTATATGTAAGTATAATGACTGCACCATGACCTTGAACTCATCGTCTGCCTCGGGGTCAACATCCATCCGTACAGAGAAAAGCGAGGATTATTCCTATCATATCTGAATACTCCTTAATGGGACAAGTAGTTAGTTAGTTGGAGGGCTTCACTTTACATCCGCATCGTCAGACTATGAATGGACAAAGAGACGAAATGTGCAGTGCAGTGGTGGTGGATTCGGAGAAAGTCGCTGCCGATCCTCTAAACGAAATGCATGTGGCCGACCAACTTTCTTTCTGCTAGTCTCGCCTCGGGTTTCCATCCTGCTCTCTCCGTATGTTGGACCACAGGGAAAGCAGCCTTACTCCACTGCCAGGTTTTGCTGTGGGAAAACGCGTGATCCCATCACGAACGGAACAATATGTGCGGTCCACGCAGACATTTTGTACATGACAAATAATAAATTGGCATCAAGCCAAAATGAAAGATTGGAATTTCCAAAAAATTATCGTCTCGTCTGGAACGATGTTGGAGGGATGGCATGTGAGGTGTGGATGCCTGTGTTTTCAGGAGAGGAGAAAGTTGTGGTGCTAATCTCCTGCTCCTAATAATATTCCTCTCCTTAACGCAATAAGCGCATCTGTCTGGCTGCCCAGTATTGGAAACCCATTCATCTTTCCTTTCTTCCTCCTCTCTCTCTCTCTCTCTCTCACCCAATTTCACAACATTCTCAACTTTCACCTCCGCAATTATTATAACTGCGATAACACAGAGAGGCTCACAACCACATATTCGCCCCCTTTTCGCTTACCTGTGTGCCTGCCTCCACGTCTTCTCGTTCTCGTCGTGAAATACATTTTCATTCTATTTTTTCATTTTTCTTTAAATTGGGTATACAATCTGAACCATGAACAGTTTGAGCCAACTTTCACCACCACGACCACCACCACATTTCTCCCTGGATGGAATCACCCTCCTCCAACAATTGGGACTGCGGCTCCTTAGTTAGCACGACATATAAAATAAGAACGGCACCTGTCTCATTAAAATGTGAACCGGTTTCAAACACTTGTTAAAAAAATGCAGCTTCTTGGGAACTAAACATACAGCAACGACAACATATCACGATGCGCACTTATCTCACTGACTTATTACACACACGCCCACTCACTGACCACTATGCTTGCTAAAATTTAAACTACAATTCACTCTTGAACTCGCCACTATTGCCACCATGTTTTTAACACCGACAAATCCCATTACTCACCCAAACCTGTGAACACAAGTGCACCTTAAGGGGGATTTGTACTCTTGGTAATCGGTGCTCCCTCTTCGCCTCGCCTCCCCACACACGCTATTCATATAAACCCATCTTCAAAACATGGACCACTTTCGCTTCAGAGGAGCTGTCAAGATCATCTCGTACATTGACATGGTGAGCAATACAGCGATATAGGACAGTAAGAGGTTGCATAAACTAAGTAGTCGCTCATGTTTAGAGAGCTGTGAAATTTGTAATCCACAAAACCATGTAAAGCTACGCACCCATATTCTGCAATTGTTTATTCGTCAACATAATACTTCCTTATATTCATACGCATAATAACATGGTTGTCTGCATCCCTGTTGCAGACATTTTCGCTGGTCATCATCGTCCTCACTGTTCTGGCGACCATTGGTAAGATAGTAATAACTGATCTATTAAATAAGATGGTAAGTAAGATGGTGATAATTTCCATCAGGCGTCTTCCTCGCCACCGTGGTGACTGAACACCACGAGCTGCGGCTTTTCTTCCTTCAAGGCAACACGAAACGACTCCAAGACGGTAGAAAAGCAATTATAGACTGTGAGCATGCAAAAACCCTGCAACAAAGACAAAAATTCTATTACGATATGTAATCTCAAATTAATTCTCGCTTCCTTTCAGTGGGTCGCACTTTCACCACAATTTGGATTCTTAGCTTCACATTCAACATTCTCCAGGTATCAGTGAGCTCTATGCAATCACTTTCTAATTTTTTAAATAGTTTAAAGGAAAGAACAGTTTAAAAATGCAAAACCATTTTTCTCCAGTTCTTTGCAGGATGTGCCTTGCTCAGGTACGTATTATGACATAATTGCTGTCATTTTGATGGTTTTATGTATCGTAGCATTGTTATCAATTTATTTTATTGGTCACAAGATAACTAGACTAATAAGAGAAAAGTTCAAATGAATGCATGTTAAGAAGACTTATTTTGTCCAAGGCTGAAACTCGACGCCGAGGTTAAACAAATTCTCGCGTTGCTTTATACAATCGAAATAGAATAGTTGTCACTCGTCACAAAACCTCTGCGCTCATTCCAAGTGAGCAGCGTCCCAGCATCGTGAAAAGCATGATAACTCCGTGCTACTGAAATCAGGGAGAAACTGCGTTGTTTATCTATACATATATTCTGATCTCCAGCAAATACTTGTATATTTTTCAAGCAATAGGATAATAAAACACATTCTATTGGAATACTAACATGCTTTTCTTTACTTCTTTTTCCTTGCGCCTCCTTCTCAGTGGAACAGACTTGGTGAGCACATATTGCTAGTATTATTGCTCAAATATGAATATTTGGGGATATTTCTGGGAATATATTTACTATGATACGAGAAGCTATGTACATATGCATGTATATTTATAGAGTTGAATTATTGCGACTTTCTCTTAATTGTTCCTCAATTGTGAATTATTGGCACTTGTGCTAACTTTGATGTGTCAACGTGTAACTTGTGTAACTTTGATTTAGGTGGAGGACGAGGAGGAAGAAGACAACAAGTCGATTCAAAAATGTCGTCTGTGGCAATGCACGTCCATCTTCCTGTTCGCCTTTATCGCCCTTTTGGTCTGGTTCCACCCGACGCCTTACCTCCTCGGTAATTTCTAATTTATAACACACAAAACTATACAGGGTATGTAGGCACATGAGTTTTATAGCACCTTTTTCTCACATAATGGTACATGTATCATGGTCATCATCATTGCCTTACTTGCTCATTTGTTTAATTCCATAGGTTTCGGGCTCGGCGAACTCATATTTCGCGTCGTGGGGATTTACTTTGTGGGACGTTATGTCAGCGAACTTGAGGAAGAAAATAACATCAACTCGTCATCCTCACAACTTTACTACTTTGATGACATCGATGACAACTTTCCTCCCCGCTAACACTGAGAGAAATTATCTTGGATTTTAATTAGCAGAGAATATGACTTCCAAATTTTTCGAAGACGGAAGAAATTTCTAGGAAATATTAAGTCAACATTGACACAAAGTAAATTGCAATATCAGGAGAAGGAAATTTTAACAGAAATTAGTGAAAACTATACTTAGCTCCGGGTGATGAACATTACTTGTTCAGGACGCATTCGCCTGGCGAATTACCTTATACCTCAGAAAGACATACTATTACGATTATTAGAGATATTTACTGGGAAGGAAAGTTAAAAGATTATTTTCAAAGTCTCAAATTTTCACGATTATTCAAACTACATAAATAGTTAGGACGACTTACATATTTAGTAGCAGAAACAGGGTCTCAAACTATTTACATCGCATCTCTTTCATCAACTTGTTGAATAGAATAGGTCGCAAATGAATCATTCAGCGTAACCGAGAAATAAATGTGGTACGGGCGTGAAATGCAGTGCGTGAAAGTTGTACCAATGTGTATTAAATCAGAACAGTAATAACTAAATTTTACTCAAGTAGCGTAGGAAAACCAATACGTAAGCAGACAGTGCTTACTAAAAGCATGGTTCATTTCCATCGAAAATTAGTGCACAAAGTAGAAAGGACATTTTGTTTGTGTAATCGATACATGTACACCAGTATTTTTCATGGTCAGTACTAAGGATAAGTTATGATAGGATTATCATCATAACACAAATAGCGCACACGTTGCCTCGTCGGGAGAAAGAAGTCAGGAGTCAACCCATAAATAACTATTCGTATGTATTTTAGCCGTCACTCGATTGTCTTAAGTAGAACCACCATTCTAAATATTTGTGATCTTGTATTTAGCAAGTCGTGCACATGTATTTATCTCATCTATCATGACTAGCATAGCATTATCAGTGAATTAGTGAATACCGTATAATTTTATATTTAAAACTGTCGATACAATTGTTGACGTAAAAAAATAAAAGATGAATAACAATTGCAAGTCAAGCATGTATTAGTAGTAGAATTTGAGTCGTGTCTCATACTCTTATCTGTGGCAAGGACTCTTTTAATACTGTGGATTTGAGTCGAGATTGTTGTATATCCATAAAAAACAAGCCCTGTGTCAACCACTACATACATCCGCAACCCGTCTCACTCATCCGGAGGAAGATGATGGTGACATGAGACGGGAAGGAAAAGCCACTAGTACATATGTGTAGATACTTGGTTGGTGGTGCATGTGGCATATCACTGAGATTCTCATCACACTACTTAACATGAAGCCCAATCTGACTCTCAATCGATCGATTTTATCCCGTGGCCAAGCAATTCCGCCTGTCAGTTCTAATGTCACACATTGCTGGAGACAGAAGGGAGGAGGAGGATAAGGTCAGACCAAACGATGAAGAGATATAAAAGTTGTGATGCTGTGAATGGGTGTGGGGGTGTCCATCCTCTGCTCCGTCCATCTGCTATGTATTGCATCACAAAGGTGAAAATGTCAGTCTGGTAAACACTAGGATTGAACAATGAATGGCATAGTCAATCAAATACATTGGATAAGGAGCGATAGAAGAGTAACGATCCTCCGTGTTTGCTCCACATCGAGTCTGGAATTTTTCACCCGTGATGTGGAGAAGTTTGAGGTTGTGATCTGATGATGAATGGATGGTGCAATCGGGGATGCGCCAGCCAGAGATCTCCCACTAGTTTCACCCATGAACTCGCTTTCTCCAGCTTTCTCCACCACCAAACACCCTGCTGCAGCCCAACATCCGGGCTGGAGACCCCCAGAAGTGGAGGAGTGAGTGAAAGTCGGAATGGAAATTCGGACTCATTGCGGAAAAGTGAAAGTCTTCTCGTTTCTCCCTCCAAATTCTGCCCATTCCCTCTGATTTTCTCCCACAAATCCAAATATTATTCAAATTCAGCATCACAACTACTTTGTATCCAGCATCGCACAACCACTGTCATGTTTGTCCACCATCTGCATGAGGTGATTTTATCCTCCTCGTTCGGGCTGGCTGGTTTTTGGGGGCTGCACGCCTTTCCCCAGTGGCGTTGAGTACATAATCTCCATTTCCTGATCTTTTGCTCAAAACGGTGGAATGCCTGGCGCTGGAGATAACCCCTTCGCTGGAAGAGTTGCCGTCAAAATCGTGTCGGTTTGTGATTTGGTGAGCTTTATTGCGTCTCCAATTTCATATGCTGATTTTATGCATAACAAATTGGATTAAACTCATTTGAATAAATTGTCATCAGTTATTGGCAGCCACTCTGCTCTGCTACTACGGCTATAAGTGGGCCATGTATGACGCCAAGGGACCCTTGGCAAAGGGCCCCATCACAGTAGAGTCAGGTACGCATACATGCATACACAGAAATATTGGCAGAAATCTACGTACGTAATGTGCCAAAATTATTTGATTCAGTGATCCGAAGTCAATACCTGCTCATCTGGATTGCCGTCATGGTGTTCCACTCGCTCCAGTTCATCATGTCCTTGGTCTTGCTGAGTTCTGCCTATGACGTAAGTACGAGAGTCTGTCCGGTTCCTCTTAAATGTATGATTTAATTATCCAGATGCGTTATTTTTCTTTATTTTCTGGTCGTTCAGAGGGACGCGGAGGACGCCTTGGGCAAATGTCAGCTCTGGTGGGGCGTTTCTTCTCTCCTCTTCTGGCTCTTGGCCATCGAGGCGATCGGGATGTTATACATGATTGTGGCCACTACCGGTATCCAGGCCGTGGCGATGACCGTCTTCATTGTTAAGCTAATATTCAGACTCACGGCCGTGGTCAATGTGAGAAATTTTATGAAAAACCTGAAGAAGGCTCCACCCACGTCGGTCCATCAAATGGTTTACATTCGATCCAAAACCAAAGGACCTCCACCCTCAAACTACATTCGCTACTAGAACACTTTGATATTTGCAATGGAGTATTCATAATTGGCAAAGCTAGACCGGAACTCAGCATCATCGTGCCGAATTAGTTATTCTAGAGCAAAGAGCTAGCCAAGGAGAAGGATAGCCATACGTACATATTTATTAGAGATGAGCACCTCTGATGGTTCAGCAATAAATAGTAAAGATTTAATAAAGTGAGAAATAAGAGACGAAGAGCAGACCGCAGATCCAGCCACCCTCTATGCAAACCAGATATCGAGTTTAACACTAGTATTTTAGAAATGACATAACTAATAAATAAATGTAACAAACTAGCTCAGTCGAAACCGTTGTACAATTAGCGTCCAATATTAGCTCGCAGTAAATAGAACATGTTGTGTTATTATGTTCCGCACTAGGAAAGAAAACAAGAAATCAGGGTAAAAGATTGGAAAAAAGACAAAATATGCAACTGTAGGCTACAACAATCTGTAGTATGTGTACTATTGTTGTATGTACATAATGTACATACAACATAAATATTAACTAAAAGCGGAAATATAATGCAAGAAAATTATAAGAAAAAAACCCAACCAATAATTTTCAGGCTTTCAAAGGATAAAATGACTTCTCTCCGTCCCCCAACTAAATACATGGAAGATAACTATTAATCGTGAATCAAATACGGCCACAAAGCTAACCCAAACTCCCAATAAAGAAGATTCATTCATAGTATGCTGGCATACGCGAATATTACAAATATAATGACATAATTTTACAAAGATGTGTATGCAGCTAAATAAAGAAATCTATGAGTAAACGGCAATCATTTAAAAACATGCGTATGAGTTAAATTATTGTTTAAAATGTATTAAGTAATGTATTAAGTTGCACTTATGCGCATGTCCAGGGGAATTAAATTAGTGTCTCTATACGGTCAATGTTATACATAATAAATGCACCAAAATACTGGTTTGATATCCGTATTAAATAGTTGTATTAAAAAGTTCCTGCAAGTTTTTTTTATTCATGCAAATTGTTAGATTTATGAGATAGATCAGCTCACCGTCGGTCGGATGACGGTCCAAGCCACAAATGGTGACTCACAATCGGACTGTAAAGTATACTAACGCCACATATTGTTATGTGGCGTCATACTTCCATGTATATCGTCATATTGTTTACTGCCTGCCTCGTCTTTCTTGCCATATAGATAAAATGGCACTGCTCGTATTATTATGACTTTTAGAATTGCTTCCTATATAATTGCATACTTGGGTAAATTAAAGTAAATTAAAATTATAAGTTATAATTTATAACTCTGCATCAGGCATCAGGCATGTTCATTGGACATTATTCGACTTGATGGGTTTGTGTGGCGAGGCTGGAGGGGAGACTAGAATCGGATGTTCTAGAATGATCCGTGGTGGTGGCGGTGTGGGAAAAATTTGCCTCACTCAAACCACGGCTTCCTCCTCGCACTCCTCGCTTCATTCTCTCTCGCTCTCTCGCCCTCTCCTCCACTCGGTCACTCCGCACCAACGACGACGACGACGACGACGACGACGACAGGTCATCAGCAACCCCTAACACATCCGCCAATATGACGACCAACGTGTAAGTCGCATTCCACTAAAAAATCCTTCCCCTAATTTATCACCTTAGCTCTTGCCATTGATGGACCATCATCATTCATCAAACACGACAAGCCAACAAAGGAATTCGCTGCTTGCAGAGTGTATTGTATTTAGGATAGGGCTGAGTAATTGGAAATTTCTAGAATTGATGATGAGTCCATACAATCCAACGAACCCCAGTCTGATCTGGTTTCACATCTCTAAAACGTATATGAAATACCAGATCAGATTTGAGATTTTCGTATTTCGAATCGAAGTTAGTAATTGTTTTGTTCATTTGTTTTTCACAGGAGTCACCCCAGCGTGATTTGGGCACAACGCAAGAACTGCGTGTTTTTGACCATCTGCCTTGATGATTGTTCAAACCCAGAAATCAAGTATGAAGGCTCCACCGTCTCCTTCAAAGGAAAGGGTGGTTCGGAGCAGAAGGAATATGAAGCAGTGATCGACCTCTTTGGTAACATCAACCCCGACTCCTCTGTTCATCTAATTAAACCACGAAACATTGAAATTTGTCTCAAAAAGGAGGAAGAAAACTTTTGGCCAGTAAGTCTAATAAATAATTATCTCATATCACATGGTGTAAATTACACCGTGTAATAGTGTTTCAACTTATGCTAAATCATGCACTAACGTCATAAATTATTATTTTCAGAGACTCACAAAATCTCAAGGTAAAATCCCTTGGATCAAGATTGATTTCAACAAGTGGAAGGATGAGGATGACTCTGAAGATGAAGAGGCAAAAATGCCAGGCATGGGTGGAATGGGCATGGGTGGTATGGGAGGAATGGGTGGAATGCCCGGCATGGGTGGTGGAGATCCTGGAGATTTCGAAGAGGTTTGATATATTTTTATATTCTTGCATTTTTTTATGGAAAAATATTGAAGGTGCTACTATAATTTTTTGTCTTGTTTCTTCCTTTTAGATGATGAGACAAATGGGTGGTTTAGGTGGTGGTATGCCAGGTGGAGGCAAACCAAGTTTAGACGACCTAGAAAATCACGAGACTGATTCGGATGATGAAGAAGGTCTCCCAGATCTGGAGTGAATAAAACTTAATAAAAAGAAGATATAAACTCCGTTAATATTTGATAAAAGGCGTCAACGTAAAATTTCCATTATATTTAACTGGTTTAACACGCCAATTACTGTTATTATTATTCTTTCCATTTATACACACCAACAAACAACAGCATACTAATAAGTTCTTTTTAATTCTTTATTATCCGGTGAATCTGGTCCTGCAAACACGTGTGGTATTGTTGTAATCGCCCACTTCCTATTCAAAATTGTTTCTTCTGAAAGCAACATAAATAAATATCATAAGCTTTGTTGTCCAAGTATCTAGTAATAATTATATGTAATGAATATATATGAGCACATTATCTTGCAAGTTTTTCCAATCAGTTTTGAAACCTTGTAATTTCCACATTTTTTAATAGGCAAAAGGCAGCAACGATTTTCCTTCGTGTGCACACCTGGCTGTCTACAACTTTTAAAATTATCTACGAGTGGCGTAGGATCGTTTTTTGATAGTATTGTGTTTCTGTCTTTCTGTCACTGTTGCATGTTGTATTTTTCAGTTGTTCACATTTGTCCAATTGATCGATCAGCCCACAGCGCCCTTATATTCTGTGCTACACTATTTATGTTACAATATAATATTGAAACAATGAGGAATGGGTGTGGTGATGGTGGTGTTGAGCTGAAAAGTTGGCAACAACACAACTTGTACCTTTTAAAAACTATTGTTCCCACATTCTGTACGTATGCAGTTATATATAATAATGCAGCACATATTCATACATTTTTGTAGTTAAGAGGAGGGTGAGAGGACACTGCGGTTGGACGGATGACAGCTTATATATTAAACTTACATAATAATAAATACCCAGCTAGAATTTGTTTGTAATAATTTGCACCAAGTCATGTCTAATATTTAGGAAACATTTTAGAAAACGTGTCCAAAAGTAATGTTTTCACTGGTTTTCAATAAAGATGAAAATATTTAAGAAGACATAATTCTATAAAAGTGTAATTTGTCATGCTATGTCGAAATTTTACCAATTACCTGCATTGAAACAAGTATCTACGCGTGTACTATATATTACTTACAGTGTCTGTCATTGAGCATATTCTTGTATTCTAGAAATGAATTATTAAATCATACTGCAACTCTTTATAATCTCGCATAACAAACAGTTCCTTTTATTAATATATATGTAGACGGCCTTTAACGCTTATAATTTGGGTCGCCTCAACAATTGCGACCTTTTTACATTTTCTTGGAGATTTACAAAATCCATTTGTATCGATTTTGACGGTGGAGTTGTGCATACAGACATGATTCTTATCCTGTTCTTCTGTAAAGATGATATACGTATTGTTCATATTGGCCGTGTGTGTGTGGTGAGGGATTTAAGGTAGATTTTGGTCTTGTTCAATTAGTCGGTAGAATCGCAGTACTCCCGACTGAGGCGATCAGTCACAGTAGAAGTAGAAAAGCCCAAAATTCGTGAGTCGACCTTCTGCATCTTATTCTTTTTGGTTTTCTTTCCTTTTGCCTAAGAAAAACAAAAGGTTCATATAGTTATACTAATAAAATGTTATGCGTCTTGGTGCTTTGCAGTATAGATATGTAAATTGTGAAATGGGTAAGCACCTTGACTTCTTGAAACTCGTTCGAATTGGGGTTGATGGCGGAAGCAGGCCGGCACAAATTATCCTCCATTGAGGAAGTTAATCCGTCCCCCTTGCGTGCATTCTTCCAACGGGATCTCCGTTCCAAGAATTCTCTCGAAAACTCCTTGGCTTCCTTCCCATCGCCAAGATACGACCGAACATAGTCTCCCACCTCGTAGGGAGATTCAACCTCTTTGAGGAAGGACACGAATGTGGGGATGTCCACGGAACCGGAAGCAATGGCCTGAATTCTATCTGAGCACCAGCGAGTAAACTCATCAGCGGCCTGTTGTGTCATCTTTGGTCGGTTGCTTCCACCTTTCTGATTCGTAGCGGCGCCGTCTTGTTGAACAGAAAATAACTTCATGAAGGAATCATCCGAAATTTCTTTGGTCTTTTTTCCGCCGGCTGGTCCACGATTGTTGTTATTGCTTGAAGAAGAAGAAGGGACAGAAGAGGGGAGAGGATTATTGCTTCCTTTCAGTTTCGACGCCATCGAGGCCATAGAGTCATCCCATACTCCACCTAATAACATTATATCGCACATCTTTACTGATCATTCTTATTTTTACTGTATACAATCAACTACAAAAAACAATTACCGTTCACTTTCTTGGCACTAGTCCCACTGCTACTACTACTTCCACCCCCAGTACCTGCCAGGGCTCGATCAGCCCAAGTTAGCTGAGCACTCCACACAGCTTGTTTTTGCTGCTGTTGATTAATTATGGCCCGCTTCTCACGCTCTTGGTCTTGTTGCTAAAAATTTAAAATTAAAGTTATCCTTATCGCCCTAATCTATGCATACAGTAATTAACTAATGAGGTTTCCCTTCCAAGTCCATACTAATGTTTGTCAAAGCGACGACAATAGCTAAATGTAAGTAAAATCAAATATGAACCTTTTGCAGCTTTGCTTGTTCTTCTGCCTGGATTTCAGTCAAAGATTTGATTGGAGCCTGTTTCGTTGGAGCCGCACCAGCGTTGGCGACCCATTTTAAATTGATGGCTTTCTGCTGTTGAGCTTGTTGTTGTCGGAGCTGTTCTTGTTGTGCCTTTTTCTTCTGGCTCGCTTGTTCTTTTTCTTGCTTTATTGCTTCTTCTTGTTGGATCTCTAACAGACTTTTGGATCCACCACTTCCAGCAACACCACCTGCCATATTTTGAGTAGGTTGGACGGTAGCAGTATTCCACGAGAATTGGGCTTGTTGTTGGAGCTTCAATTCACGTTCTCGTTCTTGACGAAGCTTAACTTCACGTTCAGCTGCGACCTGTTCCTTACGCTCCTTCTCCAGTCTTTGTTCCTCAAGCTTTTGCTGTTCTTCGGCTAATCTAGTTTGCTCCTAACAAAAAAAAATATCTCAAATTAGTACAAAAAATGCATAAACATTTTCACACAAAACTTGTAACCCACATCTCTAAGCTGGCGTTGCTGTTCCAACTGTTGTCTTTGGAGGTCTTTAAGACGTTGAAATTCAGCTTCCTCTTGTTGTTTCCGCAGTATTTCTTGTTGCTGCTTCTGGAGTAAATACTGTTCCTACAAATTTACCAAACAATTTAATATTTGCAATCCTGACCAATGAATAAGTAGCAAAATCATTCGTTGTATGTTGGCTATACCTCGCGAATTTTCCGTTGTTTCTCTTCCTCCATTCGTTGCTGTTCTTCCAGGCGTTTACGTTCATGTTCTATCCTTTGCTTATCTTCTAAATGTTTACGTTCCTCCTCCTCCAGTCTTTTACGCTCCGCTTCCTCCTCTTCTTTTCGCCGACGCAATTCTTCCTCTTGCTGCAATTGTGGGAATACACATCAATATCAACAATCCATCTAATTTTTAATAAGCAAATATTCTTTTTTCGTTCTTACCAATTTCGCCATTTGTTCCCTATACTCCCACGGGGTCTGGGTTGGCTGAGCGGCACCCCATTGGTTTTGGACTTGAGGCGTCTGTTGTTGTTGCTGAACTGAAGAATTGCCAGTCTGTCCCCATGGGCTTATCACATCAGGAGGCTTACTGGGTGTGGAGATAATCTTGTGCTGAGTATTTGCCATAGATGTTAACTGTTGAACTAAAGACTGAATAGGATCATTGACCACAGCTGAGGACGATTTATTAGAGGCGACATCCATCTGTACAACAACCAGCATAATTACTGTCATTTTCACTAAACTGATTATTATGTACAGGAAAGATTTAAATGACATACAGTAGGGGTGCTTTGTGAATTTCCCATCAAGTCTGAAAAATTATTTTTGTTTTGACTTTGTAACGTTTCATTGCCAGCGGTCTTGAGCTATCAACAAAAAACAAATAGGTGAATTTATTGTATTATTATACCTTACGATGTATTAATAACTATAGCATAATCTAAAGTAATATAATCAATCAACCCTTCGCATTATTTATACCTGCCGCTGATATAATGCATGCAATTGATCCATTGCACTTTGATCTCTATCCAACCCTTGAGATTTAGCCATGCTCATTAGTAATTGGGCTTGAATTTGTTCAGAGGAAAGGGACGAGTTGGAGGCTGACCGAGTTTGCTGCGGGGCAACAACTGGAGGAATACTTGAGCTCTGTGGTTGATGCCAGCTAGGATCCTGTTGCTCCTTACGAATGGCACCACCCCCACCGTGGTTGAGGCTATCAAGACAACAAAAAATAAGTAAGCATGCGAACAATATACATATGAATAATTATATCAGCTTCTCACTTCATCATATACTGTTGCTGTTCCCTCATCAGGTTTTGCTGTTGCAAAAGGGCCTGTTGCCTTTGTTGGTGAAGTTGAGCTTGAATTTGACTACTGTGGTCTAAGGCACTGGATGCATTGGGGTCCTAGACGAGCAGAAACATCCGTAAATATTAATCCGTAATTATTATTACCATAATTTTACGACTATTTATTATATCATTAATTTTAGTAATATTTTAATCAAATAATTAAAGACTTAAAGGTAAATAAATGGTACCTGAATTGGGGGTGGTGGCGGGGAAGAATCGGCAACAGCGAATGGATTTCTTCCATATACTTTGCCCATTTCCAACAACGTGATAAAAATCTTATCACATTCTCTTCGAAGTTGGAGTGAGCCTGAGAAGTAGCCTTGAGAACACCACAAACCCATCTAAACAAAGAACAAGAAAGCGAATTAGCGGACTCACATCAGTCGTAAACTGTGGTTATTACCTCATGTGTGCTAAACGGCCCTTGAACACTGCCTTGAGGATCACGATAAAACCAAACTTCCATCGATCCTGAGGGGGAGCTGGCTGGTTGATGGACAGTCACATTGGTTGTTGTATTTTGTGATGGAATATTCTGTGAAGGGTGATGTCCTCCCCCTCCAGGACCAGATCGGGACAGATCATTATGGGACGACTGCTGCTGTTGCTGCTTGTTTCCACCGCTGGATGACAGAGTTTCCGCTACTGACAGACTGGCAAGTAGTTGTTGCTGTTGTTGCGACATGGCGTTGTTGCCACTCGGTCCGCGAAGTCGCCGGGATGCGAGAGTGTCTTCTTCAATCAGTTTCGAAACCAGGTTCATTGCTTCTTCAGTCATGCTAGAATAAAAAGAAGAGGTTAGTTCTAAAGTTCTGAAGTTTGATTAATTAATTGGATTGGAATAGAATAAAACTATATATATATAAGAAATGTACTCTAAAGGGCATCTAGTTGGAGAATGGTATTGATTTTTGCAAGAAAATGAATTCATGACTAACGAGCAGTGGACAATTTTCACACAAAAATTTGGAATGGAAGAAATAGCTTTTAGAAAAAACTCACACCAAAAGGTCGCTCAAGTAAAAGTGCTGTAATAGTTTGCTCAAGTTGTCATATAAACATAACGGTCGCACTCACCTTCTATAGTGATCGTCTTCATTGTTGAGAGAGGGCATATTCGACTCGTTGGTGTTGGAGGAAGCTCTGAGTTCGCCTCCGTGAAGACCATGACCAGATGCGGCCCGTTCAACCAGAGACTGAGCATGCAGTAATTGTGATCTGGAGTCGTGGGAGGACGCCGTCATTTGGTGCTGCACCGTTTGAACACGTTGAATGTGATGTGATTCGGACGACGATAGGCCAATAAGGTGTCCGCTACGATCATGGGATTCCGACTCTAGTAACTGCTTCTGAATGTTTATAATACTATTCTTGGATCCCTGATGGTGATATTGTTGTTGTTGTTGCTGCTGCTGCTGTTGATGGGAGGAGTTGGACAGGGTCAGGAAAGGGTCACGGTCTCGACTCGTTCTGTTATTGGATAAGGACGACGAGTATTCGTCATGGTCGTCTCCGGCGTTGTTTTCTGCTTCTTCTTTCACCGAGGCAGGGATCACAGGTTTGACAGATTCGGTTCTATCTTGCACCCTCTTTTGTACTAAAAACGTAATGAGTTATTTATAAAACTGGTGCCGCATACTTTAATTATAGAATCAAAATACTTCATCATACCTCTGTCAGAATGAGATCCTAAGTGCTCAGATTCACCTCTGGATTTCAACAAACTATTACCACTATTGCTATCGCCACTGTTTTCTCCTCCTTTTCTATTGTCTGTCTCTCTACTACTTTTACTACTGCGATCCTCTCCGTGAAATGCGCCGCTTGAGTCGAACGTGCCGCTTTCCTCCGAAGGATTGTCTCGCGCCCTGCGCACAAGAAACACGTTAATCTAGTTAAATATCTCCCACACCCACTACTCCCAGTATTTCTTTGCAACTTGTGGATTCTTATTTTATAACCGTTCAACGTACCATTCAGGTATGTTGTCGTGATTCTCTTCTTCACTCCAGCTGCGATGAAGCCTTCTAGAGTTACTACCCGACCTATATTCGTCCTCCGCCTCGTCTCCCCTACGCCATCTTGGTTTACGCCAACCATCGTCATTCGTCCCCTCTTCCGACACCCGTCGTCCACCAAAGCTTTCTCGACTCCTCCAACTTCCACCCCCACGGTTACTCTCCTCCGGCCCCGCGACACCGGGTGGTCCACCCACACTTCCCACAACCCCATTACGATCTCCCCAAGCAGTTCTCTCATGATTACTCTGCACAAGTTTAAAATGCACACAAATTACACCATGGATGGATTAAAGACTCTTCTTCCTTTGTCTATAATCTGTATGAACCATACTTGAGATCTTTCAAAGTTTCTTGGTCTGGAAAAAGAACTACGAGGGTCTTCCTCTTCATGTGTTCTCGGACCATAGGTCGAATAACTTCCGCGACCACGACCACGTCCACGATCGATTCCACCACCCCGTCCGCGAGTAGCGTAACCTCGTCCGATCGGAGCTGCACCACCAGGGCCTTGTCTAGATGATTCAGGTTGAGGAATATGCCATATTCTCTGCAAGTGGGACAAATTCATTAATGTATAACTCCAAGATCTGAACTTATTTACTATCTATATTGTAGTACGAACAATTTCTTCTTCCGATGGTTGCGAGAATGCCAGAGGTGGTTGCATCTTTTCAATGTACAGCGTCCCAAAGGTCAGCAAGAACTCGGGAGATTCCAAGTTCTTGTCGTAGAGAGCCAGCATTTCCTCCCGGCTGTATCGATGTTCTGATTGTTTGAATCGGTTCGGATTTGAAGGTATGCCCGTCCCCTTGTTTGCCTCTCCCCCTCCTCGTGGAGACTGATGGTAGGACACGGGATGGAAGGACGAGGACGGGGGAGAGGAAAATGCTGCCGCCGCGGCCGAGTAGTTGTGATGTTGATGATCCTTGTTGGAATTGGAATGAAAGCCGGAACGACCTTCGGGTCCTGGACCCCAACCGGAAAATCCGAATCCGCGAGGAGGTGGACCACCCACACCGTCTCCACCTGGAGAAGTGCTGCTTGGACCCCCAGTGTTCTCCGAAGAAGACAGAGCTCTCAGCCAGTCCGGACCAAACTTTAACGACGCATCTCCAATCTTCGACTGCATTGGCATTGGTGACATATTGTTACTATAAAATCAAAACCAAAAAACATCTTTATAAAAAATTGCAACAGGATACATTGTGTATTACTGCTTATTATTACTGTATTCCTTAAATTGAGCCATAAGAGCTGATGTTTAGTAAACCGCTCATTTTCTTGTTATGATACCCAATAAGAGAATCATTAGAGGGGCTGTTGCCGTATCGAGCAAAGTGTCGTATTTTTAGACAAAGACAAACTTGACAAACCCACATGTCCCGACTAAGCAATCAAAGAAAGCGAAAGTGGTGGCGAAGCCGCCGCTTAAGACTAACACCACGGATAGACGAAAGTGGTGCTGTGGTGAAACTACTATTTACCTTTCTTACTTCACTAAAAAGAAGGTATTTTTAAACTATTGACTTATGAATGAGCAGATGAAAATAGATTAATAATTTAGGTGAAAAGATGATTTCAGTCAAGAGTCGTACCTTTTTGTTGGCATTTCAGTGTCAGCTCGAAGAACGTTTTCAAGTTCAAGTTTTATCTCTGAGGCAATGATGACACAGAGATAAATATATCAGCGACGATTTGTTAGCACTAAAACTCCTCCCAAAGAAAACGACAGCGTGTAATCCTCAGAACTTGATCCGAAGGAAATTAAAGCAAAAGAATTCGGGTAACGGAACTCGAACACAATTGAACTGTATATGAATGAATAAGTAGGGCAACATTAGAAACTATACCAGCCGTAAAAAAATAAACAATTAATCATTTTTACGTAATAAAGCTGGAAAAATTAAAATTGTCCAAGATCCCGGAGAGAGATGCGTGAAGAACTTGTTGGATTTATTTTTTACGTTATACCCGACGGTACGCGAACAGTTCAGGTCACAGAGAATCACTTGAATAACCACACTAAATACAGTTCACCATCAATCTTCTTGAATAAATATTCCCAGACATGTACTGGAATGACGACGATGACAAGTTTTGACAAAGCTGTGGAGACAATAACAACAAACAAAAAAGCGATGCGCGATGCACGACCACGAGTCAAAATTCAACCTTCATCCGCAGAGCACTTTTGTCCTGAACGAGAAATAACTGCAAATCAAAGAAACACAATAAGATACATGACAAAAATCTTAAATAAATGGCGCTGTAACTCCAACAAAAATTGAGCAATATCCAAACATTTCATAAAATCGAAACCCGGATATACTCACTCAAGCAGGAAATGTATAATGTCAAATATCAACCATTAAACAATCAGCAGGACCATGAATAACCTCTTTTGTACCCATTGTTAAAAGAATAAATGGGCAAAAATAGCAATCTTACCACAATGGAATCACTAACTTCTAGGAGAGTGACCTGATCTGATGTGCTCCCAGCCGACCCGTAATTTTATTTGCACACGCGAGGACAAATTTGCAAAAATTTGCACTAATTTCCCTTGAACAAGCACGTTCTCCTCTCTGCTGTGCCCGGAGGTTAGAATTTTGAATTCTTATTTTTTCAGTTGAGAATGGTTAGAAATCTGAAATATTTTCGTACTTGACTTGTGAAGGCAATCTGTTGTAGCGAGCGAGCGAGTGAGCGAGTGAATAATAGAAGAAGCGAGGAATTATTATTTTGCAAATAGTGTGTGTATCGACGGAGGAGCAGAAAAATCAAACTGAGAGTGAGACCAACCAACCAAATTTGAGATAGGTGGCGTCAGCCGTAGCGACGATGTGGTCCCACAACGGCCTCAGGTACGAGACCTGCCCCAGCCATCGAGCACACACTCGCGGCACCAGCTCACCCGGCCAACAAATTAACATCCTCATGACAAAACAGCACAAACTAACTATTATAAGAAACTAATTACTAATTGCCACCAACGTTATTTAATAATTTCCCTGGATTTCACTGGAAAATGCCGACCTGGGCTCAGATTTCGAGTCAACTGCGAGCCACTACCAACCCTGTCGTCTTCTTTGACGTCAGCATTGGAACAATGGTAAATATATTTGATATGTTTTGTATAAACTACACTTTTCGGTAAGGTTTGCAATAAATAGTAATGAAGCAAATTTTAATTCTGATTTCACATTTCAGGAAGTGGGTCGCATGATATTTGAACTCTTTGCAGATGTTACCCCAAGAACAGCAGAGAATTTTCGCCAGTTCTGCACTGGGGAGATGAAAAATAAGGACGGGCTCCCGATCGGATACAAGGGCTCCGTATTTCACCGGGTTATTAAAGGTCAGTTTAGTTACAACGCTAACGCTTTAGTGCAGGCGACTTTTATTATGTGTTTTATATTGATGCTTGCATGTTCTTGTTCTCCTCCAGATTTCATGTGTCAAGGTGGTGATTTCCTCAATTCAGACGGAACTGGATCCATGAGTATTTATGGACCCACTTTTGAGGATGAAAGCTTCTCCCTGAGTCATGATGTTCCTGGACTCCTTTCAATGGCCAATTCTGGTATGATTAAAATTATTCGTTCGGCCTTTTAAAATATTTCTCGGAAGAAGACAAAATCCTCATAAAATATAATTGCATTTGCAGGTCCTAACACAAATGGATGTCAATTTTTTGTTACGTGTGCTCCTGCAGACTTTTTGTAAGTATTGTATATTATTAATTGTTGACTATACAAGTTCTTGAATTACAAACTTACCATTTATTGCTTGTCTCTTTCAGAAACGAAAAACACTGTGTCTTTGGAAAAGTGATTGATGGGTTACTCGTCCTTCGAAAAATAGAAAATGTGCCTGTTGGTGCAAATCACCGGCCTAAAATTAATGTTACAGTTTCTAACTGCGGACAACTTTAGTTTGGCTAGTTGTATAAATGTATTAATTTTTACGTATATTTTATTTTAAAAAAACATACGACTTGTTTCATACTTTGTTAGCAGACATATTGTGTGTATGCTTTGGATTTACTGGGCAGTTATAAGGATTCTATTTAATACATTTTCATACAATATTTTCAGAATAAATAATTCCTTGGTTTGCTATGGATCAATTTGGTTCCGTTCCGTCATTCCATATCAAAATCTGAAGAAATCTTTAGAATCAAAGGTTCTTTCATTCCATCCACCATGCAGACGGCATAAACATATCTGAGATCGACGTATTCACTATTCGCACTCAGTGACAGGACCACGTCCATCGTTCCCCTACCTGGAACAAATCCTGTTTGTGGACAAAATTCCACTGACAGCATCTGACTCTGTCGCCCAATAAGACAAGGCTGCCAGACAAAAGTGATGGGAAATCCCGTGGGATTAACCAGAGTAACCGAGCTGTCCTCCACCTTGTTGTTCTGCAGGGTTTCTTGACACATGAAGATTTCACTCTCTTCCAGAAACAGGAATGGATTCTGAACAACGGCGCAAACTGGGATGTAAATGCTACTATCGGCAACGTCTTCCACGGAGACGGTGATGGACGCCACGAAATCGCCTTCAATCTGTGACACATGGTCATAATTCGACTAATTTCATGATCAACCACAATCACTATTTACTAATTACCTCAGCTGAAAGGTAGACGTTAATGCCCATCGTCTCCTGAGGCTCTAAAACTCCCCACGATGGCCACACTCTGAGTAGTTTCATTCCCTCCACAGTGCAATTGTAAGGTGAAAGGTTGTGTCCGTCAAAATCGTAGAGATCTTGTGCGTTTACAGACGCCACGCACCTTGCCGGACGGTCACTGCAGCCAGAATTCTCGTTTTTTTTTTAATTTCAAAGAGAACTTTCGCATTCAGTCGTATAAATAAATTAATAATTCTCACCCAATGTTTTGTATAGCAATCGTCTTCATCTTCTCGCAGCTCATCTGAATAAACCCAAAATGAACTAGGGGTGTCAACGCGGTGATGTATGGACCGGTACAAGTAATTGAACAGTGGATGGAAAAGGGAACCTTCACTTTCGAACCCAGCACATTCATTGTGCCAGTGAGCGGTTGGTTCATCTAATTATTTACACGACTCATTTAAGTTTCACTGTCATCGTATACCTAACTACTAATTCTACCCCAGATTGTCATTTTATATATTATCTACGACCTTGCCATGATTCTTGAGACAAATGATTGCTGTAAAATCAGCACTTTCCAAAGGTTGCAATGTCAAGTTGTTCGGTTCGCAGCAAATTGAACTCGTCACTTCCATGAGTTGTGGGAGTTGAACCTGGACAGGCCACTGGGAGTCGTTTGTGACGGTGATGACCCTGATGAACAACGGCCAGTTGGAATAATTACTGTTCGCTAATAAAATATAAGAGTAAAAGATTCTGAATTATGCTGAGTGGATACCGCTCTACTCTCGAGCTGATTGAACCGCGTCCCACAATGACGGGGGGACTAAATCGTACTTCCAACGGCATACACCGCAGCCAAATCTCCACCTCCACTATGGGTTTGAGAACGTCCAGATTCTTCACCCCCCAACTTCTGGGTCGACGAGCTGAAGGAGAAATCAAGTTGTTTATAAAATGTACATATTTGCATAATTCGTATGTTGTTCTCCTTAATTTAATTAAAAAGGACTAGTTTTTGTGCCTTCTCCAAGACGTTTAATTTCATTATCGACTCCACTTTCTCGACCGCTTGAATCTGTCGTGGTCCAACTGCGACGAGAGAACTTTTTCGGTTCAGCGCAGGGATGACCCCCCATCGTGGATCTGGGTGGCATGATAAACTCGAGTTCGCCCTCGTCCTCCTCCTCTTCCTCGTCGTCCTCCTCCCCCAGATTTCCCTCACCGCTGTTGGACTGGAGCAACTTCTTAGGCCTGCTTGGGGGGTGTCGTCCTCCTGTTTTGCCCAGCATGGACTTCTTCAGAAAATCCAGGTGTATTGGGACGTCGTTCATTCCGATGTTCTCAAGCTCGTTAATGAAACCACAAATTGCGGTGGAGGAAGTGTCCTCGAGTTGCTCCACGAACAGACTTATTTTAATGTTAGACAACGTCAATATGAACTCTTAATAAAAATAAGTTGGATTTCCCATGTTAACCAGAGACCCGAACATCTCAACTCACCTTATGACGCAAGCGTAGTAGCCAATTTGTTGCGGTGAGGGGGCAGAGACGGTGAAATCTGTCATTTGGCGTTGCCTCAGAATCCCTTGGGATGGAAGGATACGTAGATCCACGACCTTCTTGGACGGTTCCTTCTGGTGGGAGTGATGGTGCGAGTGACCAATGTCCGACGGTTGCAGCGTTGCTTCAGGGAAACGAGAAAAGCATGATCGTCCATTGTTCCCCTCGATCGTGTTGGGAAATCCTCCTCCAAACTCCGACTTGAGGGGACGTACAGACCAAAAGTAGTACATCGAGATGCAGCTAAAATTAAAGTAATTCTCACATTAACTGCATTGATGTTATCATAACTATTTAATTGTCTCATTGTTGACTATTTTTATATGCCTTTTGTTAATAGCTCTAAATTTGGCTTGTCCAATGTCGCCAGGTAATAAGTCAGCAAAATCGAGAGCAAACCGACATTTTTCGTCGAATGGCAAATCCACTGGGGGAGCGGTCCAGTAACTTGCAACCTGAAATTTACACCACGTCATCGTCGGTAACAGGACTTGTACGTGTACCACGAGTCATGCGCCACATTATCCGAACTAGTTCTGACCTGAAGGTCAATCAGTCCACTGTAGTGCATGTCGATTCCGATCCCCTTTACAGCAATCCACCGCACTTCCCCATTGTCACACATCACGGCCAATTTTTCATAGTGAAGACCTGCCGTTTTCGGAGTGTAGGAAACTTGGATCTTGATCCGTTGATTTCTTAGCAGTTTAAAACAGGCAGTGTTTATTGAAAATGGTCCCGCAATCACTTGCACAACACCTCCTGATGAATTTGTAAGTAATTTCCGTGCCCCATTCGGATTTGATTCCGGAAGTCGGCGTTTGGGGTAAGCAATGTACTGCAAAAGTGGTAAGAATCCTATTATGAGTTTACCATCATCACATCAGGGCTGTAAGTTACTTGGTATCGAAACTCGTCCTCTGTGAGCAGCCAAAAGCGTCCCTCACTCCCAGCATTCTTTATTTCAAAGCTGGTGGTTCTGGCGACACGAAGGACACTGCAACCACAGTCCCACTCCTCAACTGGAGAAACAAACCAAATCTCACAAACGGTTTGTCCTCAAAGCTATATGATACTTATCCATGTGTATATTTCCTTACATTCCAAAATTGGTGGGGGCTCTGAGCAAGCAATGAGAGGCACTGTCAGCCCGCCCGCCCCCTCGACCACGATATAGAGAATCTCATTGACTGAGGCGTTGCTGGCTGGTTTGTACTGGACGAGGATGGGAACGGCGAGACCGGGAACGATGGACGTTCGGTGGCTTGTCCATGCTACGCTGAAACACTGATTTTTGGGTGGGATTATTTTGACCCGGTGTGGCACCACGTCCACGTTCTTCAGATGGAGCTTCACCTATGCAACAAGAGACGGGCGTGAGAGAGTCAGAGGTATTAGTTAAAAATAATATAATGCTACACAGTTGCAGTAGAGGAACAAAACTCACCGAGTAGAACTGTCCCTTGCGACTGTTGAGGAAAAGGAGAGCGGGTGGGGAGACTTGGAGGCTGGAGGTCTGACAAGGGTTGAAGAGACCCTTGAGACTCTGGTAAAAGGCCACGCTGCCCGAGTTAAGAGGAGTTGCCTCCAAAACTCGAAGGCTTGAGTTGACAGCCAAGTTGATGGGAATCTTGACGCCCTGCGAAATTCTTGGCACGTCCGGTGGCCACTGACGCCAGTCGATCGTCCATGTATCCGTAAATGAATTGGGATGACATCCGCCACGAGGATCTGAGAATATTTTGACAGTTTAGTAAAATTGCGTACTTACTACAGTTCGCTGCTGTAAAAGGGACAATGTAGTACTACCCAAACTTCTCTCCCATACGTTTGCAAAGACATGTCGCTTCTGAAATGTGAGTTACATGTAATTCTTCATTACTAAACCTGGGGAATATCATAATAAGTGTAAAATTATGATGGTCACTTGCCGAGGGCTGCTGGTTGGTGAGAAGCTCCTCAAAGAACGCGTCTTCGTCGTCTTCCTCCTCGCCCCCCTCGAGGTAAGAGCCAAAGCGGGTGCAATTGTTCTCGTCCGCCAGTCTTGGGAACTGGTACTCGCACAGAGTTTGCAATTCGGGACTCGTTCCACGAAAGTTAATCCCCATCTCGAACCTTGTAAGAAATTCCAGATTTTATGCATGTGAAGTAAAATGAGATTCTTTTAATAAACTGAAAGCTCAACTGCACTTACATACCTACTTTTAGCTAAAAATGAAAAATTGAGTTTACAAGCGACAAAAGATCAGCTACCTCCCCCGCTCAGTTTCCCCTTTGATCAATAAGCAATAGGCACACCCACCAATGAAAAAGGGGTGACAAAAGTAAGCGGTTCCGGTAGACTGTGGGTAGTGGGTAGCAAGACACAAAACTGTGGAATACTCGATAACACCAAAAGTAGCAGATTTTAAAACAGTCAGTCACATGAAAATCAAAATAATGAAGTCCATGACTGCTTGACATTTTGTATCCAAGTAACGTTGGTGTTCCTTATCAAGATTATTTGACACCTTATCACTGTATAAGCAGGATTCTTCAATCACTAACGGCTACGCCGGTGTTTCTGGGTTCGGCCGTAACTCGGAAAAAATGGAAATTTTCATTTTTTGAAAAGCTGGTTATAATATCCAGCCTTGTGTATCCATGTGTCTGTCTGTCTGTCTGTTCATAAATTCCACAAATTCATGCTTTTACGTAAACTGCTTTTTAGTTACAATTTTACTAACGTAGAAATTAAATAATAAATTAAAATACACAATAAAAACCTACAGTGCAGGCAGACTCTATAGCCGAGTCAGGGAGAGTCCTTTGAGTCAGAGTTCTAAATTTTTCTCCGAATTGACCGACATAATATTACCAAACTCCTTGTTGTGGATAGTTAAATATTTGTTAGATTTTCTATTATTTGGCATAAAAACCTTTAACACCTTGAACTTCCTGAAGCTGAGTGTGCTATCGAGAAGTGGTTTTTATCCTCCATACCAAATTTCAGGTGAAAATAAGAACTTTTAAAAACGGTATGGGTCAGTCTCCAGGGTCACTCTGCTTGCACTTTGCTCACTTTTAACTTCATATTCTTTCATAAGAAGCCATTAAATATCACCGTGCCGGATTTAATGTTTTTAAAGCAATTTATAAAAATCTGGATGGGTCACCCGTCACCCCATAGAGTCGCTACAGATAAAAATTTTACCAATTTCATTCCATATTCTTCCATTAAGACATGTAAGCAACATTTCAGCTGGATATGACGATTTTGAAAAATATTCCGATGCTAACATCCAATCTACGTTGGGCATGATTGGTCAAGTGGTTGGTCGGTGGGGGTCATTTAACTAACAATGCGATAAATCCAGCGGTTTCGCTCCAATTTTGACGAAACCACGAAAATTATGTAGCATTAGATAAATCATTAAACACGTGTTTCAGGATTCACGTGTTTCAGGATCTTTCATAATACTCAGTTTAAACGAAATTATGACTAAGTCAGCGAGAATTTTCATTTTGACCGTGAAATTTTTCTCGCGAGGGGAGGGAGGAAAGTACAGATTCTCAGATTCCATCATACATAATTTTGTTTAAGCTTAAAATTCGTGGGCGTGACGTGGTTTTTTCCCTCGCACAAATTTTTAAATTAACAATTAATTTTTTAACAAACCAAATTTTGAATTTGATTTTTCTTTTGCACAATGTAATTGTGTGCAAAAAGGTTCTTTCATTTTTTGAAGTCGGGTCAAAATTGGAAAAATTTACAGCATTTTAAAAAATCTTGAATTTGGCTGATTTTGGTCTAACTGAAGACTTCCGCTAATTTCCTTGTGTGAACAATTTAAAATTTGTCCGGTCAAAATCGGAAAAAACCACTTCATGCCCATGCATTTTAAGTGTAAGCAAAATTCTGATGGAATCCGTAAGCGAGAATCTGTATTTATCTCCTTCGCGAGAAAAATGTCACGCAAAAATGGAAATTCTTGCTCACGGCCTTAAAAGGCCTAAAACTGAAGCACGTGGAAATTTTGGGAAAAATGTTAACACGTTGTATGAAATGCCTCGAATCTCGAAAGAATAATAAATAAAAATGTGTACGTAGAAATACTGTCATGCAAAACAGAGTAATTAGTCAGCAATTAAGAAATAGGAAAACAATTTAAAAAATTTTCGTCGACCCAGTTATGGCGACACCCCGAGGGTAGATGGTCAAATTCATCCTCAGAATAATCATAATACAACAAAATGTGTAATGCACTTGATATCAAATTTATCGTTAACTACTACTCCCCTGACTCGGGCTTCATTGGCAGCAGGGTCCTTTGACTGTTTCCTTGGAGGATTTCTAGATAGGGTCATGTCAGTTCAAAAATTCTCCAAATTTTTTTTTGCAGATTTTAAAGTTTGGGAATATGCGCTATTTTTGCTGGGAGAGTTTGGTTGTCTAGAAATCCTCCAAGGAAACAGTCAAAGGACCCTGGGCCGCACCCTAAGAGGAAACGAATTGATTCATCCTGCTGTATAATTAAGGGAGAAGTGTTACCTAGATACTTAATGTCAAGCAATCGTGGTTCCTTATGATTTGACTATTATTGAGCAGGTATTTGTTACTGAAGTCCAAGATTGCTTGACAATTTATCATAATACAAGGTTACGACAGTTGCTTCGATAGCCAAAAACCTCCATTTTTGAAGTGCTAATTATTTGGGCCGTCGCTAACGGTAATTAAGGCACAAAAATTTCTAACAGAACGCCGAAATAGCCGATTTCACATTTACAACTGCACTGATTCTTGTATCCATGGTTAAAAAAATAATTCGTGGGAATGAAATGTGAGTGCACACTGGTTCCAAAAGGTACCAAGGTTTTCGAAAATTGAAGTTTTTTCATCGTCGAAGTAAGCATCGTGAAGAGACGAAGTTGCAGTTGGCATGTAGATTATTACAAAAATTATCACATAGTGGCAGTAGTGATGGGTTCCCAAACGTTTCACTCTCTGATTGACAAGAGTTACATGAATTTATGTCAACTTTTAATTTATTCATAAAGTACTACCAAACCCAGCCTTATATTTGCAGCTTTATAATTTTTCGTGTTATTTTAACATAATTAATTGGCCCTGTGTCCCTTCCCATGATGTCGCAAACGAAAAACTGACCTCAGATTCGAAATCAGCGACCAAAAAACTATAAGAATCGATATTTTCCCACCCCCAACAACGTTGATATAATTAATTGAATTATTTGTAACAATTGTAAACACGGAACATGTGGACCTGTAGATATTGGCATATCAGCCATAAGCCACCCCTCCTTTTGAAAACCCCCACTGACCTTTTTGAACGTTTTAATGCATAAAATGCAAGATCATACTGCCCTACAACTAAAAAATAGGCTGATTTGACCAGTTTCAAATCAGGTCATTGAAATTTTTCCTTGCAAAAGTAACCACAGTTTGTGGTTAGGGGGACAAAGTTGCCTAGTACAAGTTCCGTTCCGCAATTTTTTTTAGTCTGCGGGAGGCGCTCGTGGGGGACGTGTCCCTGAAAGTAAAAATGATCTCGCTGGAAGATATTTTTAGACTGATGGTGATTTTTATTAAACAACTTGGTTTTAAGGTTTTGACAGTACATAGGAGACATTCATACATATGTAATAATATGTGGTTAGAAGTGACCATACAAACTACGCAGAGTTATGCTCAAACGAAGTGTCCCTTCTAATGAGGCATAAAAACAAAAGGACCCTTTTAATCCCTTGTCCTGGGAAAAAGGTTGGAAAATGCTCAGCCCTCATAAAAGTCGACAAACTTAAAAATTGATAAATATGGAAAACTTTGTTAACATGCATATTTTAACATCCTCCCTCAATTTTTAAAGTTCAATATCGGCAGTTTCCACTGGATTTGCCCTAACCGAAATTACATTTGGCCGGCTTTCCAGAAAAAAGAAAACACAAAGAGTGGCTTGAGCAACTATTATTAGTATGCAAAGGGTTAAGATCCATTCCATTGTTGACCAGGCTGGTTCATTGCTTGTGTGGTAGTGGATTGACCCTCCTTCGTCAGTGGAACCATTGATCATCAGACTGGTCCAGTTGAAACTAGGCTGCAAGTGCCAGTTGGCTTTCATCGTGAATAGTGGGTCGACTACCTCTTGGTGAACAAGGCTGGATTCAGTTCCTGAAAATTCAATATCATTTATTTTAAAATTAGCATTCATTGGAAGGATGAACACGCTAGCAGGGCATTGTTGCAGCTTCCTCTCAATGGTAATATTGGACCCAGGGCAGTAGATATGATATTGTCCATGGTGTAGTTTGATTTGTACAAAATCCCATGGTTCAGCAAGGTTCTTGTCATAACAGTGGTCTATGTCAAAGTGATTGGAGTTCTTTGTTTTCGCTGTTGGCGTGCATCCTCGAGTGGGCGAAACAATTAGGTCGGGGGTTGTAGGCTCCTTAACATTGATGGAGTATACGCAGTCATCTTTCGTAGAAAGGATGGCATTATGGGGTCCCTTGTACTTTAGAACGCAGGTTTCATTCTTCCTTTCAACTTTGAGATCGAAGGAGTCTGCCTCGATGAGTTGCAAATCTTTGTTAATTTCAGTTGCTATGAAGTCCACATACAGCTTGGTTCTGTCATCTGATATTTCGCACTTTTGAGATTGTGCGAAGCTGACTGGGCAAGCATCACCACAGGGTAACGTGAAATTAAAGAAATCCATTAGTGGTGCGTAAACTTTTCCTCGCCGCCACTGTCTTGTTGATTCTCTAATTATTTCTCTACCTATCATGAGGCGACTGGTAAGGTAGGCAATTGCGAAATTGGTGTCAATGGATTTTCCCTTGAGTTCGTCGTG